TTCTATTGTATTTTCCCTTTTTGTAAGTGGTTTAAAGTTATTTCTATTCTGTACACACAAAGCACAAGCAGATCTCAAACCAGGCAGTTCTTCAGACTGTTTTTTGTTGTTTCAGAGCACACACAGAGATTTCAGGATATGACTGACATGCTTGCTCATCTGTAGGAAAACAAAAGCCATATTAATTTCAGTACAAGTCTACCCTCTGCATGACTCCAGACTGTATTTTTGCAGCTTGACTTCAACAAGGACATGTCTGTCTGTATTCAAATTTACAAGTAATCTCCACTAAACCATAGCAAAAGTTTTATTCAAATAGCGAGACAAACTACTTTGCATGATTTTATGATACGCTGCAGAGTGAGACATCTCTATCAGTGGAATCTCAAAAACGTGATGTGCACGATGCGGTTATGCAAAAACACTAAAATGTTAAGTGCTGAATTGATTTCAACTAGTGGAGAGTACGAAAAAAAAAGGGAACCACTACTTCCAACACAATGCACAATTTCTTTATTCTTCTGCATACACTAAAACCATGACACACTCTACACCAATGGCTCCCAAATTTCTTGGCTACAATGACAAGTACTTAATGTACTCTATATTCATTAGACCTCTAACCCTCTTTCCTTCACTTTAATTATTTTCATTAACATCATCATTCGTCACCCTCCATATTTGATTTTGTTTATGGCTTTCATCATTTATGAAATTTGACTGATTTATTTTACAATATTGACAGCACTGCAGACACTACAGTTAGAACAAAACTTTGGACATCTGCCTATTTTTTAGTGTATGGTTTTTCCTGTTAGTCTTGAAGGTAAAATGTTCCCTGATTTTCATCCTGTAAACAGGTGGGTTGAATGAAAGTTGAAAAAGTAGGTGAACTTGGCTGGAAGAAGGGTTAACAAGTTAAAAACAAAACTTGAGTGATAATACATCTCTAAAACATGCTTGTCTGCAATTAGAAGATGTAGATGAAGAAATTATTTAACTTATAATGATGATAAGGCCCAAATTTATTATACCGCTGTTTGAAGAAAGCAGCACAAAATCCACATTTAATATAACATGTATTTGTTGTAATTTATGAACATAACATTGTGCCCACTGTATCTGATCATGTGACTGAATTGTATTCAGATTTGATCTTCATTGGAAGAGTTTTTACAGAATATCTAAAGAAAAAAAGTATATTCAAACATAACTCTAACATTCAATTTAGCAGCAATGTATCCACTATAATAGCTGGTAACACTATCATGTATAATAAACCCTGGACCCATCTTTTGGAGCAGCCATTAACAACGATAGACAAGTACAATCTAATCCCCCCGCCTACTGAATGTTACCAGTGGCAACGCCAGGTTTTGACGACGTACAGTATATTGACAGTACTAGCATGTTTTAATTGATTCTCCTCTGGTGACTTGTTCATTGTTTACCAGTTATTCACTGGAAGTTGTCAATCCTGGTAACCTGGACATTTTACAGTAGAATGTGACTGATGGCTTTCTTCATTCCTCTCTGACATTTAGACAAAAGCAACAGGGGTGTATAGTAAACAGCAGGGTGTCTGCCATTCCTGTTTCTTCAGCTTTGCAACCGAACATGGGTGTCAATGTAGACCTGCAACTCTGACTCTAAAACCCAATGGACCTTGAAAAAGGCATTATTTTGGAGTGAAACTTATTTGTTATGAAATCATACAAAGCTGGAAGGTAGTATTGAGGAAGTGAACCAGTTACTGTTATTTTCTACAGAATTGTATCAGAAATATAATGTGTAGTTATAAAAAAAACAAAAACAAACATCAGGGCGTCTGAATTGACACTAGAGTCTGTTTTTGTTAAGACTATATGTGTCAATGTATAAATGTTTTTTTGTCCTACAGTATTGATTTTCTCAGGACTGAAATACAGCATATTTGTTGATCTCTGAATAGGTTGGCTTTCTTGCTGCATGAAATGTTTCTTTTAGTGTCTTGTCTGGTGGGTTTGTTTATTTTTCCTTTGAACATTTGTCGTAAACACCTGAAACAGTATTCCTTTTAAAGCTGTCAGAGGTATAGCAGGTATAATAGCTTGGAACTTGATCTAAATGAGTGAAGTGTGTACCTTATGCACAGCTGTTTCCACATATGATGAAGCTAACGACTCAAATAACCCAGGCTTTCTTTGTCATTGTAAGTGTTTTCAGTTTTTTTTTAACATTAACAGCTGTACACAGAAGGACTAATTGTTAGCTGTTTCCAACAAGCACCTCATTTGCTGTGTTTGTGTATCTATTTTGTCATTTATTAGCGGCTGCTGTGCCCTCTGTCACCTGTCCAGCTCCTCACCACTCGTACATCATTCCCCTTACAAAGACAAATCAACCCCCTGAGCACACCGATAACAAAACTCACTTACTCCCACAGGCAATAGATCCCCCACCGACCCACTTGTTTTTGCAATCTGACAGGTGTGATTTAAGAACTGCGGTGGACCAGGAGTGCATGTAGAGTGCAGTGGCCATGTCTAGCTGCACTTACTTGCTGTAGGAGCTTAAAGTTCAGTGACATCGCCACTTTGATACTTTTTACTCCACTGTCATCAAACTAAGATAAATCGATGAATTTACATACCTTGCCCAAAGGTTTCAGTGAACTCAAGATACCTTTTTTCTTACTTGATAAATTGTCCTGCTTGCGGTGTCAACATTATACAAAGAAGAAGCCACTGGGCACAATGAATGCATAATGCATGTGTGTTGAGCATGACTGAGTACACATAGCAAGACCACATCTAAACCACCACAGTTGGTCAAAATCAAACAAGCCTCTGCCTCACCTCATTTGAATAAAATGGCATATTTGCTATCTTGTGTGCTCTTCTGTAAATGTGCGTTCTGCAAATGTCATGTCTGTGAGACTGTGATTTTTTTGTGTGCAAGCAAATGCACAGTTCACAGTCTTTACTTTGTAAAGAGTGCTGCAAAATGAATCATATTATGCAGCAAAGCACTGATGAAAAAAGCTTTTCATTATCAAAGTCATTTACTCAGTCTAATATTTTTTCAAAGAATTTGAACTGGATTACTCACTGACATGTTAATATGGCTCTCTGCAGCCATTAAGGCCCTGCCACAATAGTGCACTGTGGGAGGCCCCTGACTAATGTGTTTTTGTCCAATAAAAAATGCCACCCCCTCTTTCTAATCCATAGAGTTGACTATGCCAGTTTCTCACTGGGCCTTAAGGTTTCTCACCCACAGTGAAAAAAGGAGTGAAGTGTGCTGCTAATCAGGCATAGCTATGAAATTTCTGCTCTCTACTGCATTTTAACCAGACAATCATTTCTGTGCTCCTACCATGCAAGAGTGGCAGTAACAACTGTAGTGTAATTACTGAAACCGAGCACTTGATTTGTGTACTTAAACTTTATATGTCGCAAATATTAGAGCAGGTAATTAATCTGACTTTTGCTTTAGTTTCACCTGATAAATTTTACTTAACACACATTTAATTGCATCTCTTACACCCACACACTTTGCACTGTGAAATAGATTATGTACTGTCTTCTATCTATCTATCTATCTTAAATTGTATTTCCCTCAGACCTGCTAAACCATGCAGCAAAATAAACAAACCGTTTATTTAACATGTATCTATAATAATAGCTTATAATATAAAAATAATTAAATAATTAGTCATCCACTTATTTTGGTTTGTCCTAACCTGCCTGTTTTCTGGAGCCTGGTTCTAAAACTAAATGCAACAGAAGCATCAAGAAACAGTAGTAATATTGCTGTATATTGGTGTTTTTCACAGTTTGATGTTCTGACACAACATTAGAAATGTTTTAGTGTTGATTTACGCTGTACTGCATCTTGTCCCAATACAGGTATGTGAGCCTGTCGCCTTCATGTACATCAGAGCTTGAAAAAAGTCATGTCAAAAGTGCATCATTGTGTCAGAGAGAAAGTTATGCAACTGGAACAACAGAGTACAATCATTACAAATGCTGTGTGGCAAAATTAGTGTAGCATTACTGTACTGTATATCCAGTCAGCTAACAGTATTTGCTCTACACTCCCTCTCCTGTCATGGACTCCAGCGTTATCAGACTTCTGACTCAAGTTTGTCTGCACGTAGAATAAATCTACATAATACAGATCAAGGGCAAACTACAGTAAGCGGAGCCAGTCACTCATGATAACAATCACTTCTCGTTTTTTCCTTATGAGTGAGGGGGGAAAACAAGATCCCCATCAGCGGAAAGTTTTTTTTTCCCTCTTTTCTGTTTTGTTCTCGTCACTGTGATCATTCTCTGATGATTAAGGTGGAGGTGAGCAGTCAGTTTCCACAACCTGGAGATATCACCTCTCTAATTTGCATAGGTATGCAAATGTCCCAGGTTCCAATTGAGTTGTTGAGACCGGTAATATCAATTTGTGTGTGTGTGTGTGTGTGTGTGTGTGTGTGTGCTCTCCTCTGCTACCTGCTACAGTATCTAGGTCATTGTTTTTGCTGCTTGTGTTCCTTGTCTGATGGATATGTACTCTATTCAAAGCCAGATGCTTATGCAGCCTGGGCCAAGTTATTTATGATGCTACAGGCAGTCTGTGGATGCCGTACAAGGTTTACAGTCAGGGGTTATATTAGCCTTTGTCACTGACTGATGTACTTTTATGTGGTGACTATATATTTTCTACTATTTGTAAAATTTCCCCGAGCTACTGATTTGTGTTTTCTGTCTAACATATAAATCTAGAAGCGGTATTCAATAAGTAAACTTGGGACATAATCTGGGTTTTTTTCCCTTTGCTTCACAATAGATTTTTTTGTTGTTATGTTTTCTGATTTTGCTGCCATCGCAAAGTGTTTTCTAAATTCTGAAGACACTTTGGAAACTTTTTCCGTTTGTATTGTGTTCTGTTACAATGTCTGTGTGAAGAATTACTTGATATCACAAGTTTTCTTTGTCTTCTTTCCCTCCTCCTCCTCTGTCCAGCATCCTCACCTGGTCCTAACATCACACTGGAGGGTCAGTACAACTGTCACCAGGGACCTGGGATCCCACTGGACAAACTGTGTGACTTCAGTACAGACTGTCCGCTCGGCGATGACGAAGGCGACCTCTGTCGTGAGTACACCGCGATACAAGAACGCAGCTGTTGATAAGAATGTGTGAGAGGAAAGCTCACGTGTCAGCTGTCCTTCCTGCATTCACTCCTGGATCAAAACAGCCTAGTTGTGAAGTTGGTCAGCCGTTGTGAGACGTCTTTAATGAAGCCATTGCATCCTGCCCAACAGAGCAACAACTGAATGCCTGCATGTGCTTTCCTGACAGTGAGGCAGGAGGAAAGGCAGAAAAAAAGGCAGCAGAGCTATGCTTGGCTAGCATTTCTCACCCTTGACATATTCCATAGTTGTTATTTCTACCTCTTTGCACATTTGTTTTCTGCTTTTCTCAAGCCCTAGGAGGAACACTAGCCAAGTATGCTGACATCTTATTCACAAGTGAAGTCCCCCAGGCCCTGCTGTTTGTGTGTCTGTGTTTGTGTCTGTGTCTGTGTGCATGAGCGGCGAGGATCTTTTTTTAGTCCTACCTGCGTGTGTGCATTTTTTTACATTGTCTTCACAGTTCAGACTCTTACCCCCTACAGTGTTTTTAAATGTTGTAGTTTGATTTCAGAGTTTTTCACCCGTATTAAACTGACCAGAAATAATTTGCTCCTGCCCACAGTGCAGGTCAGCCTCCCATGTGGCGCTTATTAAAATGATGGCTGCTCCCTTGTGCTCATAGGTTTGCAAACTATGGTCGCTGAAAGATAAGAGGGTAACGAGAGGATGAAAATCCCAGCCAGGCACTCAGGCTCTCTTTTTACTGCAGGAGGACTTATCAGTGCTAATTGGCCAGTGAGGCTAACCCAAGGGTATAATCTCCATTTGAATGTAATAAGTGTGTTTGTGTGTAACATTTTGATTGTAGAAGACAGAATTGGACATTTGAGTGTAAATATAATCAGCAAAACACAAAGCGAGCTTTTACACGACACTGAAGTCATTCAGCAACCATCTACAGTACAGTATGAGGCAACAGAAAGTGCAATGTTTATATAAATATTTCTGAATCATGTGTTATGAGCACCATCGTGAGACTAGTATTTGTATATTTACATTAGCAACAGAGTATGGGAAGTGTGGTCTAATACTTGCTGTGAGTCAACTAGAAAATGTTTAAGATCCAACACCTCTTTTCTCTGCATCTTCACACACCTTCTCCACTGTCTGCCCGCACCATGCTGAAGTGCACAGAGGCATGAAGGCCAGATGTCATTTGCTTTGAATCAAGGTTTTCTCTCTGTCTCTCAATCTAAGAACAGTGACTGACAATCCATAGTTCATAGGTCCAGCTTCACACTGTCACGTTGTTTGTTTTTTTTCACAGTCGCACACAGTCTACCCCGGTACTTCATGGTGTGTGTGTGTTTATTTCATTCTCGTCTCCATCATTCATCACAATTAGCCCCTGCTCCCCCAAATCACATAGTGTTCCCTCTCTGATACCCTATTCTCTATGATCTATCCACAAGTTGTCTTCATCTGATTTGATCTATTTAAATCCTTCATAAGATGTGCCAAGGCTCATTAACAGTAAGAAGCAGAAAGAGGCAGGAGGAACAAACTTAGCTTGTGTCAATCACAAACATTCCTGACATATAATGAAAATCAAGTCCCTGTGGATCTCCTTCACCATCCTTTCCCAGCATCATTATGCATAAACACATCCTCCACTCTTTGAGAGTCACAGTTTCCTCTGGTTGATCTTAGTCAGTCTAAATTCTGCAGATACCCTACTGCTTTCCAACACCACAGTTTCCCTGCAACAACAGAGAAATGCTGCTTTACATCAAAGATAGGACCTTAAAGTGGTAATTTGCCAAATTTTCTTTTGTTTAGTTTTTCTTGGAATATCAACTGTGATGACAGATCGTTGCTCCTCCCAAATATCACTCATTGTTAGAGAGTGAGGCCAGAGCTATGATGTCTTTGACTGGTAGGCTGTGGTAACTGTTACTGCTCATGCTCCTGTGACTACCCAGTCTTTCTTTGGTCGAGTACCACATCACTTCATGGGGATTTTCCTCAAACCAATAACAGTAACTGTAATAATTTAAACTGTTATTAGATTTGACAGGATAATAGTACATTGTTAAGACTTTATGAATCTTCTGAACTCTTTACATTGGTAAAGAGGTAAAGAATATTATTTTTTGAGAGCATTTGCCAACGTAATCACACTTTATTACATGAAACCTACCATGACATGTTTTTTTTTCCAAGTTGTCATGACACAAGTCACTGACACTTAACTCATCATTCATAAAAATTAAGTAATGTTGATGTCAGTTTTCAAAAAATAGTAATGATACTGTTATGTCAGCCTCATTCACACCTCATTAAATAATGTGTTACCAGTTTAGTCTATTGGGGAGTGGCAAAACTAGACTAATGGCAATGACAGGGAAGAGAGATAGCTTGGAAAGCAAAAGGCAGAGTGACAAATCTGCACAGAGCTAATGTGTATAGATATGTCTGAAGTGACATCCCCACAGACCTTTCTATTCATACTGTGAGCAGCTTCATATTATGTGACATTGGATCTCTGTGCATGAAGCACATTAAAGTGGCACTGACTTGTTTATGTAACAAAGAGTGACTCATGATAACGCAAGACACAGAAGAACATGAAATTCACCCAAAAAGTCCAGAGAAGCTTTCACTTGCTTGAGAAAAACATCACTGGAAAAAAAAAATCTATTTTGGCACCTAAAAAAATAAACGATAATGATTTTTTCCCAGTTATTTTTGTGATGTTTTAGGTGTGTGAGACCTGTTAAAAGCCCTTTGTATCATGACAATAATTCTAATGTGAGTGTCATTGAGAAAGGAAGCATTTTTCTTGCCTTTGTTCCTGAAGAATACCTGCCTTATGATCTCTGCTCCAGCCAATTTCAGCTCCATTATCTGGATGATGCTATTTCCAAAAAGCACACTGTTATCAGGGCACTTACAGATTCCTATAGGCACTGGGCACTCACAGACAGTAGCTGAAGATAAAAGGAACATAAAGCAAACTTAAGGTGAAAACTTTCAAACGCTGAAATGAAACTCGAGCCTCAGAGCTCCTCAGTGTTATCACAAACTGTCATAACACTCAGCAAAAACTAAAGTGATTCCACAATAGGACTTAATAGATCTAACTGTGCAAGGAAAGAAAATATGCCTCATTTAATTCCATAGCATAGAGAACACATGTATCTCTGATTTGAACTTCACCACAGTGAGTGGCGCACTTAAATAATCCATGTTATTTAATTTATTTATATGGCAGGTATTTCCAGTGCAGTCATTTCAGCACCTTGGAAGGACTCAGTGACAGTAGTTTGAAATATTTAAACTGACGTGGTGCACTATACATATATGCACATCTGTTATCTATAAGTGGAGATGAACTGGAAAAGAGAGCATGTGATCAAAATTGCGCCTTTGCAAAAGAATGGATATTTAAATATTTGGTCCACTTCATTGTATTTGATTTCTTCTGTCAGTTACTAAAACGTAAAACCAGAAACCTTGTTTGCAAATCAAGGAGTTTGCACCTTTTCTTAACACACACACACACACTTCTCTTTTTGTGGTTCCACAAGTTTTCTCCACAATAAAACATTCTCCATGCCTCCAGGGCTCATGCCATTCTTTCAGTGTTGACTTGCTCACCTAAACACATCATGTCACCACCTCAGCTTTCTCATTTACCCTCAGAGCCTCTTCCTTCTTCCTTTGCTGTTTCCTATCTCCCCCTCCAGATACTTCAGGGCTTTTCCATTTACTGTTTCTGTTTGTAGAGTCAGTCTGAGAGCCCCCTCGCACTGCACCTCAACTCTAATTTTCACCAACACATTGAGTCCTGAGAGCCATTAGTCTTCACCTCCTGCATGCCTCTCTCCTTTCAACCTCTTTGCCTTCAGTGTCACTCAACTCCTTGATCCCCAGTCCCCACCTCACCCCTGTCCTCTTTCTCCTTGGCAGTTTGGCTGTCAGTGTTCCCCTCCATTCTCTCTTCTTCTCTTGCCAGGCCTGTCCACTCATTACATGCCCCCCCCCATTTGTATCATCATCTTCCCTCCTCCCTTGATATATTCTCTCTCCTGTCTCTCTCCAGGACGCTTTCTCAATGGGAGCTACTGCTCTTTTGAAGAAGGCGAGTGCAGTTGGCAATCAATAATGGGTCGCGGTCTCTCCTGGAGAAGAGTCCAGTCTCCCGCCAAGGCTACCAGACAGAGCTGCCCATCCTCAGGTGGTTCATACACGTCTCTTAAAATCTCATAAACACTGTTGCGATCAAGTGATGAAACGGCAGCAGCAGCTGTTTGCAGCATCTCCAACAGTGTATATATTTGTAATGCTTCATTAAAAGAGACTTCAAAGGGGGAAATTTTACACTGAAGTAAGACTAGGGCATTTAAACCAATAATTTCGACATTTGAGTGTATTCAGTTTGTGAATATGGAAAGGTAATCAGAACCTATGATGTGTCAGACACAGTCATGTTGTCTTGTTCCGAGCTCTCTGCATTGATCCAAACAGCAACCCACTGGGTATAAAAGCTCCAGCATATAGACTCTGAGCCCCGCATCTGAAATTCATCTTCAGTACAGTGACTCCAGTGTGTACCTTGATGAGATTTTAAAGTCTTGGCTTGCTGAGGCTTGTTTTTGTTCTCAGCTATTTACAGAAATCTCAGAAGTAGAGTGTAGAAACTATAAATGGAGCATTGTATTTTTTACCATATATGGTGATTTTGTCTTGATTTTTTTGTTGCTATATTACTGCAATAATTAGCCTAAAATGATGGCGGGGAAATTAATGTTATCTGTACTGTTTGTTGCTATGGCTCTGTTGAACTGAGCTTTTCTCAGACAGAACTTTATGAGAGTTAGTTTGGTTAAGTTGTGCAGTGCAGTCGAACAAATGATGGAGAAAAAGTAGAGAAACATGCCAACACTCTGACTCACTAATGGTTGCATCACAATTCAAAACCTGAAAATGTATGATGTAAGATTTCTTATTTCATTTTACATGCACAGATTTAGATTGTATAATATTTTTTATTTCTGACACGGTTTTTATTCTGTTTGTTTAATGTGTGTGTTTGTGTGTTAAAGGTGCTACATTCAGTGTGGAGGGAGGCCAGTTCAAAGGTCAGCGTGGCTCAGCATTACTGAGGAGCCCTCTCTTCCCCCCTCCTCTCAGAAACTCCCCATGCACGGTGAGCAAAGTATAGAGTGTGTCTCTGCACAGTGTGAATATAATCTTTATTCTCAGACATGCACATACAAACACATGATCACACGTACACAACTGACAGTTCACTCAGCCCCATCACCCATAGTTATTATCGTTACACCTGTCAATCTTTCCATTCTCTCAAAGCAGTTGTGTAGTTTATGTGATACTGCTTCAAATGTGCTGTACTTTTTTGAAAACATGGGTCTTCAATTTCACACTGAAAAGCAGGCTTTTTCCTTTTGAACTGATGACCATGGATTTTCTCCACTGAAGTGACAGCTGTCACTAGCAGATTATATCAGCTTGAATTAGCTGCTAGTGTAAAATGATATTGATAATATTAATTCATTGGTTGAAAACTCCAGCTGTCTCCAGTTGACTGTTTAATGTTTTCAACTGATTTATTTTAAAAGCAGCTTGTAAAGGTCTCTTCTTACATAAGCCCTGGATGGCTTAAAGTCTTACAATAGAAAGACACTGATATACTGTAGATAAATTTATACTTTAATATTTGTATTGGGTTTGCTTCACTTTTACAAAAGTACGTGTTTTGAGGATCAGGAATAATGAATGGATTTGGCAAATGTAGCATTATGTAACGCAGGTTTGGCTGGAGTTTAAACTTGTCCTAACTAAATAAGGAGCATTCATAGTATTGTAATTTAATCGTGAACTCAGTGCTCCAGCCATCACCAGAAATATAGACATTCACTCACTAATTTGATATGTAAATTGCTTTCAGAAACATATCGAAAATCAAATGCTAATGTACCAAGACAGTAGGTTAGCACTGTGCCATCTGCATGTCCCTTAGAGATACTAACAGACACTGAGGTCGACCTTGTCAATCACAGGTTGTATCTGCTGACCTGTTGTGAAAATATTAAGTGTCATGCATTATTCAGACCATGAAGCTCACAGAGCAGGTCTCTGGGTGAAAGGGCTGTGTACTTGAAGTCTTGATTGATGCTCTTGCATCTAGCATTTAGACTTATGTTAGTGATTTTAATATTGCTCAGCACAGCGACCTTTGGCCCTTTGTTTGTTTACTTTGCACAGTTGAAGTGAAGGCGAGGAGCGATTCAGGTGAGAGAGGGGGAGACAGAAGTGAGGGATGGAGGTGGGGAGGAAGGTAAAGACGTCAGAAAACAAAGATAATAAGAGAGACAGAGGGAAAATAAAGTTAGTCTCAACGTGAAAGGAAAGTTGCCGCGAGGAAGACGGAAAGACCTGAAAAATAAAATGAGAATGTTGCTTTCTCTCAGGTGTGAATTAGTGCTGTCTGATATTTGAGGGCAGCAGTGGAGGCAGTAAGGCACCATGGGTAGACCTGGCCTCCCAGCACCTTGGCACGCAGCCAAAGATTAGCCATGATTCCAGATTAACACTCTAAATCCTTTTCTCTACACTGATTTGGTGCTGTTCAATCTAGCCTGTCTGCTCTTGGACAACTATGTTGAGGATATTAGTTTTGGGTATTAGCTACAGACCACATTCACTTTCATGTCGTGCCCAGTGTGTGCTGTGCAGTGCCTGTAATCTTGATGTTTAAACGGTCACCATGTGGTTTCACAGTTGACGATAAGGACCACAACCTGCTATCGACAAGCACAGTGCAAGCACTCAACATAAAAGTGGTAAATTCGGTTGTCTGGATAGCATCGTCTCTACGTGTGCTTCTCATCAGGCTTAAGCCAAGTCTGTTCCGCTTAAATGGTGAAGCAAGAATTATGTTCCTGGCTCCAAATAATGCTGTAAAGGGACATGGTCACATCGCATGCTTGTTAGCAAGCTTCAGATTGAGACTTGCTTTTACTGTTTCATTCCTACCATGGCCTGAGTGTTGTTTAATTTCAAGCAGGTTTACACCCGTCACGTCCCTCCTGGAAACAGTGAAATGAGATTGATTTGTGCTGAAGCATGCAGGAGCAGCATGGAAAAATAACCCAAATCACATCCTGGTTGAATTCTATTAATCTTGGAATAATTAGAGCTGAACAGATGGCTATTGCGGATCTCTGTGCAATTTTAAGTGCATCTTTTTCTTGACTGATAACACCCTTTGCTGGTTTACTTCAATTCAAAAATATTCAGGGGAAGTTAGAGTTGTTGTGGTATTTTATATACAAACACACACCATGCACCTCAAAAATCAACCATCCAACTTTGTGGTAACCTATACTGAATGCTTAATCTTTATTTGACTCTATTTTCCATTGGAAATTCCAACTTACTTCAACAGGTGCGGTTCTGGCTATGTTCTGGAGGCTTACAGAAGGGGTCGCTGTCTCTGTGGATAGTGGAGAACAGTACAGGCCCTGAGGAGCAGCGCAGACTGTGGCATTCAGCCAGTGAACCCAAATCTGAGAGGGGTTGGAAGCTCATCATACTTCCCCTTTACGCGCTGTCAGACTGGTACGATAAACGCTCACCTGTTTCACCACATAAGAGGCCGTTTTGACTATGTCAAGGCTACAGTAGGTGTTCAGACTGTCTGGAGGTATCAGACTGGTAATTCCATGTTTAATCAGATTAGCCACCCAGCTCTCATCCCAACAAACCTTTAACACACTCTTGCAAATACTTAAGTGCTCCCACAGCAAAAGAAAGCTTTAAGAAACAGAACCAAGAGGCTCTTCCTCCTTCTTTTCACCTCACATAAATGCAGATTTTCAACATTTACATTCCATTTTCTGTGAAACATTTCCTCTCAACGCCACAAAATTAATGAATCCCATAGGGACTCTAATCTTATACCATGGACCTGCCATGTGTACAATTGTACAAAATATCTTCCTTTCTTTATTCCACTCATCTGTGATAGAGAGAGAAGAAATCAATACAAAAGACTCTACCCACCCTACTTGCCTTCCAATTAGCCATGGCCCTGATTTCCCCTCAAAGAAGAGAGAAATTAAAACAAAATAGAATAAAGCAAAAAAAAAAGATAAGGCATTTCATCTCTGTTTGCCTGACTGGGGGTTTCTTTGCCATTCGAGCTTAGATAATCCTACTCCACTGAGAGTGATTAATTTTTTATTCCGGGGTTATGTAGTCAGCTGTGATCGTGCTCTTAATTAGAATGTCATGTCCGTAACCATGAGGTGAACCTGCCAGTCTCCGCACAGTGACCTTTGTAGAGCTTAAATGGAATCAGAAATACAGCCTAAAGTGCAGACAAGAGTCAGGACATAGCAGACAGTATATGTAGATTCTGCATGAGTGGTTTTGCTTTGAGAACCTCTGGGTTGACAGCGAGAACAGAGATACAATATGATTATCATCAAGTTTAAGCAACAATTGTCATATTAAATGTTGCAATTGACAGATACAAAGCTCCAATCTGACTGAGTGATGGTGTTGGAGAGAAATGCTTTTTGATTTAGAACTCAGTGTAGGTTATGTTCCTGACTGTTACAGCCACAGGAAGCCCAATCACTTCTTGTGAGCATCACTGTCTTAAAGATAGAAATAGATAAAATAAAGTAAACTCTGCAACCACAAAACCATTTCCATTTTTGGGAAATACGCTTATTCCCTTTCTTGCCTGAGAGTTTGATACCACTCTTGTGCCTGTAGGATGAATATGAAGCTGGAGTGAGCAGCTGGTTATCTTAGTTTAGAATAAAGACTAGATGTAGACAGCTAACCAGACTCAAAATCAACCTACCCTGCCAGATCCTCTAAACATCACAAATGAACAGCTTGTATATTGTTCAATCCATTGACTTCTCCGTTTCCTATCAACTGGTCCAGCAAAGAAAACGTAACATGTTGTTTAGTGAGATTAAGAGGGGCTGGTGGGTGGATTTTGTTACTTTGGGTAGAGACAAGCATTTTCCTCTGTTACCAGTCTTTACGCTGAGCTTAGCTGAGCTAACCAAACCAACTGCTGGCTCCCCCTTCATAGTTATCAGACAGATACAGTATGAGAACGATGTTGATCTTCTCATTTGAATCTCAGCAAGAAAGCACAGAGGCAAATATACCAAAATGTCAAACTATTACTTTAAAGGTTTGAGACATATATCTCATACCCTGTTTGTGTAACTGTGTCTGCCTAAATTATTTTGTGCATCAAAGTATTTAATTTGGAAGCAGAAAATGTGTTTCATCCCTGTCTGCAGTCAAACCGTGCTCTTTTGTCTCTGCTAAAAGAGATAGTGAATAGTTCTTGACAGTACTGACTAAGCTGTCATAAGGCACACAATGCACACCCTCGAAAGCCAAACCTCAGTGGTATTTTTCTTAAAGCATGATAAAGTCTTCCTTGCATCATTTCCGTCAGAAGCTATCCAACCATTCACAGGTTGTAAGGTAGTTACAACAGCTCTGTCCCTCCACAGGTTCTGGCTGCAGTTTAGCACAGAGGATGGGCCTGGACCCGGTTCAGCCATCTCTCTTGACAACATCTCTTTCAGTATGGACTGCTTCCTGGCATGTGAGTACTAAAAAACTATAAAAATGTTGATTCTTTCTTATTTCACTCTTACTTCATCAGACCTTGGTTAAATGAATGGAATCAAACAATGGGGAAAAATGGAAAGTGTATAGTGTATAAAATTTGAGTGGGAGAATTCATCAATAACTGACTTATCCATGATTTATTTATACATTTCATTGTCCTCTTTTGTTTAACTCTAAACATTTGGCAATTCTGAGTCAATACTATTAAAATGCATTTTAAAAATCTTATCATGTCCATGACCTCTACTTCTCTCTAGAAATGATCTTTATCGAATGTATCGCAGCCTTGCATAGAAGTGATATATATCATTATGTTTCTTCGTTCAGTCTCTTAAAGAACCTCTGAAGTGTCCTGAAATGTCAGAACAGTCAAAATCAACCATAATACAGCTTGCTGATTGAGAGGGGTTTGTGTTCTAATGTTGTGCTGCAGGCTTATGAAGGTCAAACCTTGCATGACGTTTCCAGATATTTTTGCGTTATGATTGAGATGGTTTATCAGTATAAAAACAAGTGTAAGATGACAACCAAGTCTGCCATCAAAAATGAAAGGTTTGGAGTTCAGTGCCCTCCCCCCGCACACATCTCTGCCTACGTGGAGGAACCTGTTTGAACAGTGACAGGAATAGTAATGTCTGAGCATCTCTATACATGAATGTAGCTCTGACAATGAGAAGAGTGTTAAAATGGAACAGTATTAAACTGACTACACCTTGCCCAAGAATTAAACTCAAGAGGCAGGGGGCAGGGATGTCACTGACAGGGATGCTTTGTGATGCTGGGTAGATTATAAAACTGAGGCTGTCAATGTTTTTTTCAAGGTGAGAAGGTTTTGGTTTAGTATTGTCACTACATGGATTAAAGATGAATGTAAGAAAGATCAATACTGCTGTGAATGATAACAGCTGTGGAAGCACATTGTTTAGATACCAGTTCAAATGTAAAATAAGAAATGACTGATGTGACTGGCACACATAATGTATTTCCAATTCACCTTTAGATGATGATTATGATGAATTTATTCATCAGCAGCAGATATAATCTCAGCACTATTGCCCTAACTGTAAAATGCAATCAGATAACATAGGTTCATCAGCTGAATAAGATGTGAGAAATTGCTGTTGGTCTAGTCGCCCTGTATCAGCAGGCTTATTGGGTTAGGGGCTCTTTATTTAAGGAGATGACATTTTCCAGGAGATATTTGCACACCAATTTGTGTTTCATGTCCTCTGGAGCAGGAGCACTGGTCGGGCAGCTCTGAAGGATCATCTGTCCCCGCTTTGCTCACTTTCCAGATGGCAAGTTCTTAATCTGGGCCAGGTATCCATTACCTACAGCCACACTTGACACTTGAAACATTTTATCACCTATCAGTCAGACCAGTTGATAGGAAATGCTGAAGCTCAGCAAAAGGCGTCGCTTCCATGAGTGATCACTGTGTGTGATTAACATGATGGATCCCAGAGCATTATGACACAGCCCTGTAATATGTTTTGGTCGGAAAACATACTGCAAACACATTATGCAGAAGTTCAGCCATCCGTGGCCTTTTTCCTACTCTTCTCTAGACTTTAGTGTGATTTATAGTTTGGAATGCATGTGTGTTTGATGATGCATCCATTGCCCTTCAGGTGTTGGACCTGGCTGTCAGTTTTATCATTTTATCTTCACCAGCATCATTAAATTACTTTATTGGGCTAGACAGCACAGGAAGTTCATCCTTTTCTCTCTGCCACGTACCATCACTTCATCCCACGCTACAGTAACAGCAGCACCAGCTGCTTCTATAGAGATCCCCAAACATCACACTGTGAATGTTGCTCCACAGTAGCGAGTCCTTGACATTACTGCATAGTCGATTCAATGCTTCTCAGTAATTTGCCATTGCGAAAATAGAGATTTGGATGGAAATAATTGGATGTGTAGGACTGAAGGCAATATGAAAACAGGCTGTTTTTTACCCATAAAAAGTCACACATAAAGACTTACAGTGAAGGTCCAGTCAGTTTTCCTATTCCAGCTGTGTACTGTATGTGTCTTGGCGGGCTATAGTATTTGTGTTATCTGTCATGGTAAAGTGTGTAATACAGATAATAAATAGTAGATGTATTTGTTTTATTCATCATCACCTGCACCTGTGGGTGCTGAGTGATACAGCATGGTCTAGTAAGTATACATTCTCTACAGTCCCTCAGTGTATTCAGTGATGACATATGAGTCTAATTTAAAGTAGTTTATTCAAATGTGCTCTCTCCCAGGTATATCAGCCACCTCGGTCTCTTATGTGCATAGCAACAACTGGATGAACAATCAGCTGAACAAGCAGCTTCAAGTATGTGCAAGTAAACAGATTAGGAATCCAATAGTAGACTATGTATAATATAATACAGTTTTTGTCCTCTGTAGTGTAGATGTATCTCAGAGCTGCTGCAATCTCGAGATATTTTGGGATTCGTGGCTGGGTGGTAACGAGGTGCCCCCCCAACCCACCTCCCGGTGCTGGCCTCTGGTGGGCTTCAGGTAGCTTACGGCGCCCTGCTAATGAACAGTGACAGCCACGCCGGCTGTTGCCCTGCCCTCTGGTTCATGCTGCTCTATGGTGGACCTGCTGAGTCCTTCTCTTGCTGCAGCAGCATACCAATGCTCTGTGCTCCAGCCCTCTCTGTTCCATAGCCCTTCTGTAGAGTTTTCCACCATGCTCAGAATAGCAATGAAGTGAACCTTATTAGTGACTTTGTTGAAGATATAAAAAGTTGCTTTACTTGTGTACACATAACAAATCTAAGAGTCATAGAGAGACAGTGTTTTGTAAAGTTCTTCTAATGGCCCAAACAATCAAACATTACAGTCATCCTTTTGCCGTATGTGAGCCATCAAATCTGCACATAACCCCTGTCTATATCAAAGCTCCCAAGCAGTGGAGACTTAGATGATCATATTTATTTGAGGATTACAGGACTGGGGAATGAGCTATTGATTTTTTTGCTGGCAGATTTTAGGTAATCGTTGCTAAGGTTTTTTTAAGCTTTGAATCCAAAATTAAAAGATTACTTTACCCCAAAGAAAGTTTCGTTGGAGACCACCAGCTAAAGCTGTCAGACTCAGTGCACAGCTTTGATGTACCTTTAAAGACAAACTGCAGAATTCAAATCAAATCAAACTGTCCTTTAATGATACATCACCCAGGAGACCATTGGTGAAATTTCAACTCAAGCACAAATAATAAGTTGTTTGCTCTGAGTCAAAGTGAGAAGGTTTTGTCTGACCAAATGGAGTGCTGCCACATAGTAGCTTTCCAAACCATTCAGCTGTTGAGGGAGCTCCCTGCCATATTGTCTTAAACGTTGAGCTTTCAGGCTGAGGTGACAGGGGAGCCAGGATGGAAAACAGGGATTGTTTTTGCGGTGAAATGATTACAGGGATAAAGATGAAAAGTCTTGTTTTTGTCCCCTGATACCGCCAGAATGATGGCAATGATGGGAAGGCAGACATGATTTGTTTTCACCAAGGAGGCAAATGACACAGTGTGGGCATCTCATTGGCCTGTCACAATTAGGAAACTCGTAGTCGGATTTCTGCTTGAAATTTACCGCAGGCAACTGGAAACAGCACCTGCTCATCTTGGAAACAGCACCTGCTCATCATTGGGTGGCTGGTGATATATGGAGCTGCGACTTTTTACTTCAGGAATAGTTGTGGCTTAGAAGAGCAAAGCAAGTGAATGAAAATATTCTCATGAAACCTTTAGTTGACACTTTGCTGATGTTTGCCATCCAGGGCTATTCTATGGAGAATATCAGGCAGCAGCAGTGTAAACAAACTGTCTGCTGTTCTGCCGCTCTACAAGGCTACAACTAGAAACCTTCTCTTTTCTCTTGTTGTATGAAATGCAAATAGCCCCTGAAACCATGTAATTGTCCTCTCAAAAGTCTTTTCCAAATGCAAGACAAAAATAGGACTTCATATGCAGGTCGCATGCACATGGAGTATCATTTACAATGCATTGTTTGCAGGCCTCAAGTATCTACACTGAGCACATTGAAAGTATTTAATAAAAGGCTCATTGGCATTGATAGACTGAAGCATTGTGGCAGTCAAGCTGAAACAGTAATGATTTCTACTGTTCTAAAGCTGACAAGGGAGTCCTGGCTCTGTGGGTGGTATGTACTGTATCTTTTGTTATGAAAGTTATGAATCAGAGACAGGACCAGAAGAATAGCAGCAGATCAAGATCTGAAACCATGCCTCTGTTAAGTGTCATATCATTGTGTGATGGCAGCATTATCAAGACTGCAAACCGCAGTGAACCTTATCTGACGTCCCTGAATCTCAGTTGTACAAAAGTCCTCCGTTTTCACAGAAACCAACAAGGGTCATCTTGCAACAGAGCCACTGAGAGCTTTCTTTCTACAGAACAAAGCATCAAAGAAACAAGATGCTGGACAGAACAAAACATGGCCTTTCCTTGTAAAAAGAGTTAAAGTCCCAGACACTTTTGTAGCAGCTAAGCTGAACATTTCTGGGTCTGGGGTTGATCATTTTATGTGCACGTCACACAAGTAGAGGGAAATGATACTTGTTCTGGGATGTCTCCAATGACTATTTTGATCAAATACTTATTTAAATGTAAGATTTCAATATATTTTGTCCTCTTGGTGTTATAATACTGTTGTTGGACATTTATTTTGTCATTTCTGAAGTTCCCCAAGTAAATACTGGAATAGTATTTCGTTATGTTCGGCAGACAGGGTTGCATTGATTGGTCCTGTAGCCTCTACAGTCCCCGATCAGATGTGGCAGCAGCTTTCTTTAAAACCATTCAGGGCAGTCTTTTTTAGCACTGATTGCAGTGCATGGACCTAATCAAAGAAAGTCATTCATCTACTCAGTGATCCAGTCAAGCAACCATGGGAGCTCCTGTTTCTCCATCTCTACTGAAAACTAGAGAATGGTGACAGGTGACTCTTTATTTCATTTCAGGTCAGCATCCAACCACTTCCTACTACTTCAGCATCTTTGATGAAAAAAAAAGGTTCCTCTATCTTGAGCCATAACAGCCAATCAGCCAGCTGTTTGCCTGGAAGACTTAATTTTGGGTGAGAATTTGATGGGAAGGGATCAAGGTACCAGCAAGCTTGTGATCTCAGTCCCGAGAAAGTGGAGGGGCTGGAGGCCTGATGGATTGCTACAAAACACCCAGACTGAATGTGCTCACACATCTACTGTAGGAACAGATAGAGATGGGGAGAGATGGAGAGGAGCAGGATTTATGCAGTCTACTCCTTCTGTAGCCATTGGTGGTACAAATGAAAGAATGACCTCTGCTGGTGGCTTCACTTTTTCTGTGCCAGTGAGTGGTCTGCAGATGCTGTGCTTATGCAGTTCTTCAGTGCAACACCAACAGGATTTCACTGCTGCTCATGAAAGAAAGAAAGAAAGAAAGAAAGAAAGCAGCCTTTTCAATAAATGCATTACATTACTTTTCAGCCAACGGCGAATTCCCACCAGTGGTCACAAACACAACCAGGCTGCCGTTTAGACCGACTATCAAGACTACAGCCACATCCATCGGAAGCCCTTTGATGAACTTCCCCACCGCAGACTACTGTAAGTATGAGCCTGATTGCCACAGTTAAACTGAAAGTGTGAGTGAAGCTCAGATGTGAATGCCCTCCACCCTGAAGGAGAATATTCTCCACATTGACATTTTCTGTATGTATGCCTTCTGGCTCTCTTTGTCTTTCCTGCTCTCCTCTCTGCTCACACATCAAACTCATACACACGTACGCTTGCATGCATTAATGATTCACAATTACTGTACACGTGCTGAGCATGGCACAATGTATGGGCTGCAACAACGTAAGTGTGCCCCCTACTGGTCTTTACCACATCACATCTGCGTGAGTGCTGCTGAGATCTCCTTTGGCATTAAATGGAGCAGGACAGGCAGTTTTGAAGTGTAAAATCCTCCAATTTGTCTCCTGAGAATGTCAGTGGAACCAGTTACACAGACTTGACATTTTCCACCTCATACTCTCTCTCTTCCCTGCTTCAAAAGGGTAAAGACAAGCACAGGTTCAGTTTCTATATTTAAAGTCATAAGTTAGAGTTACTTTCATATCAAACCAGCGCTAAAACACATTTCTCCAGCTAGTATCTTTGAAGTGCTTGAGGTATACCGGACTTCTCTGCTGTAACATATCAGGCACTGCCATTTTAGAGTAACACTATATTGAATAATCCTCAGAAATAATTTGCTAAGCATGTATACTTCACACTTCTTAGTCAAATGCTGAACAAATGTGACTTTGAGGACTGCTTTCCACTCCAAAGAGATGACTGGTATGAACTGTGTTTAGGATTGTAAGTGCATTCAACTATATCGTGTTTTCTGTCCCAGACAGCACAGAAGGATTTTATTACATTCATTCACTGTTAAAGCCCATCAAACCAATTTTGTTGGGTCTGGAGACTGTCCTTCTATTTGAAACTGGTTAGATGAATCACACTCTCATACTGTGGTTCCTGACACATTTTCCGCTTTACATCGCCAAGTTGCATTCGAACACACCGCAAAGACCACAGCCAACATATATTTTGAGCCTCCATGAGTAAAAAATAACTAGTCATACATTATATTTCTATATCCCAAGAACTTAGTGCTAAAATGCATAAAACAAACTAGCTGACCATTTTTATGCCCAACATTGGTCTTAAGCTTTAATCTGTCTCATAGGCAATTTGAAAATATGTCTGAAAGCTTTACTTTCCTTCGCACTGGTGTGGAAAAGAAAGTGCCAAAAATAAAGTGAATTCACAATACATGGGAGAAATCACTGATAAATTAAGCCTGAAGAGTTGGTCAGAAGTTCTCTCACTGTCAGTGCACTGCAGATTTAACGTATACTATTAAATCTGCTCAACAGCGGTTAATAAGTACCAGCTAGGGCAAACAGTGCCTCACGCACATGACAAAAAGTAGGCTGATGTTCAGACACAACAACAACAACGCTGAACAGCAGCCCTCAGTGAAACTTGTGGCTCTTCTTGTGCAGCGATTTGTCTGATTAAATGTCTATGATGTGGGTCACTCCTCCAACTTGAACACAGAGAGGCCTATTTGTCTCTAGACGGTCAAATGGGGATAGTAAAAGATCAGACTAATGTTTGGTTGGCTAATATGATTTGATAACTTTACAGGATTATGCACTGAACTGGAGCTACAGGAACGGGTCAGTCAGCAAACAAAGGCTACTCAGTCAAATCTTTACTGCTGAGCAGGAAGCACTCTTGCTCTTGAGGAAACATTTTAAATACAATATTAATATTATGTAAGAGTATTTCACATAGAAGAGTTTGGTACAACAATTTTGCTTCAAGAGCAGCAACAAATGATTGATGATAATGCTATTCCAAAGAATGTGAGACAGTTAACATGTAGCCTATTGATTTCAGTGTTAAGGACTTGGGATGAATTTTCAATAAGATCCATAGGACATGATGTTTATGACTCTCATTTGCTCCCTTAGTGCCAGCAGTAGGCAACACTAGCTAATGTTGGCATAGAAGTGGAGTCTGCTTACGCCAAGAAACGGCTCCCTGCACAAACTCCACGTAAACACAGAACAAAAAAAAGTTTTATCCAGTGAAGCCTGTCAGGCCACATGGAAAGTTATTGATGTCATTGGAAAACTGGGGTCAACATTAGCATCATGATAACAATATAACGCTTTATAAATCCTGTTTCAGACTAACATAATGCTAGTCAAACTGTAGTCTTGCATCTAGCCAAACCTCTCCACACATTTCAGCACCATGCCAGAGATGAAGGACTTTAGTTACCTCGTCTATCAACAAGATGGAGGCTCAATGACATTCAGTCTCATGTAGTCAAGCTGGCCGTCAGGACTATCAGAAAAATATCAGTGGGCTAGTGGACCTTCAAGAGATCCTTTAAGTTTCTACGGTCTCTGCCAGTCTCTTTACCAGTCCTCTCTGTGTGCCTGCTATTGGGGACGTGCATGAGAGCATGCCACATGTGTGTTCCAGCAGATAGGTCTAGAGCGTCACGCCGCCGCTGGTAGAAATTCCTTCCCTGCACTCGCTGTTACGTCGCTGCCGGTCTTTCATCTGCAATCCTATTTAATCACATTCAGAACTCAACAAGGTCTGGGGGCAACTGCTCCTTCTTATGCTCCTGGTAAATTGGCTCCTTCTAACCGCCGCAAAGGGCTGAATTTCTTTCCCAGTCCAACCATCACATCACTGTTTTGGCCAGTGCCCAAGATGCTCGCTCGTGCCTACTTCTGTAATGTGAGCGGACAGAAGCGCGAGCAACAGGATGTTGGCTGCATTTCACTTATTGGCCACCGTTAAGTGAACTGCAAGGGTTTTCTGATTGTGAAATATAGAACCTGTAATGTGATTACACAGGTAATACTCAGTATGGTTACAATAAAGCCAGCAGACTTAAATCTCCTCAGAGAAACATGGGACTTTTACGATCACACTGCGCTTGCCCTTGTAATTATCATAGATATTAACTCTGGGGAAAGAAGTTGAACTTGCAGTGATATGTTGGTCATTTCAAAAACTGCCTTGAATGGTTAACATTCTCCAAGCGTCTCCCTTCTCCCCGTCTCCACTTCTGCAGCTGATGCTTTGACGTCTGCAGGGCAGGACGGCAACCCTGATGAGAGTTTTAGCTCAGCAGACCTGTCACTCCAACAAGGCTGTCTTCTTCCCCCGACACGCTCAATGATTAACCCCACCAAACGTCAACGTCTCTTGTCTCCTCTCACTCTCCCCTTCATCTTTCCACTCTCTCTGCCACCATATCTGGGCCTGGCACATTTAGTTCCTTTTTGTTTCTCCATTTGTTTCCCATCATTTAAAAGCTGTTATTGACTGTCTGTTACTTCCCATTACTGCCGTCTTATCCGTCAGCGTTACCCAGATCTTAGTCTGCTGTCCCACTTCTTGTTCCTGCTCTTCTTTTTTTTCTTCACCATAACTTCACCTTAATTATTTTTCTTTCTTCTAGTCCTTTCCCCTCATCTCCATTGATTTCCCACTATTCTGGCACCAGGCACTTTCATTTCTCACCACTGCCCTTCTGTGTGGCACCCACCCTCTCTGCTGACTCATCAGTTGCTTTGGGGGGGGGGTGAGGAGTGAAAAAGTCCACCTAGATGAGCTGGCTTCCCTTTCTTTCTGTGATTACTTCTCCTGATGGGAAAGGAATGCGTCGCTAACCTCAAAAAAAAAAAGCTCTGGGCATATTTTTCTCTGGCCATTCACTGTATAAGAGTGTGTATGTGTGTGGGTGTGTGAATGACTAAGATTTGTGTTTCCAGGTTCTTTTAAGATGATAAAACAACACAATACACTGTCACGATGCAAAAAAATGTCATTATATTTACACCTTTTCTGCAAAAATGTAGCAGGATGTACAAGCATTAGCCTCTTTGAACAGACGGCACATTTTCATATCAAAGTGTTCCACTTCCGCTCATATAACAGACAACAACAAAAAGCACACAGTTTTATGGAGTAGACTTGCAACAAATCAAAGATATAAGGCTCATTTTCTTTATTCATTCTCTCTTGCTTTTGATTATCATAACGTGGTTGATCTCTTCTTTTTGTTTTTCTTCTATTGATATATAGAATTGTTATTATATTAACTACCATCACTTGGTGTAATTGTGATAACTTGTTGCTATCAAACAACAATGCTAAACACATATATATATACATAAACACACATTACCCACACATTCCTGTTCTAACCTAATCTCCACTCCTGACTCTTATCATTACATTAAGCATCATACCCGATTATAGCTACTTTATGTTTATTGTGTGTATTTCCGTCCAGTGTGTCTAATTTATTTATCTTCATGTCATCATTTTGTCTTTTATGCCATCTTTGTCATGCTTATTGTGTCTGTTTTCCTATTATTATTATAATTATTATTTATTATTTTGTGTCACACACAAAATAAAAAAAATGGCATGGTGACTGAAGCAATCTGATTGGCTCTTGAAAATAAATGACAGCAGATGTCGGTCCCTGAATGCTGCATGCAGTAAAGGCGTTTTGGCCATTACGTGCTCACTAATTAGTCTTTGCCTCATTGTTTACTTGTTCATATACACTGGCCTGCGGCAATCAGTGAGCTAGTTGTTGTTACTTTGGGTTTTGGAGGGAGAACATTAGTCAGTAAGACAGATATGAGACTGATAACGAGCAGTGCCATGCAAAAGAGGCTTTTGTAATTAATTGGACTCGGGTGCTCTGTAAGCTTTGTATTTAGCATTCAAGTGCATTCACGGTGTGCCAACCTTGATCCATCTTTCTAATGGCCAGCCCATGGAGGACAACTGTCACTGGATAAGGTGGATATATGCTAAGAAAGAAATCAGTGTAAATTGTGTGTTTCTTTTTAACTACAGTATGTCTGGGGTTCATGTAGTTGTCTTTTAAAGTTAAAGTGGAATTTCATTAATTCGGGGATGAAAAGGGATAGCATTGAAAAACAGGTTATCACATGCATTTGAAGTGCTTTGCTTTTGAATGAAAAGCAGCGGTGCAGACAACACAGGGAGCACAAGACGTTGAGCCACAGTGTTTGTCCGTTGTTTGTCTGTTACCGCTGCGAATAGTTATTCTGTTAATCATGTCAAGTTGTGGCTCAATAGTCTGATAATTAGACTGAATCACCTGTTTTGCCCCAACCAGTTGGTAGTGACTGGCATATCCGTCCCATCCACATCATTTACAGTGGTGGATACGAGCATTTAACTTAACTTAACATTTGTCATCTCGATCAAAGAAACATTATGCTAAACTAAATTGTTTTCAAGATAGTGATAACAAAACTGATGATTCTTTTCCCTGTAAACCCCAAAGAAAAACAGAAAAATATTAGTAGTGTAGAGATGTAAGAATTGCGAAGAACAGATTTTTCTCTGCCATAAGTAGAGGACGTCCTTATTTGTAAGCGGCCGTTGTTTTGCTGGAGCCATTACCACCTCAGCTGCTTGCATTAGTGCCTGGTGTGGTTGGCTGCGTTTTTTTACACAGGTCCGCTGTTTGTCTGAACGTGGCCTTAGTCCAGCCTGCAAAGTTCTGATTGGCTCAGTTTTTCCAAACGGGGAAAGAAATGATGTGGAACCAAGCTAACCCAATCATGGCTAAAGTGTAAAAACATTAGAGCATGTATGCCTCAAATAGCAGTTTGGCACAAAATGCCTTCTTGCACTGAGCGATGAAGGTGCTGTCCATATGTCCATTTGACAGTCCATCTGTCTCTCGCTGCATACAATTTCTTGGATATTTCTCATCAATTTTTCATAGAACTGAAAGAATCTCATCGCTTCATTCTGGCAATTTAGAACTACTCACACTGTAGACATAATTGGGTGCTTGTTTACTTGTTACAGATTGGCCTAAGCGCTGCCTTTGTCATTCATAGAGAATGACATGCTTAATGTGTCTTGTTTAATAATGTTCTGAGGAGATAACAACTGCTGGAACATTACTGTCAGTATTGCAATCATATCAGAGAGATTTTTCTAAACTGTGAGTCTCGCTCTCTCCCTTTGACTCTTTGTCTCTGTCTCCGTCTTATTCGACTCATCTGTATTAATTCCTCACTGATGACAGTGTACAGCATTGGCCCCTTCTTTGAGGACAATGTTTGTTATGATCATAGCATACCACCAGTGGCAAAGTTCACAGAAAAGGAGTTTCCCCAGGGATGTTTGTGTGTGTATGTCCGAATCGGTATGTGTACATGAGTGTGTGCATGTGTGTTGCTGGTCAGAAGAGCTGACGAGTGTGCACAGCTGCACACCACTTATTAGAGAAGACTATCTTCTGTGAGAGCACATCTTGTTTTTGTTTGTTCTGCCAAGTGCACGTGTTTGTGTGTGTGTGTGCGTAAGAACTCGCTCATATCGATGGCCCATCAATGAGCTGGGTTGAAGTGTGAAAGCACCCGTACCCTAGAGAGACGGAAGAGAGAAATCGAACGTAAGACTTTGCTATTTTCAACACTAGCTACACTAATGTCAAAAAGTCAAGCTCACTCTACATAACAAGGATCTCATTCATATCAAACAGCCAAGAATTCACTTCTCCATATAAGAAAAACTAAATTGAGATACAAAATTCAGACTATATCTTACTGTCACGTCTTTCTCTTTAGCTTGTCCAACCTTAACTGATTGCCATCTCAGAGTAACCCATTAAATACAGTAAGATTTGCATTTAAAGCACTGTTTGGCTTTGGAGGGCTTTTCTGCTCCAGAGATGGATTTATTCCCAGCTGTCTTAACTCTTTTTACCTAGCTGGGTGTTGAAAATACTGACTCGGGGGATCAATTTACTGCTGCTGGATGGGAGCCAGACAGAGCTCCAGTCACCCCACAATTGTTTTTTACAGTAGGAGTGCATTTGCTAAGACCAGGCTAAACTCCAAATCGTTCCGTTACCATAGAGGTGTTTCAGAGTGTTTTTCAAAGTATCAGCCTGTTTGAAATTGTCTCTGCTGGCAACACTTTACCAAAATCAAAAGAAATGCTTGTGGGGAGACGGAGTGGAGCTCAGTATGAATTACTGATGGTGGATCACTTACGGGGTGCCCTTGGACCAAAGCAATCACGAGGATCAGACTGACAAATCGGATGCTCGACATGCAGTCCATCCAGATTTCAGCAGCAGTGCTAGTCATCATTTGGACTGGCAGTGACAGAAACAGGCACTAGAAATTATTACATCCCAAAAACACATTACTCTTTACTGTGAAAGCACAATTGCTCAATTGCTTGCTTTTTCCACTGGAGATAATTAGTCAGAAAAGAGTGCATATTCTTATTTCGTTGTTTCTAGGAAAATACACAGGTACACATATTCTTAAAATACCAGCTTCCTGCCGTTGTCAGAGAGAGTAGGTTTTGGCGAGAGATCCTGGTGAATACTGGAATCTCTAGTCATAGGCTTCAGCTCTAATAGGCACTTCACAGCAGGCAACTTCAACAGCAAAAGGTGTTGTGGTGAAAGCATCATAAGTTTAGGTTGCACTCCTGAGACTTCTCTCAAGCTATCTCTTCTCTTTAAAGCAAAAAGTAAGAAAAAAAAAACTAAAAAATGCCTATGTCTGCCCATTCTAAATCTAAATCACAAACATTATTACAGTCAGACTCAGCAGCAAGTCTAAAGTCACAAAAACCACCATGCGAGTTGAACGCCTTTGACTTTAGCTGGTGTCAGATTTGCAATAATCACTCGTGCTCTGAAATGAATGATAAGCAGTCTCAGAGAGTTCACAGGCAGGCTGAGGGAGAAAGAAATGAGAGCGAAAGCGGTGCTTCACTCCCTGGTGTCGTCCTCTCTGCTCTGTGTTCACAAGCCTTAAATCAGGATTTAGCACTGCGGTGTTAAGTCCTTCCGCGTCCATCTGACAAGACTAATCTTGTGCTAACTACAGTGAAAAGAACCCCAATTAGCACCAGCACGTGGGATTACAGCGAAAATGAGGAGAAATGTTTGTCACCTGTGATCCTGTCACTACCCTGCTGCAGTTGTGAATGTGATGATGGCAGCATCTCATATGCGTAGCTTCCAGTTTGAAGCTTGCCCCCCCCCCAATATGTAATAATTTGTTTCATATCTCTATATTTGGGTTTTATTGACATGAAAGCGGAGCAGTGGGGAATGTGAAGTGGAATGAATGTGAGACAAATAGAACTGTAATGAGTCTGTGGTGTGCATTGAATTTCAGCCTCTCTGTCATCTTTAAGTTTGTTTAAATGCATGTGAGACTGAATGCAGAGTGTGTCTGCGGCTGTGTGTGCTCTGTGAAGTGCTAAATGTTGTTTTTTCTTTTTCTTCATGTGCAGCCAAAAAATGGATTTTTCATACCTGTGGGGCAGTGGGCCCTGAAGGCCCGACTCCCACTCAGTGCCTCAACTCCTACAGGAACAGCAACGTCAACGTGACAGTAGGCACCCGAGGCCCCTTCAAAGGCATTCAAATGTGGCGCGTCCTGGAAACTGGCACCTACAGGTACGACTGATGCCAGAGTACAGCCCCTGAGCACATAAACATCAGACCTCACCATTATTTGTAGAGCAAATTTTTTACTCAGCACCCACTCTTTGACAATTTATCTCTTTATGAAGGATCTCATTGTGTTGCAAGGCCAATCATTGGGTATATATACTTGGACTCATGAGCATTCAACACATACAGTGTACAGTACACATCTCTCATTTTTAGGCATTAGCACTCTGTGCAACTCACACAGTCTTTTTCGCAGCAATGCAGACTCTTCCTCACACCCACCTCCTCTCCTCTGTGCATCGGCAGCACATCAATCTTCCACAAGCAAACAGAGAAATATCACTATCAGATTCTTGCAGAGGGGAGCAGAGACTGGAGTAATGGCAGCTAAATAGTATGATTCACTCCACACCTGACTCCAAAATCCAAAAACTACCCTCCTCCATATCCAAGTTGGTGGCCTTTACGACTTCAAAATACCTTAACAATCAGCCACAGCACCTTGACCTCAAACTGTGTACTGCCCCAAGATTAATGCTGTAATATCCACTACCTCGTGCAGGATCAATATTTCTCCTGTGGGCATTCATGACAACATGAGGCGTTTAACTTGGATTTGACTTGGACTCTTCAAACAGAGATGCCCCTGAAAGCTGCTCACCTCCCACAACCACACAGAAACAAACAGGCACGCAGTTCTACACACACACCGCTAAGCTCAGCCAAAAGCCTTGAGTCTTAAAATACCTAGCAAACAACAACGTGGACCTCACTGTCATAACACATGTCCTGGAGTTTTAGAAAAACACCTTCTGTCTCCACACAAACTCCAAAAATGTGGTCTTGATTCGGCCTGGTTTAGCTGGCAGAGCCTGTAAACGAAGCTGACAGACGGCCACAGAGATGCATATGCGCTCTGCATCTCCCAAAAGTCATTAGGCAAACAGCTGAGGTAGCTACTGAGCACCGGGCAACGTTCTTTCTCTCCCCACCAAGCTCAACCACCAGGGATAAGAAATATCGAAGCACTCCCAAAAACCAATCAAGCTGTTGTTTTTTTCTTGGCAAGAAAACTGGAGCATTTGAAATTAGTGTCTTCTGCTACAAAGGTGTGTATTTGTAGGTCTGTTTGTGTGCCCATGCACTGTAGTCTATGCAGTCTAGTTCTGTTTACGTATGTTTTTATAGTGTGCCATGCTAGATCAAATGGTTGATTAAAAACACTCATGGTGAAAGTGTGTTTCAGTGTTTCCAAATTAACATTGGTAGTTATTTAATGTTGCACACTCATGAAATCACTGGGGGAATACGACTGTTTATCAGCCTCAAGTTATTTCTGATAAACAAGTACAGTACAACCCAGAACATACAATAAAAGCATCATTATTGTTGGGTGAAAGAGTTAAACCCATAAAATCCTTTTAAAACTAAATGGAATCAACCAGCCTTCCATTTCCTCTATCATTAGAATAATTATCTCAGTAATTAGTTTTTTTTTTATTTGTGAGTTGTTTTTGTTTTCATGTGTGAAAATCAGGATCACAGCCTACGGTGCCGCTGGCGGTCGTAGTGTATTGGCCATGAGCAGGTCACATGGCGTCTACATCACCGGAGACTTCCTGCTGAGGAGAGGAGATCTGCTTTACATCCTGGTGGGACAGCAAGGAGAAGACGCATGCCCCAATGTGAGTGTTTTTTAATTCATTGTGATTCAATGAGTCAACTATCTATGAGTCAGTAAACAGATGTTCAGTGGCATATGAGAACCTATACAGTAGTTTACAGTTTCTCCTAAAGCAAGATACTACAAGAAAAATGAATAATTATACATTCAATTTACAGGTCTATTGTAAAATAGCTATAAATGATTCACATTTCTGAAATAATCCAATTTTTCTTTTTTATGGACCCACAAATGGGTATAACTTCACTATCCCCCATGTGTTTGTTTTTTCCAAACAATGCCAATGTAGGAAGTTTAAAGTTGCTTGATAAATTTGATTGAATTTTTTGCTTGTCCACACTGTACAACTAGATAGTAGTGGAAGGGAGATTTACAGTGAGACTCAACATTCTTAAGCATTTTACAAACAGGATAACTTTCAGGGGCCCTGGCAATCCTCCTCATGGAGCCTGAGGGGTCCCCAGACCTGACCCACTACCCGTGCTTTAAGTTGTATCTTTGTTTTTGGCCACCAACAACTGTTAAATCTGCAACGACGCTTGCAGTGATCTCCCCGTTGTCATTCTTAAGCTTACTTGTGTTCTTTTGCCAGGGGTGGCTGTCATCCATTATGCTCTGGAGTTTCTTCACTGGCAGCAGCACAGCATGCTTCCTCTCACAGTTCACAACACTGAGACTAAAACCCTCACAATCCCTCCAGTCGCCAGTGAAACCATCCATCATACGCTATTTAGATGTTCTAAAATTTAGGCCTGTCCCTCCCCTGAAACTGGGGGAGAATGTAGTTGCTGAAGTTTGACACTTGTCAAACAACAGTCACTGAGGAAATTACCAACAGAGTCTTAAATGTTTCACAAAACACATACAGTAAAATACATGACTTTCTGTAGAGTTCACACAGTTCATCTGTGGGCTGTATAGGCGTTTTTATGTCTTTATGACACATGCTGTGTAAGGTAAGGTTTCTGTGCCCTTGTTTATAGTTATATTCATGTATAAAGTAACAACACATTTCCATATTAATGGGAAAAACATCATAAAACTGCTCTACCTTTTGCTCTAAGAAATGGAGGCCATGTGTTACACAAAGACAGCTACAGCATGTCAACATAAAAGTATCCTCTACACAATATATTGGTCTTATTAATGTTCACTTTAAGGAATTAACTGGTTAGAGCACTCATCTTAAAGACCCCCCACAATGAAAATCATGTTTTCAACCTTGTGGGCATGTCCATATGGTGTTTCTTATATGATACAAAACATATCATGAGCAAAATAAGCAGTCAACGCCATATTTCCATCATGAAACTGCAGTGAACGAATCACTGCCTCAAAAACACAGATTCAGGCAGCCAGGCTTTCATAGATCACAAACCTAAGGAACCAATCCAAACCAATAGGTGTAGAGACAGTTGTCAGTGGGGTGAGCGAGAGTCTGCATTAGCACAACTACTAACATTGTGTCAGCCACTGACGGCTAACAAACAGCATAAACAGTTCTGATCTGTCTGCTAGTCTCTGGTTCTGGTTCTGGTCTCCACAGACTCCTCATCTGAGTCTGGGTCTGACTGAGGCTCAAACATGAGTCTCTCCGATGTTTCTTCTAACACTAGCCATCTTGATGCACACTGCTCTTATACTGAGGAAGAAGAGGGACAGCATAGAAGTACAAAAAAAGTATGAAAAAGTCACATTGAAAATGAAAACATTTAAAGAAAAAGCCTTCATATGAAATGTAAACATTTAGATTAATGGTTTTCCGACATGAATTATAAGAAGCTGATGTAGCAGCCCTTTTTGTATCGTGGATGGTTATAGCGGGATATCAGGCATCTGGGTTTGTTTTCAAGAGGCAGAACATGAAGCTTTGCTGGCTGAGGTCCTCACCACTGTCATCTAGTGATTAGGTTTTAACACAGTGTGTCTTGAAGTGCTCAGTACAGCAGAGAGGGGCTGGGCTGTTCCAAACTGAGACTGAAGTCGTTTAAGGTTCCCCTTTTTTCCGTCTGTTCTGACAGGGAGAGGCAGGGACTCTCTCCAAAGGGTCACTCTGAAAGTGATTTGTACTGTAGAACAGTATTTTTCACAAGTAGCCTTCCCCCTGGTGAGGGAAATGATACCCTCCTTGTCCTGACTGATACTCACTCTTTCTGTGCGTGTCTTTCTCTTTCTACTGTGCTCATCCACATACCCAACACACACACACACACACACACACCTCGTCTCGTCTCTGTCTCTCTCAGACACAAACTCAACTTTAAAGTGAGGAGCTGCCGTGACAGAACAGGCTGAGAGGGAGAGAGAGACAGTGAGGAAGACTCTCCCAAAACATTTGAATGCACTGCCTTTTACCCCCTCAACCTGTCAATCACAGTCACTAAAGTCCCGCCCCCTCCTCCCTCCCAGTTCCAGGTTCAGACAGATGTGGGAGTCGAAGAGAGCGATGAGTGACTGTGAGTGTGATCGTGTGAGGTTCAGCCAGAGTGAGAGGAGGAAACTTATGCCCTCTCGCTCTCAGAGTAGGACTGGCTCCAGGCGGTTCAGCAGGATAGCACATACAAGGCAGGCACATCAATTCACAAAACCTCAGCTATGGCAAAGTCCCCATACTCACATCATTTGCCAACATAATGTCCAGTTCCATTTTAATACAGGATGTATTTCTGGGAGCCAGAGTGGAACAATTACAAGCTGGCTGACACTGGTTATTGGTTAACAACATAAATCAACTTAAAGCAAAATGCCAATGGAATCATGTTAGGGTAGTTTTTACACAGATTCATACCCCTCTAAGATGCAATGCATTATTTTCAACTCATTTAACCTGCAGCAATGATAACACAGATGACCATTGTTATTGGTATGCAATAAAAAGGCTATTGGTCACATCGGGAACATGAAGACGAAGATATTCATCAAGTATAGCAAGTATAGAAAATCGGTAAAAAACATAAAAAATATATTCACACTTTATTCACACATCTGCAACATAATTAACTATACCATATATACAGTATGAATTTATTTGAAACAGCATAAAATCAACTCCTGACATGTCATATTCATTCAGTAACATTAATCCAACCCTCATGAACAGGAAGCTGCTCAGCAGCAGTGTCACAGACTTACAGTCATGTTAAACACAGAAAATCACTAAAAAAAAATCAAACCACAATAGAATTATCTCATAAAGGGAACAGTGGACTTTCTTTCCAGTTCCTGTTTGCATATTGATGTTTCTGCTTGGTATTTGCGCACCATTGTTATGCTAAAACCTTGGACTCACAGCAGCTGGGACTGACTGACATCAGTGAAAGCAATTCTTTGGTGAACTGACATTTCTCTCTCTCCTTGCAGTCCAACGCTGTACTGAATAAGATCTGCCTGGAACAGAGTAGCCCAATGGTGAACAAAACCCAAGTGAAAGGGGGCGGAGGAGGAGGTGGCGGTGCTACATATGTATTCAAGGTAAGAAGTTGCTGAGGGAATTACAGTCCGGGAGATGTTTTTATGCAGGACTGTGTAGGGATTTATAGAGTTTCATATGATATTCCAGTGAAAAACATGTGACACACACACACAGACACAAAAGCAATATGCTTATTTGCTTTCTTGCCAAGAGTCAGGCTACAACCAGCAGCTGGTTAGCATATCTTAACATGAAGACTGGAAACAGAGGGAACAGTTAGCTAGGATCTGTCTGAGGGTCACAGATTCCAACTAGCACCAGAGCTGAAGCTCACTAATTAACATGTTATGTTGCATAAAACTGTTTTAGAGGGGTTATGTGTTGGACTACTCCTTGGGTTTCCGGAATCTCCACTGGTTACCTGACAACTGGTTTTCTTAGCAACTTGTGTGGATTAAATAAAGAGGACATAACGTGTGATTTGTGAGCTTTAGCAGTGGAATGTTTTTAACATATGAACAAAGTCAGGACAGCTGTTTCCCCCCTTGTAAAAAAATATAAGTTGTATCAGTGTTCTCATATAACTCTCAGCTAGAAAGCAAGTAAGTGCATTTCCTAAATGTAGTTTTTCCTTTGAGCAGAAGCCTCTATGTAAATATATCTGTAAAAATGATGACTCAGGTGGAGAAAGGAGTGTACATGCCCCTCATCATTGCTGCTGGGGGAGGAGGCCGAGGCTACAGCAGCCAATCAGAAACCCAGCTGGAGCAGATGGACTATGACCCCAGCCAACCTGGACACAATGGGAAGTCAAACGCAGCAGGTATGCTACGCACAGCTTTGATGTGTGGTGGCTCTGTGCATGTGAAGGGAAATACAGTTTGTGACAGCAGTTATATGTTAGTGAGAGAGATTATTACAGGAAGAATACAGTGTATCTTATACACACTTATAGTGTAGTAAATGTGTATGAGACATTGTCACCATAATGGATGAGAGTAATGACTAATAACCCATTGCAGTGCTATAATGTGTATGTCTTATCTTTTCCAACTTTAGGATGAGAAATGCCATGTGTTTTCTATTCCCTCTGCATGCAACTGCAATAATAAGCCAGGTTTACAGATAGCCTGGAGTGGAAGTGTTCATTTGCATGTCTACCTGTACTTGTAAACATATCCATTCCCCCTGAAGGTTTTTACTTCTGTCTTAACATACAAGTTTCATAGATATTTCACCTGTGTGTGTGCGAGTTTGTGTTTTGACAAAAGCAAAACCGTGTGGCCCTACTCATGATAATTCATGTCGGGGACTTCACTGGGCAGAACTAAGTGTAGTGTTGTATCCATGCACACTGCAGGTTCCATTATTCATGTACTTAGAGCTGACGAGCATCCCAGAAAACACAAGATATTGATTTTTCACATCTTCACAAAGCCCAACGTTTACTTTTGAGGAAACTCGTGAATTAAATATTCAGCATCTCTTTTTTTTGTTTTTTAATTTTTTTGTTTTTTAATTATTTGTATCTCTCAGGCTTCAGAAGAGAAGGAGGAAAACAAAAGGGGAAAATTAAATTGGCTGGTGTTGGGAAATATGTGAAGGATTAGTTTTAACTTTATTAGCTATAACTTTAATCTTGTGTTACCAGGTCTCTTTGAAGGGATTTTTGTTTTTGTGGTCTCTGCTCTAACCCGTGTTGTTATCACTAATAGGGGATTGTTGTGCATGGTTATGTGAATATACATGATACTTTGTGTGTGTGTGTGTGTGTGTGTGTGTGTGTGTGTGTGTGTGTGTGTGTGTGTGTGTGTGTGCGTGCGTGTGTGTGCGCGCATGTGCGCCCATAGACATGCCACATGTATTTCTGCAGTTTAGCATTTTTTCCGCTGCTTTGACCCACTTAAGAACTCTCTTTCTCTTCCTTCGCCTCTATCACACACACTGTGATCCACAACACAACACATTACTTCACATCATATCAAATGTGTGTTTGGTGACAGGTGGAGGTGGAGGTTGGAACGATAGTGGTCCTGTCAGTCAGGGCGGCAGACCACTGGTGCTGGGGGGCCAGGGTGGGCAGGCCTGTCAAAAGTTCTGGCAAACCCGTGGCGGCTTCGGGGGCGGCGGGGGTGGCTGTATGTCTGGAGGTGGCGGCGGAGGCTACAGAGGTTAGTCCAAAAGATTTCCAAGGTTTTTCTGAGAAAAAAGTTTAATAAATCATTTGTCTTGGGCTGTAGGACCCAATTGTACATCTAACAGTGCCACATGAGTTTTACACTGAATGTGACAGAGTGACAGAGTTTATACGGATAAAGGATCAGGTTGAATATGTCCTCGCCCTCTAACTGACCAATCACTGTAAGTCAGTATTAGATTATGACACTGTGTATCACTGTGTACTTGGCATAAACACTGAGTTGTGTTTGTTATGCAAGATAAACTTCAATGATCCTCTGTAGAAAACTGGGTCATTACAGCAATGGTTCATACACAGAAGGCATGAAGAAAATCAAATTATAAGAAATATAAATAACACTAAAGCAAATAGGGTGGAAAGCATAGCAGATAACTGTTACTCTACATTAGAATGCATTGGTAAGTACAAGGATGAAAGAAAAAAAAAGGGTGGGCAATCGGAGTAAGTTTGACTGGGATTACAGCAGAATTCCCTTTGAATACACCATGTGTTAATTGGTGAAACTATGATGCTGAGGTTTTGTTACTGATAATTGTGTTTGTGTTGCCCTCCTTGTTTCAGGGGGTAACACCTCCGTAGATAACAACCCCAAACATGATGGTGATGATGGCACCTCTTTCCTGGGTCCAGAGGGAGAGCCCTTCCTCTATCCTCTGAAAGGTAATGTGAGAGGATTCTAGGCCGTGTTTAAAAGATACAGACAAACCATTCCGCAGTCGAACATCTGCAGTCAACATATTTGTATTCAACATTTGATAACTTTGTATTGTTTCTAGGTGAGAGTTAATATGTTTGTACTTCGCAGAATGATGATGAGAAAAACTGTTTTTCCAATTGACATTTTAGATTAGTTTTTGTTGTGCTGCATCTGCTTTGCTTTCTACAAGGTTTTTACAAGCCAGAAAACTAATACAGATTTGTACAGCACAAAGTTGCTTTACTCAAAAAAGGATTTTGTTAAAATGTACTACAGATCCAGACAGTTGTTCCATGGAGGTCCAGAGACTGAAGTTTTTCATTCCAGCCAAAGACTATAGAACAGATTATTTATATTGATTAAAATGCCTCCAGATAGAGAGATGGAACTGATCAGTAAACTTATCTACTCTCCTTGTACATTTGAACTTGACAGGTGCTAAAACCACAGCCTGAAATTTCAGCTGTAGTGTTAAACCTATAGACCAGCCATACATCATCTGTAGAGAAATAGAAAAAAATGAAAATGGAAAATAGAAATTAGAGTGCTTTTTAAAATTGTCTTCCATTGGGCTGTAGTAAAGTACGCACCCATATCTCTCTCCCATTGAGCTTTAATAGGGATGATGCTGTCTAGTGAGGCAGTGCTTTCAACAGCCACAAGCCTCAATTTCTCATTTCCTCTTAGAGAGAAAGATTTCAGAATGAATTTCAGCTGTAAATAAGAGAAATCTGGTTTTTCAATCTGCACAAAATGTTTTGTTTATTAAATTACACATTATCCTCATTCCTCTCCATTAACCGTGTTTACAGCACCTTTCAAAATCAAGTTACAACGTTATTTACAATAAAAGTAAATAAAATTCAAAACATAAAATATAAAACAGGAAGTTTAACAGCTAAAGGGATCTGACAGCAATACAGGATACAATCATAGCGCTTGCCAGGCCATAAACAGATGTTCTCTGTCCAGCAGCAGTTCCCAAATACCTGCAGTGTCCACAGATAATAAAGATAGGCATCTGTCCACATCATATACAGTCTACATCTATCTGTACACCGGTTTAAGGTTTAATGATTCAAGGTTTTATATTCCTGCATAATAAACTGTTCACTTCTTGAAAGCATTTTTGGAGAAATTTGGGAGAGAGGCATGATTTATTACCAGCGTTTACCAAAAGGCCTGAATCATTATCATAACACAGAGAATGAAATATCAGGATGTAATATCTGTGATTTGATAACTTTAAAGAATATCATCATTGTAAAGGTCAGGTTTAAGGGCATTTGTGGTTTGAAGTTATAATCACAAATGGCTACACCAGTAATTTCCGTCTCAGCTTGAACTGCATAGGCAGGTTGTCGAGCTCAAATAAAAACAGCAGGAAATACCGGACAACCCTGCTGTGTGCACTGAAAGACCTAAAACAGGATAAAAAATCATTTCATTAATGTTGACAGAGGCAACCGGTTTGCAATACAGTGCCCTAATCCACCGGATACAGGCTGTTTCAAAACCGGTCGAATAATACAGATAGGGCTGCACAGTCATCCAGTCACATTGCCATCACTATATGCTCGTTGGCACTGGAGAAACATGCATGTTATTAGAGGACAGGAGAGCTTCAGTGAATCTCACTTGATCCACCTGTGTGAGAAGAGAAAATGCAGTTTTATATGTGCATGGCAAGGATCTAAGAAAATTATTCAACATGCTTATCGGTCGGGAAATGACTCATCTGTACAGCCTGTTCTTGTTTAGCTTTGATAGATGAGAAGTTGTTTCTTGGCAAATATAATTATATGATTAAACAAAAGCAAAGAGTGCAGACAGAATGTCCCAGAAATATTTGTAAAATTCATAAGAGAAGCCATCGTCACCTTCTTCACCCCAGTAGAGGAGTAACATGCATGTAGAGACACAGAACACAGAGTACCACCAACACATTAGTATAGAGTCACCATCTGTTCTCAAGACATTTGTAGTCTTCTTTCGAAACCTTTCAAATGTTTCTCGGTTAGATTTATGTATTTGTACTTATAGAGCTGATAACAGAATGATGGGAGAAAATAGATTCTGCAGATGAGGGCATTTGCTTTGCTTACTAAACAGGACAAGCTTTTACGGACAGCCCATAACTAATTCATGTTAGACTGATTTGTTCCCACTTGCTGTGATTTACTATTACATTAATTGATTTCTTTTAAGTCTAAATAAAAGTAAAGGATGTTGTAAAATCTATTATCAAGTTATGACAGTATGAGCAGTTGTGTCACGGATAACAGGGAGTCTGCAGATTTTGTTCGAGCCGAAGAACGCGGCAGATAGTTTATGGAAAGATGAGGCTGAAATGAAAATGTGCAAGCTCGTGTGATGCTCAAATGATGACCAGCACTGGCTTATTTCATCTCATATAGTTTGTACTTGCAGGGTAGTTCTGTTCGTGAAATTGAATCATGCTGGAGATGAAACAGCCAAAGACAAGTGTGCTGTGAACAGTTACACTGCGGCAATAAACTTGTTGACCATGAACAGAACACATATGCCGTGTTGAGCTCAGTCTGTCAGACCACAGCAGCACCAAATACCTGAATGCTTTGAGTTTTCATGTGATATAACAGAAAAACTGAAGAGCAGTCAGTCACCGCATTTTCCATAAATATAAAGATCAGTATGTTTTTCACTGCGCTGTAAACCAGTTTTTAAACACACCCATTCATTTGGCAACAAACCTCAATTTAATTACATTTATTGAACATATACTTGTCTTGAATAAGCCTGATACTCAGACTCATCTGCAGTTTTGTTTTCACTGTTCCTAATTCCAGACCTCTGAATATGGAGGCAATTGTTGAGTGAGAAACCACAAGGAGAGAGATTTCTTATTATTGTTAGTATTATGTAGTATAGTATATTGTGTAACTATGTAGACTGGATGCTGGGTGATAATGTTGGGGAGAATAAAAACCCCTCATGCATTCTTTAATTAGGGATCACCTCTAGTAAATGAACTTTTTGCTCATTTTACTGCGAGACATTCTGAGTGTGTGTGTGTGTGTGTGTGTGTGTGTGTGGTTGTGCGCGCTATATGTGCTGTATGTGCCTAAAGCTATGGAGGGGGACGGTGAGGTGATCATCAGTCCGGTGCAGAACTGCAGCCACTGTGAGAGCGGTGAATGCCACGAGACCAAGGACAGTATCGTCTGCTTCTGTGATGATTACCTCATCCTGGCACCAGATGGAGTGTCCTGCATCAACGCTACAGGTCTCACATATAGTATTATAGTAGTATAGTATGAAAAGTGAACCATAGTCTATTTCTCCTTGTTCCACACAAATATGTTGAATTAATTCAGTCGTAGGAATGAGTTAAGCTGAATGTAATTGTACCTGTAATAGACTATGACTCTGTGAATAGATAATGAATTAATCTACAAAAGTAATTAAGCCTGGGAGGCTCTGTGCTTTATTGAATCTTTATCTGAGGAAACGTTGTTCTATAGTGCCTTAATCATTCATAATAATTATTATCAATCCCTAGGATAAGCTAACCTGTTAATGAAAATGAATACACCTATAGCACTATTAGCCTGTGTTTTCTAAGTGATGGGACCTGTTCTGTGGCTTGATCTCTGTGCTGCAGTCAGATAAAAGCTCTTTATCTTATCATGTCAGGGGTTTAGGATAAAAGGTTTCACCTGGATACTCATGTAGTGACATTGTACAATAGATTTAGAGTCACTTCATAATGGGCTGAAAGTTCATGCAGTTCGTTCTACACATTAGACATTGTCAACCTTGACTAAAAATCTGCTTTCACACAAGTGCTGTATCTTCTTCTTGAGTTACACTGTAACAAAGGAATGTAGACAAACCTCCTGTGGACCTATAATTGCCTCTTTAATTATGATTTGTAATCTCACATGAATAATGAATGTATGAATGTAGATCTGAAATGAATTAATATGGCGGAATGTCACTTTATAATTTGAAGCAAATAACAGGGCTATTACCATCTCAATAATATCTTAATGACCTAGAGTGTCTCCTTGCCCTATGATTTACAAATCTGTTCTCAGTAATGACAAGCAGTAGATAATTCTATGATGCTGGGTCATAAAAGGTCACAATCTCAATATGGTCTCACTCGGTGTTCAGATTTGTTCTTCAGCTTAGAGAAGTGAAATGAGATCACCCCTCGCCACTGAAAAAGAATTGACATGCACTAGCCGTCACTGCTCCTAAGCTCTGTTGTGTCATCGCTTTCACATCATTAATTAAGTTGGGGATCAGAGTGGCGAAGTGAATGTTAATACTCCTCTGGGGAAGATAACAACTGTGCAACGCTGTTGTTTCCCCTTGTCAGAGGTGTTCCTGCTGCCTCCCCAGCCGTCTCTCTCCCACCTGGCGCTGGGTCTGTCTGTTGGCACCTCGGCCCTCATCGCTGCCCTGCTGCTGGCTGTGTCCGGAGTCATGATAAGTGAGTATTGTCACATATCAGTCAGTAGCTCTATGGCATTAAGACACAATGTGGTTATTAATAATGGTATTGATAATAAAATGTTTTCCACAGCAGATATATTTCATTTTTTATTATACAGAACAATGCCACAAATTGTCAGGTATTTCATTTCACAAGTGAAAATCCCACATCTCCATTCATCGTCAATTCATGTTTATTATATTTCAATCTTTCAAGTGAAAACACTGCAAAGCTATAGTAGGTACTTTTGTGATACTTCATTACCCAAGAATCTTATTCTTATTTAATCTTAAGAATCTACACCAGTAGGATGTTTGACGGGAGTGTGTGTCTCCGATTAGAAAGCTAACTGTCCTTTTTACCCTTCTAGCTGTCATTATCAGTCATTGTCAATCATCCCTGACAGGTGTGGTGTCACACAATGGTAATTCTCACATCTATGAAATGTGACGCATTGCATTATGGGAATGTTTGCAGAAAGTTAGTGAACTTACGATCGACACTACATTTCGATCCATAGTTGGAATTATAGTGGGCACTATATAGTGCATATATGATAAAATTATTGTACATAATAAAACTATCATATAATATTAGGGTAAGTACAGTGCACTATATAGTAAATACGGAGTGATTTCAGTCAGAGACAATGTTCTGCTATTTAACATTAATGGTTTAGAAGAACAAACAATATATCAATTTATATATACAATATGACACGATGTCAGGATAACGACTAAAATGAACAAGGAGAAAGTGGGAGAGTTGAAGTAGATCTTACTGACCATAAAGAGCTCTGCAGTGCTATTAAATGTCTGAGAGGTTCACATTACATGAGTCCTCCGTTTGCATAATACACACATGTTCTCTCTTTTCCTCACACACACAAACACAGTCCTTCAGTGTCTGGCCTGGTCCCTCTCAGATGACCCTTACCAGGTTGTTATCAGAATGGGAAGTGAGCCTCATAGACATCTGTCTGCTTTCAGGCTACTGCAGCCAGACATATGCACTAATTGAGCCATCATCTCCTCCACACACACCCACGCTCACTCTCACACATGCAGACCGACGCACACGTCCCACTCCCATTCCAACCTACACTCTTGCACACACACATCGGTAGATGAGGCAGGAGCAGAGGATGTGTGGGACTACCTCAGTGATGAATGAAACGCACTGATGATGGATGGCTGCTTAGCCTGTGGCTGACAGCACTCGTACATTAGACAGCACTTGGTAAATAAATGACTCACCTATACACACATAAGCATACACACATAAATACACACAAATAATTCTCCTGATGTCTAATGCGTTCACAGCCCAGGTCAAGGCTTCTAGCATTACAAAGTGTGTGTGTGTGTGCAGGAGAGGGAAAAAGAAAAAGGTCTGTTTTCATACTGTGGGTTATTCTACATAAAGTGCTTTTTTTGAAACATGAAGGAGGGTGTGTGTGTGTGCAGGAGAGGGAAAAAGAAAAAGGTCTGTTTTCATACTGTGGGTTATTCTACATAAAGTGCTTTTTTTGAAACATGAAGGAGGAAAGTGTGACTTGTCTTGGTTTTGTTGCTTTGTTACCGTGTTAGATTATGCATTGTACATGTGCTTGCATGTTTGTTTTGTGGGTTTAATTCTGAGATGTGATATATCTGAATATTTTAGAGAGGCAGATCTGTTATCAGACAGAGAGCAATCAATATTTCACAATCGCACAGGAATTCAATTTCATAAAAAGTGCTTTTGTGCAAACAAAAGGTCTTTAGAGAAATAATAACTATAAAAGCTTTCGACTTTGTGTGCTTTGGCTGTTAGCAATAATTTTCTACAAGGAGATGAGTTCATGGTTGTGTTTGTTTTCTAAACTGTAGATATCTCAGTAGTGGAATGAAACTTCTCTTTCATTTCCATCTCACCAGTGTATAGGCGTAAACACACAGAGCTGCAGTCTATACAGCTGGAGCTGCAGAGTCCAGACTGCAAGCTTAGTAAGCTGCGGGCCTCCACCATCATGACTGACTACAACCCCAACTACTGCTTCGCCGGCAAGACGGCATCAGTCAATGACCTGAAGGAAGTGCCGCGACGCAACATCTCCCTCACCAGGTAAAAGATTTAAGATTGAACAAACTGTGGCAGTGTTGATTTTAACAAACCCGTCTACATCTGTGATGACCTGAGCAAACATGACAAGTGACAGAGTCCTCTGTACTATTTCTCTGTAATTGTAATAAAAATCTACAAGTACAAATTTTTTAAACAGGGTGGATTCATGAATACGGTATAGTAGGAGAGTTAGCAGTCTAAAGTAAAGCCTGAAATATTAATGTTATAAGTGTAAAGTCTCAGAGTGTATGGGTGTATTGCAGTGATCCGAGCAGCTGATTATTTTTGCAGGGCTCCTTTCAATTTTTGATGTATCTTTCATGTGTTTATAATTCACCAGTTTATCATTCCGGTTCTTAGTCTTTGTGATACGTTCTTTTTCTCGTGGACTCATGAATATTTTCCTGCATCTAGAGCGATGCAAGTCTTGAATCAAATGAAATAGCTGGTGTCAAAGCTCACCATTCTGAACTTTCACATCTGACACAGGATGCCACACAGAGAGTTATTTGCCTTTGTGGACTGAAAAGCTGGTGAACAACTAATTTAAAATACTGACTAGCTTCTCTGCCAAGCTGTTTGAAAGAAATAACGTGTTGATTTTCTTCATGGTTCTCATCTCTTTACCCAGTATTTAGCTCCATAGGTCATCATTCTTTGGACACAGGTATATTCAGGTGTATTTAGCACAGCTATTATTGCTAGTTGTTTCCAGTGTCTTCAGTCTAGAAATCTCAGATTTACAATTGCTCTTGTTTAAGTCTCTGTGTGACAGTCTCGGCTTAATACCTAAAATATAAATGTAATTATAAATAATAGATGTGTTTGTGTTTCTCCAGGGGTCTGGGTCACGGTGCTTTTGGTGAAGTGTATGAAGGGCTAGCTGTGGGGATACCAGGTGAACCAAGTCCACTGCAAGTGGCAGTTAAGGTAAGTTCTTACCCAGTCGCTGAAACAATAACTTTTATCTGTTTTTCAAAGGTCAAACTTTGATTAAATCAATTCAGATCCTGAGGGGCTTCTAAACTAATTACACATCACCCAATTTTGTAATAAGAATGCTTTTTCTCAGTATAGTTATATATACTGTAGTTCAACATAAGCAGTCAGTTACATTTTGCACCATTAGACTTTCTTGCACCAATACAGAATCACCTCTTTCGTTAAGCACTACATACAAATGAAAATAACTAATCTATATACAACTTCATAGCCATTCATTGCACTGAGATTTTGTTTCTTTTTACAATAGACCCTTCCTGAGGTTTGCTCAGAGCAAGATGAACTGGACTTCCTCATGGAGGCTCTAATCATCAGGTAAGAGACACTCAGACGATTATTTCATATTTCATACTGTGCCATCAAAGCCATCTTTGATACACACTTCCCTGCTGTGTTTCTGTCCCTGCAGTAAGTTCAGCCACCAGAACATTGTGCGTTGTATAGGAGTGAGTCTGCAGGCCATGCCCAGGTTCATCCTGCTGGAGCTGATGACAGGAGGAGACCTCAAGACTTTCCTGAGGGAGACCAGACCCCGACTGGTGAGACATACAGCTCTATTGCACTTTGGTTTTACAGGCTTTTTTATTCAGGTTTTTATAAGTGGTTTGCCACCTTCCTTATAACTTCTCTGCTAATATACAATCGTGAGCGTGTCTTTTATCTCTTGGATCAGGAGCACCCATCCAGCCTGACCATGGTGGACCTTCTCAACGTGGCCAGAGACATCGCTAAGGGCTGCCAGTATCTGGAGGAGAACCAATTTATACACCGGTACGTCGCCAGATGACCACACATATTTGCATATACATATGAAAAAACAACAGACTGCTGTCATACATAAATACAGCACATGATTATGACAGGATGTATTGTATTCTATGGCCCTGTAGTCCTCCTACCTAAACAGATTGGAAGAGAGAAAAACAAACACCAACGCTGTATAATAATATAAATGATGTAAACAATATACAGCACATATGGATATGCATACATAAGAATGTAAATATGCAACAGAAAATATACAAACTCAACAAACACAGATTTACCCACATTCACCTCCTGACTTCTTCTCAGAATTATGGGCTGACTGCCTCCGTCCAAGCGTAACATATGGACTCTGCATGCCTTTTGCCTTTCGATGATAGCAGAAAGGACAAGTGATGAGTTTAGCATCAGAGCAGCCAGATGGGGTAGCCGGCTTGCCTTTTTACGGTCTGTATGCAAGGCACAAGTCAACAGAGTGCCCCCTGCATATCCGTACTCACAGCAGTTGGTGAACCTGAGGATGTGACTAAAGAAATTTAAAGCATTCTCTTGAACCTGTCTCTCAAAGAGCTCATTCCTGGATGTCCATGAGGAAAGTCAAGCACATACCAGAGTTGGAAAAGGTCAAACTTGCTCTTACAGTCACATCAAAACAATTAAAGCACACCCCCCTACCTTCATGTCTGTCTTTGACTTTTAACCCAATACCTTTTAAACCTTATTTGCCCTAGCGTGGCACAGTAAAGCCCCATCAATCCACCTAATGGCTGAGTCTTCTTCAGAAGCTTGTGAGCTCCCTTCTCCTCTTTCTTCCTCTTTCTCACCCTTCCTTCCTGCCTTCAAATCTGTATTAAAATTCACCCTAACACTGTCCTTGAGGCTAATTTCAATTTTTATGGAGGTGTGTTTACTCAGGGTTGAGTAAAGGGCAGGTGAACGAGGTATGGTGGAGAAGTAACAGCTACTCTGAAAATTCAGCTTTTTCTCAGGGATTACCGGGTTGGAAGATGAGCTGTGGTTAAATCACAGGGTTACTGCTGTCGGAAGACTTCTTACTCTGGCTTTTGTGTGTTTCTGTGCTTATTTCGGTGGTGGTATTTATCTGTTTTTGGCCGGTGGATCCTGTAATGTTACTCTTTGGTGACTTTATTTTACAGCAGGCCTGGTGCTCACAATGGAAATTATAATCACCTGAATAGAAGCACTGTGCTGAGAAGAGCCTGTTAGTTTAATGTAACCGCAGATGTTAAAATAGACTAATAACAGACTGTTCTCTAAGTGCTGCAGTGAAATGGATCTTTAAGCTGCAGTTAAAATTTACTGTAGAGAAGGTCTACTGTATGAGGCCACTTAACACTGTAACAACAACTGCTATCAAACCACTGTGCTGCATGTACAACAGCACTGTGTCCTTTCCTTCAGCCCTCAGCTGGCAGTCCATGACAACTACTGCTGCATTTCAAGGCTCGCCTTTGCCTACAAGCAAAAGCAAATCATTTGCATGAATTCTTCTGAGCCATTAAACAAGGACTGCTTGGATTTAGCTTCAGCACCTCATCAGAAAAGATCTTACGGAAGTCTTGTGTGTAACTTTAGTCGTGCTATGATAGAAATAATTCAGTCTTACTGAAATAGTTGAAATGCCCTTAAATGGATTGATTGTTTCACTACTACTTCTTGAAAAGCAAATTTTTCTGTAGCTGGTTTGATAATACTACCAACACACATTTCACTGCCTCGGTCTGACTTGGACTCAAGCAAAGTTAAAAGCAGATCTTCTTAGACTTAAAATGAAAAGCAAATGGATGCTGTTGTTGTTTTTTTCGTACTAAATAATTTAATATCAAATTTGAAGTAGGTCTAAAATATTGTTGAATAGTTCCAAACACTTCTGGCACATTGGAGTGGGGCAACCATGCACAGTGTCGTCCCTGTCTGAAAAAGCCCTCAGTTTAAATCAGTCTGAACTACTACTTTATCCTCATTGTGTCATTTCACATCCAACTTAATCAGTGTGGAGTGTGGAGGCCAAACATCAAAACAATGTGTTGCTGTCTACACACTCACAGAGCTTAGTGCGGTCGTTTGTATTGCAGCCGTGCTCGGTCTCATGATCTAGTTTGAGCAGTGTCACATGATGTTATTTTGATATTAAATCCTGGGTATTTATTGGCCCTGGTGTTGACTTGTCCTAAGTCTGACAAGCAGCAGTGTGCTCATGACGTCACTTCTTAAGATGTTAAGAAAGTGAGACGCCTGGAGAGCAGAATGCAGTGTGGGCTTCATTTCCTTTTCCCCAGACAGGAGTAGAGCATGCTGAGTGAACTACTGTATTTCTCAAAGAATAACCAACCCAGTACAGTGCAAATATGAAATTTATGAATTTTCTCTTCTAACCCACTCCCCCTGCATATACTATGGAACACTTCTATCTTCTCTCTGGATGCGCCATGTGGGCAGAGTCATAAAGACACTGTAGGAAACTATATACTCTGCCAGCTTGCCCAGGGCAACTTGGTAGTTACACTGAACTTCGGATCCAGCAGGGGAGCTTCTGAAGGTGTTTATACATTCTTATAGATGCAAATATATGAAAACTATGGTAAACTAAGACAAAATCTGGCTGTGTGAATGTCAGTGCTCAGTATATCTACCTCTTCTATACATTATAACCCCCCCGTATATTCAAAATCACATCATTCAGACTTAAAGTGCCAGGGCTCATGAGTTATTGTGTTCTAATAAAGCTCCATCAGTCCAAGCAGTAAGTACATGCAGTGCCCTGACATTCAGTGTGTTTTCTCCTCTTTCAGGGACATTGCAGCTCGGAATTGCCTACTGACCTGCAAAGGAACGGGCCGCGTGGCCAAGATTGGAGATTTTGGGATGGCTCGAGACATTTACAGGTACAATTCCAACACAGGTCACTGACTGATGTAAGACAGCAAGCAAGACCACTTTGGCCCAGTTGACCAAGTTCAGTTGAATTTGAGTCTAGATGAGGTCCAAAGCAGGACCAAGAAAGAGCACATCATCATCTGATGTGGCATCGAATGGTTGAAGAATAACTTAATACCAGCCTGTCACTGCCTTCTTTGTCTAAAGAATGAAGTCTGTTGCACCTCTGACAACAGCCAGCATCACTATTGGATGTGGCTTTGGTCTGGTCAGAAGGGTGCACCTGTAACCATACCCAAAAGTGATGATATATCCTGACATATCCATATTCTGATGTTACTTGTATAAGGTTATCGAGCATTTACCTGATTGGTCCCAAGAAATAAATGCTGACCTTTGGTGTGAGATACAAAGAAACCCTCAGTCTCCATTAACAGTCAAATGCTTTGTACACACATCCCTGCCCCCTCACTTCCTCTCCCACGTGCTGCACCACTGTAAGGATGTTACACTACTTCCTGCTTTTGCTCTGAACATCAACATAGGTCATTGAACAAACAACCACTGCTATTGTTTGTCAACAGTTTCACCTTAACTAACCCCTGGATTCCACCAGGCAAGGGTCTTATGACATCACGTGTGCCATGCAGTTTTTTTCAGTCCTCCACACGGCTTCATACTCTACCAGGTTTAGTTTGGCTGATTTTATTGATTTTGCTTATTTGATCATTTTTCCTTGTTTTTTCTGCTTTTACCATGGGTCAATGGTGAAAATTCTCTGACCAGTTGACATCTGGCCTGGTGCCAACAATTATGACATTTATCGGGAGTCTATACAGGGTATTTTATTTTGAAAATTGACTGAATGCTCTATGCCATTCCTGTGTCTGACTTCCTGTCTGGCTCGATCTGCTTTGCGCAGCTTGATGGCTTCCATCAAACAAAGATGAGGCACGATGCAGCCGCCCCTCTGGAGAGCAGGGGTTAGACTATCTCCAGTTGTTGATTTACTGTATTTGTCCAAGTGAAATCTGGGCACAGACACTTTTCAGTCACAGGATGTGACAAATCAAAACACAAGAGCAAAACTCACACGGTATCTCTAAAGAGCAGTGAATAAAGACAGTCCGGAGAAAGCTGGACTTGGTGACAGTGACAATATTAGATCTCTTTATTCCCTTCAGTATCGCTTGGTAGAAAGACGACTGGCTAGACTGAACGGAAGAACGCTGCACAGTTCACTGATTCCACTGAATTTATTGGTACTGCAGGTTACATGTTTAAACGGCTGTTTTTTTAATGCATGTGTAGCTCCTGAAAACTTTCTGATTTACAAACATGAATTGAAGTTCCAGCTCTGTACTGAGGAAGAGTTTTTCTTCCCATGTGATTGTAAAGGCTGTGACACTTATCATGGATCTTTTAAACTGGTAAATGTTGAAACTGAGCTGTGAAAGTGTTTTTATTCTCCATCACACTGGTGTACTGAAGCCTTCTTTTAATCTACATCAGCTCATCTGTGGCCCCAGCGGCATCTCATTATTCTTAGCTCAAGCTTTTTAATATAGCTACCACAATTTCACGTGACACAATTTAAATGAATGCACAATCCAGCGGGGAAATCTCCCAAGCCTTTCATCTGGTAAGAAATTAGAGCAGGGGAAATATGTCACAACATTCAGCTATATGAACGCAGCACTTTCAAATCATCTGATGGAAAGTCACACGAGAGCAAAGTCACTCTCAGAGCATCCGGAAAAGGCTGTTGCACAACACCCCTGGGGAGCCGCATTAGGAGCGCTTGATTTAATTGCTGATGTCAGTTTTTCAGGTGCCTTGCTGTGATTTTGTTTTTATCTCTCAGCCTGGAGCTGTGGTGCTGGGACTGTGATTTTTTTATCATTGTTATTATGTTGAGAGGGAGGGGTGGTTGTTTTCCACACAATGCTGCCATTGGTGTGTTATTTTAGCTGTTTCATGATGTGGCTCTCCTGCTATGTGACGTGGGACATGGGAGTTCTTTTGAGGCCATCACAGGGGACGGGTGTCACAGTCAGGGACCAGGACAAGGCTTAATGTCAGCTTTTTATATTCTGGGAAGAGAGCCACAGGCGCTCTTGCACGTGATATTCCACAGCTTCCTCTCTCACACACCAATTCACTCACGTAGTCTCACACGCATGCAGGCACACCAGTGATGTGGTGGTAAATAAAAAGCCAGGTAAACAAACGCTGCCAGTCAGTAATCAGGTAAACACCTGCCACTGTGAAGAGAAATTCACAGTGCTTTCAGAGAAGAATTTGTGTTTTGCCTTATATGTTCTCATAGGAACTATTAACAATGGTGTGTAGCATGACTTTAGGTTGAATTTAATAATGTCAGCCTGGTGCACACACATGCAGACACACAAACCGTAAACAAAGATAGTCAACACAGTGAACAGACATAAATATTAGGCTCCACACTGTGTCCTCAGGTGCATTTTCCTCTTTTTTACTCTCCATTCAAAACAATCCTCTCTGTGCCTTTGTCTCTTACTTTTTCCCTCTAATACTGTTCTAGCTTCCAGCTTCCCTTACACACACAAAAACACAGGTATAAAACACCTACATTTGTACTATAGATTTCCTGGGCCTGTATTTAAGCCTTCCTGATCTGCAGCTCAGCTGTCAGTCTGTGTTGGTGGTGTTAGCAGTAGTAATAAATATGTCCATAAACCCTGTGCTAAAAAGAAACGGTTGATCCACCGATAAAGGGATTATCAGTGCTTTGCTCTACACTACCATTCCTCAATTTTTTCAAAATGTTTCAGCATTTTTAATGGACAGATAACAGACTGAATAGCAGTGTACAAAAGTTTTATCACTGGCTAAGGTCAAAAAAGGCAGCCGCTGTAAATATATCGCAACAAAAAAATGAGGAGATTGCACCAGCCTGCTTTTTTGTAAACGTCTTTTCACAGAAACCAGGCTTTACAGAGCAACAAGCGGAGCACTGAGCGCCCACTGCCACGGCTGTTTGATCTAATTGCATCTGTTGATGTAGACCCATCCACTTCCCTTACTATTTACTTTATTGGACCAGACAGGAAAATTAGAGTGATACATAGTAAGGAGGAGGTACAGTAGAGAAGACATGGCAGGACTCAATTCTCAGATTGTATTGTCTAAAGTGGAGGAGGTAACTGATTGCCACCATTGAATTGATTGTGTTATTGTAAGTGATAGATTAAGGCATTGGGCGGTGATCAGTGTGACTACCCTGCTGTGGTTGTTAGCTAGTCTGTCCAGCAAACACACTCAACTAGTAATTGTTTATCTGCTTCGGTGATTATTATCCTCAAGGCAAACTTCTGCAAAGTTTTGTAAGTATGTATTTCCCTTTTAGCCTCTTTAGCCTTTTATCTGACAGCATATCATCTACATTTATCTCTACTCACCGCTCCCCTGAAGACACACAGCTACAGCTATTACTCTGAGCTCAACCAAATGATGAGTGTTGGTTCTGGTTATTTGCCTTGAATTTATACAGTGGAAAATGCAGTTGTCTCTTAACTTGGAATTAAAGACAGTTTTGCTGTAGCAAACGATCACGCCATAAAGCTTGTCTGGGAAACCAAGAAGCTGAGGCTACAGATTGCATGTCTTATTGCATGGGCCTTCGACCAACCAGGGGCCTCACAAGACATGAGGTTTTAATTTTTTTTTTTTTTTTGTCTCTGTTGGTTTGGGGCTCAACCGCGACAGGCTTGTCAGCATCATACAAAATGCTTCGCCACACCTGGACTAGACTCTAGTAAAGCCATAAAAAACAAATTGATAAGTGAGAACGTCGCCGCGTGAAACAAGGACACTGACAGTCAAGACAGAGCAGCACAGCATAACAGCAGCACTGAGCAGCAGCGAGTTGTTCAGACCATTGGGGGGAGAGTGAGAAATATCCACAGATCTGTGATATTGTAATTTATCCACATGCTGTTCAGAGGAGTCAGCAGCTCTTCTGACAGCAGCATCTCCCCCTCTCCTCTCAGGCAGGTGTGAGAGTGAGGTTACTGCAACGCTCTGTGTCGCTCTGAAACGTTTTCATGATTCTCAGTAACAGATATTTAGGTTAGTATGCCTTTATAAACATAACATTGTTTTAAAATTTTACATTTTTAGTCATATATATTATATAGGGTTACCAACACACTCTTATCCCTCCCAAATCTCAGGCCAAATAAGAGGGAGCCTCGAAGCCAGAAAATAATTATATATGTTAAACAGGCTTTCTATACACTCAGGACAATGTGTGAACATCAGAGCACAGTTTGTCTGCATTACAATAGTCCTTGATCTGATGAAATGTAGGTTAAATGATCTGCTTTTGAAGTTATGATTATTCATTCTTGTTTAACATTACAACTACAGCAGCTACTGGAGCTATGAGACAGCTATCATCACTAGAACCTGTGTGTAAAATAAACAGGTGGTATTAGATTGTTGTTGTGAGGTCATTTCATTCATCCCGAGTGTTTGTACTTTGCAGTTGTTAGAGTTTAAATATGACCTTGTGAGTATTGATAGTAACAACCTTCAAGTTTAACATTGTTTAACCAGGTTTCATTATCCAAATCACCTGCTACCATTTTAGGCTACATAATCAGATATGAAACAGCCATTCTTCTGATAATTATTTCCTGTCCTGATCCATATCTGTAGCCCCACAGCCTACAATAATGTTAAGGTGCATTCATAGGTTTGGCTTTTAGCAGTTCCCACATTTTGGCCCATGGTGGGAAACAGCACCTCTTGAAATTAGCTTGAAATCCTCCTAAGACCAGGACAATATGTGATGGGTCGTGCAGCCTAAGCCCATAGGCCTTGGATGCTGTGTCTGAGGAGCTCACGCTGCCAAGATACAGTTCTTTCTTGTTTGTTGTCCCATTTTTTAATCCAAGCTGCAATTGTGTGTTTTATTCTTTGCCACTGTGTTTCTTTTTTCTTTTCTTTTTTTTTCCTTTCGCTTCTATCTGTTTAGGAAACAACTGAGCACAATGCTCTTTTCTCATGCTGCTTCACATTCACACCTGGGAGCTGCCCACTGTAATTACAGTCCTTTCCTGTGCAGCCATGTGCAGCTCCAGCAGAACAGTTGGTGCTTCATTTACTTGTCTAGTTTTTGAAGGCAAAGACAAAGAGAGTGTTACTGTTTCTACTTTAGTGAAAGGCCCAGGGATTTGAACTGGCAACCTTCCAGTCATAGACCTGTATCTACAGCCTATTACAGTGCTAGTTATTATGAAGCTCTTGCCACGTTTACAAATAAGTGCTTGGGGAATAAGTGACGTTTTTATGACAAACTCACTGGGGCAAACAGATTTATACCTCTGCAACAGCAAACTGCACCAAATGATGCTTTTTCCAAGCCAAACAAAGCTGACACCACTTGACTGGAATCCTAATATGTGTCTATTTTTCTGTGTGGACACCATGATGGACGTAGTGCAAAGCAGCACCCAGTTCATGTCTGTCCTCTCTGTGTGCCTCAAGCAGGGTGAGATGAACCAGACAGTCACCTCTATCAGCAGCCACAATCAGATAGAGCACACATCTGATAATTTCTCTACCAATGCAGAGCATTAGAAATAACTCAGAGAGGGCTTGGTCCAGTGAAACATCTCCCTCTTTCCTCTCGGCCAGATAAGGAGTTCTTAGAGCGTCTCTCACACCAACAAGTAAGGAAGCTGAAAATGCGACTGGATAAGAGTGCTGATACAGCCGCTGACAAACAGTGAATTAATTGCTGGATGTGAGAATTTTTCCTCTTTTTTTTTTATCCTCTGCTTTGGAGAGCAGAAGTGTTGCCATGGCAATGGTGCTGCATACTATAAATGCTGGTATTCATTTAACAGTTGTTCCCTTTTTTATTTTTAGCAAGAAAACAAAAATCAATGTAGTTTTATCAGCAACATGGTCAGTCAAAAAAGCATTTTACTATTCATAACGTGTGTATGTGCGTGTGTGTGTGTGTGTGCGCACGCCCAGGGCAAGTTATTACAGGAAGGGTGGTCGTGCCATGCTGCCAGTGAAGTGGATGCCACCTGAAGCCTTCATGGAGGGCATCTTCACATCTAAAACAGACACATGGTGAGAATCCCTCAGAGAGGACAAAGTTTGTGTCAGTGTGATATCCCTTCCTATATTTCACAAATGTCTGCTGTCCCAACATGCCCCACTCCCTCCCTCTGTGTTTTCACCGTCCTCTATCCGTCTTTTATCCCTTCCCATATATTTTTTTAAATTCCTCGTCTCTATCTCATTCTCGTCCTCTGCTTTCATCCTTTACTGCTTCAGCTCTGATGATGCTTATAATTTATGACATCATTGTCCTCAGTCTCAACCGGCCTGTGTTTCCTTCCGTGTGACTAATCTTTCCTCTCATCATCTGCCTCTCTAAGGTCATTTGGGGTTCTGCTGTGGGAGATCTTCTCATTGGGCTACATGCCATATCCAAGTCGCAGCAACCAAGAGGTGTTGGAGTTTGTAACCAACGGGGGAAGAATGGACCCACCTAAAAACTGCCCTGGGCCAGTGTAAGTGCAGCTCACACACATGCTGAATGCACACGGATGCTGCATGTGACAATGAGAAAGATGTGATCCCATGAGGTCTAATTAAGCTTCTCTATAATGTAAACAAGAGGGAAAGATGCTTAGTTGAATATGATGCATGCACTTTATACATGTGCACATAGGCAGCATCAAAAAAAGAGAAAAAATAATGATAATGCAGAGGCAGACATGAAAGGCTGTGGCTGATATTGACATGTAAACAGTTTGGGACCTAGAAGGCGACAGAAATTTAACAGGAGATTGCTCTCAGTGCTTTCAGTATGGAAACCACACTAACACTTTCTTTCATGTTCGCCTCCCAATTTGAAGGAAGTCATGGGGAGCTGATAGGGAGCTAAAAAAACATTTCCAAAGCACCCTGTATTTCTCACTCACTCTTTAAGATACCGCCTCTCATGTGAACTCTGTGATAAAGCATATATGGACAGATGCACGCACACATTTTCTAGCTCTCTCCCTCATATACACATTCCAGCCTCTCTGTGATTTCCCGGCTTTATCCTTCACACCTGTTGGCCACAGCTTTGCAGTTTTATCATTTTGCAGCCTGCCATGCATGCAACCTTGTAAATGTGTATTTTTTTTTCTTTAAAAATAAACATGGTCCCGTGGTGCTCCATTAATTTGAAGTTGTGAAACAGCCTCACAGCAGGACACACTGATTCCTGAAAGCAGCAAACTATAGTTGGAGTCAGTTCAGCAATTAAAACCATAGCTCAGGATTTAGCTTCACTGTTATTTGTTCCTATAATCTGCATCGCCCATTTAACACAATCACTCAAACTGGTGGGAGGTTACACTCTGCTTCTGCCTGATGTGATCAAAACACATCAATGATGAAAGCACAGGAATGTTTTGTCAAAGAGTCTCAGTCTGGTATTTGTTAAATCAGCAGGAGAGATTATGCTCGTCACCTGCTGTTTTCTTTTTGTTTTCTCTTCTTCTGCCTGGAGTGGGAGAAAATGTTTTCATTAAGTGTTCTCTGCTTGTGTGTGTCTACACATACATGTGTGTCTTTAGGTACCGTATCATGACTCAGAGTTGGCAGCACCAGCCTGAAGACAGACCTAACTTCTCAAGTATCCTGGAGAGAATTGACTACTGCCTACAGGTGACTTCACAGAGCGCAGTGTGGGCTTCACTGCATGTCAAAAGTTATTAGGACTAAGCAATAATGCAAATTGTGATTTACATTATAGCTTGAGGATAAATTCTGATTATTTGCTATAAACTAAACTACCAGTCTATATTGGTTGTTTAAAGTGCAAACTCAAGATAAGTTTATATCAAGAATAATCAAAACTTAGTTCTGCATCAAAAGGATCAGATAAAATGCTGCTTCTTATCTTTCCAGGGTTCTTTTATTCTTAAAAAGTCAACTTTTAGTCACTAAATTTAGGTTTTCATTAGATCTCTAAAAAAATCACTTACATTGTGTGACAGACATAGTGATGTAATGACATAGTTGACAGTGCTACACTGTAGCTACTTGAGCTAGTGTTAGCTTCAGTCTCTCAAAGTTTGAGTTTGTATTCTGGTTAACTCACAGAACTTATGTTAATTAGCTACAGCTGACTAAATTTGCCAGTGACAGTTTTCATTATCACTGAAGAAACTGAATTTTCTCACCACAAACTTGCATCTTATTGAAAATGATGTAAGAAGAAAAATTGATTGTGGCTCTTTCACATCATGATTTATATTGAATGACGTGAATGGCAACGTTAAAACATACAGCTCTGACCTCACAGCTCTGATCTTGATGGTTTACCCTCTTTAGGACCCTGATGTGGTGACCATGCCCCTGCCTATAGAGTATGGACCTGTCCCTGAGGAGGAGGAACGTGTACCCGTGCGCCCTGATGATCCCTCTGCTCCAACCGTGTTGGTAAACGCCCAGGTGCCTGACGGGGAGGCTCCACAGCCGCCACCCTCCTATCCCACAGAGGAGAACCAGAGAGGTGGGGAACACACTGTCATCACTAGCACAGCGTCAGAGGCCAAAGCACAGACGTCAGCCAGCCAGCCATACCTCCACCAGCACCAGCAGCCTCACACACAGACCTCCATCACCATGACAACCACTAACACAGTCACCTCCACAGCCACGTCTACACTCACTGCCAAGGGACCTCATGTCATAACCCAGCCCAGCCCTGAAGGGGGCCACATCAACCTGGCGTTCACTCAGGGCCACGCACCAGAGAAGGAGGGCCACAACGGGAAGAGCACCAGTCTCTGGAACCCCACGTATGGCTCATGGTTCCTGCAGCAGCAGCAGAGGAAGCAGCAGCAGCAGCAGCAGCAGCAGCAGCGGCAGGGAGGGGTGGGGGGAGCAGGAGGCAGCAGTGGCAGGGTGCCAGGTGAGGGACAGGAGCATGTGGGCCGGACGGTGGCTGAGGTGGCAGGGGCGCTGGGTCTCCAGCACCAGCACAAGCAGTTCCAGCATCAGCTCCAGCAGCAACACCAACTCCAGCTGCTGCACCATCAGCAGCAACAGCAGGGTCTGTGTAGACCTCTGTTACCCCCACCACCGCCCCCTGCTGCCCAATCACCTCTGCTTTTAGATTCAGCCGCTTTGCCCCCAGTTCCCCTCTACAGACTGAGAAGATTCCCCTGTGGGAACATCGGCTATGGCTACCAGGAGCAGGGTCTACAGCTGGAGACTACCCACGGCAACCCCAACCCCCCTCCTCCACCTCCTCCCTCTCAACAGGGCACCTCCATGCCCCCTTCAGCAGCTCACCAGAGGGGGACCTCTATTCCCACATCTGTGTCCCTGGGTCGGTCGGGTATGTCCGAGGACAGCCGTCCACTGCTTGTCACCATGGGGACAGTGCAGGACCCCCGGCTGCCCAGGATGGAGGGCCACAACGCCACTGTGCTTTAGCCCAAATGTCTATACTGCTGGTCTTTTTTTCCAGGTCCTGTCTTTGGAGAGTGTAAGTCCAGGACCCACAGCAGGAAACACTGTGTCAGGACAGAGATTGTTTTACACCACCCCTACCGCCCCACCCTTTTGGTTTCTTCCTCCAGTTCAGACAGAACCCATCTTGCTGACAGAGCTGGATGAGTCCATCAGGCTTTTCTTACGAGAACCTTGGAGGGTTGGCAAAGCACATCAGACAAATAAAAACCTTTGGGAGGCAAAATGTAGAGTAAATGATAGTTTTAAGAGTTTAAAAATGTATTTTTTCAATGCTGGAGGGATCATGACTGAGTGGGAATACTGAGAATCAAATGAAGAGTTTATGACAACAGAAGACGAGCGGTACTGACCAGGAGTGACGAGTGTTCATCAACAGCTGAGGGTGTCTCTTGTCTAGAGAATGGACTATCAGGAGGATTCAAATCTCTATATTTTGCCAGACTTAAAACTTTGCGTCACAAACTTTAGTGACCAGTTTAACTTTAGCAACTGTGACATTGTCTACAGCTGCCAGCCACATGTGTCAGTTCTACTGCAGAACCCTCACACTGTTCCCTCTCCACATCCTTTTGGAAAACAACAGCGTGGTAAATAACTTGTATCAGACTATTTTTCAAGAATATCACTGAATTGGACACTGGATTACCAGAGACGTTTCTACTAAAAAAAATACTGGGAAAAATGTGTTTGTTGATGTTTGCTTGCCTGCTTGTTTATTTATTCATTTGTTTATTTATTATTTGGAAGTGGCTCTATAAATTATTAATGAACTCAAACTCATTTACATCAACTGGTTTTCACTTTAGGTTTTTTAAGTTGCAGGAATTTATTTTTAGTAACATGTAACAAAAAGAATTTTAAACTATCACAAAAATGAAATCCACACCCACACAGGAAATCAGCTGGGTCCCTTAAGGTGGCTTTTAAGGTGGAGTGGATGGATAAATAGAGCACTGCAGCAGATGTGGGAGATTTTATTTAACAAAAAAACTTGAGTGGATTAAACACTGGCCACCCTCAGCAACATTTTACAGTTCAGCTTTTGTTGTTGCTGAAGATTTGTAATAAGTCGTTGCTCCTGGTGCTATTGACAGCACGCGCTGTGGACTTTCCTTTTGTTCACAGCTCCATTCTGTTGTAGGAGTGCTTTGAGACGGTGAGGCTCAGGCTTTTCTTTACTGATGGCTTTTTCAGTAACCTTTTAATAATTCATTTCTTATTTAAAAAAATTATTTCCCTTTTTTTGTCTGGATATAGAAACAGTCGATATTGCTGAATCAATCTTAACCTTCAAATTGCTATCTCGAAGCACTCTACATTCTTACATTTGCATATTTTATCTTTTCTATTATAGGATGAGTGTTGTGGAATACAAATGAGTCTGAGAGAAAAGTTTGAATACAAACTGATTTTGTTCCACATGTGAATTAAACCCAGAACCGGTCTCATCCTCACACACATAGTGTTAACACCCGTCTGTGTTTAATGTCTGCTTCTTTTAGTTTAAGGACAGTTACATACAGTATATCTATCAAATAACGCCATGAGTGAGGCGGTGTTGATATTTAGGTGAATGACGACAACATGCGTCACTTTTTTGATGATTTCGCTTGACTGTATTTGGCAAACGGTCAGTCCGTCTGATGATGAGCTGTCGTGCATGTTTCATGACACTCTGACTGATTAAGACAAATGCAGTCCTATAGGACAAGTCAATGAGCAAGTTAAATATTGGCTAATGAGAAGTATTTTGCTTTGTCTCCAGTACCTGTGTTAAAAGCATTGATTCTGTGTTCCCTCACAGCCCACCTCCATCGTTTGATGTAAAAAGAAAAACTGAACTGCACCTGTAAATGTTGTAATTATAAAGTATTGTACTATGGCTCTGGTAAAAGCTGTAAATTGCCCTTCAGAAGATATTCGCCAAAATTAATAAATTACTATATAATAACTGTTTTGCATTTGTCTGTCTGCAGCTCTCTTTGATATTGGGGCCAAGTTAATGGGATTAACTGAAATAGGACAGTGACGTTCTGGTGATTATATTTTTTAAAAAACAGTCAGCTTGTTTTGTGTAACATCACTTAACTGCTGACATAAGTGCTGTTGTTTATCTTAACACTAACATAATGTTCACGCACAGAAATAGGTGTGTTAAATATGAGATAAAATCTTTATTTGCCGTGTCTGTATTATTGTAGCCTACTAGTTTGATGTCAGTGACTTTAAATGTTACTGGCAGCTTAAACGATTGTTGACACAAAGTGGTAAAAGCTGCCAGTAATGGACTGGAGAGGTGAGGCTAATTAAAAACAATGAGTCTTCTGTGCACCAACTATTTAACCCACTAGTATCATGAACCCCATTTTATGTTGTGTAGAACATCACAGTTTAACGTGACATCACATCAGATCAGTTTCGCTTCAAGTTTTGCTTTATCATTGAGATCCATCAGCCTCCACACAAAATCCTGTTTACGTGAGCAGACAGCTGATGGGAAACAACGATCTGAGCCTCTCAGCCTCCCTGACATCTTCAAATTGGCTCATTCACACCAAGTGTGCTATTTGGCAAATTCAAAAAAAATAATCACTAAGGGCAAATGTGTCATAGACAGTATTTGTCGCAAATATGGCAACGTTACAAATGAGGCAGGAAATGTGTTTTACTATAGAGCAGGACTGCATCAAAAGGAAATTTGACCCACTCTTAATGACCTGGATTACTACTGTGTCTTCTGTTTTGGTTGGATTACTCATCCCTGACGTAAAAACAATTGGGTTCTTACAGGAAGAAAACAAACGTAGTGCCTCCTGATGAATAAACTAATTCTGCAGATTCCATTTCAGACACAGAGACTTAGTTCATCATGTCAAACACTGTTCGGTGTTCCTACAGGGAGAGTTAGTAAGGTGACATCACACAGAGCTACCAGATATTATTTCATATAAATGTAATTACTTTTGTGAGTTACAATAGTCATACTGTAATTTCAAGTATTCCTGTAGTAACTCATGACATCATTGCATTATCTTCACTAAATACACTTCCTGTTAAGTACTGCAGCGTCTCAGTGAGTTTAAAGCTGTTGACTCCTGCTGTTAGGGACTGAACTGAGTTGTGTCTCTTCTGAGCTTCTATTGCATTTTATTTTGACATCTCAACTCATCCAGATGTGAAGTCAGCTGTCACAGGTGGTAATACAGAGAGCAGTCTGCAGAATATTCATTATACATCCACAGTAGGAAGGCTACACGCACGTTAAAGTGCTAATGTACAGATCTAATATACAGATAAAAATATGGTGCTCTGTACTGATGTTAAACTGGAGGTTTAGGTGTTTTTTCTCAGATTTAACAGACTCAGGATGTTTGTATTCCTCCTGATTTAACACTCTATTGGCCTCATTCCTCACACCCATCCAGCTCTTACAGGAGCAGTGTGCTGCGTTAGCAAACACAACAGGCTACAACACATTTACTCACCGTAGCCTTTTTAAATTTTTCATATGAAGAGACAAAGCTTGCCCCACGTGACCAGGTCTTCCAGAGTTAAGACTCTGAATTTTGGTTTTTATATATATTGCTTCCACCTGTACTCAACATCTGCATTCATGTTTTAGCGAGCTGCACGTGAAAGAATGAAAAATCTTTTAAACTCTTTTTGCTCCTCTGCCAAGTGCCACTGCAGGTTTTCTTTACTGCTCAGGAGCCTTAGATTTCCTTTTTAATAGTATGTTTTACTACCCTTGACCCTATTGGCCCTAATAAGAATATAAGAAAAACCACTGTGTAATAGAAAAAAAGACATCCAACTAAAGTAACTGACAGACAGAATAAACAAACAGGATAAAAGAAAACATATTAAATTCATTTTGTGTCATTGTGATCCATTCACTTTACAAATACAAAAGCAGTGCCATGGTTCAATGAGACTGACTTCTTTAAGAGAGTATAGGGAGCTGAAAAATGGGGGAACAAAAGGTCCAGAGGAGCAGAAGTCTCTATAGATATTCATGAGAAATCCAAACAGTGCTTATAAAGATGCCGGTCTGGTCCTCACTGACATTCAGTCTGACCTTAGCACCAGTGTTACAATCCAAGAATTATGTTTCCAGATAACAGATTCAGTCCATTTTCACTGGCTGCTCTAAGCCCCTACAAGAGCCATCACACCAAAATCTGGAAGCACAGCTGTGGCAAATCTAACTCTGTTCTGTTAGCTGTTGAATTTGTGCTAGTTTTATACCAAATAGTAAGGTTATTGTTCTTTAACGCAACAGCAAGCAAGTCATCAGAGAAGCAAAACTCAACCATTTTTACATTCTTGTGTTTAAAGTAACAAAACAACTACAACACGTCCTGGATACAAACTCTGCAGGTGGCATCAGGAAGACAGACGAGGTTTCCGCAGAAACTGACACAACACATGCAGTATAGGCTTAAATATTTTTAAGTCTGGTCAATAACTTCAAAAATATGATATCACTTGGTTCTGCAAGCACAAGACCACAGAAAGTAGATATATTATCCAATAGCCTGCTTTTAATTTATTCATTAAGAACCAAATTTGTGATAATTAGATATGAGCAGGGGTTTTGAACCAGCCTGGGGGGCAAATACATTCCAAGAGACAATTAGGCCCTCCTACACGTTTAGAAGTTAGTTACAAATGACCCACAAATACATTTTTAATTTTTGCCCAATCTTTTATTTTAGACTAATTGTTTAATTTCTGAGCAGGAACCAAGAATCAGAATATAAAAGCTGGCTTTTTTCACAATTAAAGGAAAAATTCCAGCATTTTTCAACCTGTCTGTTCTGACTATGGGTCATAACTTTGCATTGCACCCTGCGTTGTAGAGATTTGGAAAATGCAGGCTCTGACAAAACAATGCATGTTTAAGAAGATTCGTAGACCATTAATCCAGGGGCTAGTTTCTGTGGAGACAAGCAGTATTCATGTGAAAATCATATTTATTTGAGCAACTTTAGGACACTCATGCTGCTCACCACTTACTATGGCAAGCTGTGACAAATTGAGCGACATAATACAGCTAAGCTAAGACCAATAGCTCTCTGATTTACCGCAGCACACCTGACACCAACATGCCTCTTCAAAAGTAAGGCTGGCATGAAAGGTGGACAGTTAATTTGTTTCCTTAATTTGACAGTCAACAATACAGAGAATGACAGGAAACATAGAGACAGAGAGGGAAAGGGAAAAAGTTCCAGCTGGGATCAAATCATTGCAGTCATGTGGTTCGTGCTGCAAGGACACCTTGGACAGGCAGTTTAAAGAAAAGTGGACAATTATTTGTATATATTTGAAAGGAGGAGGCTGCTGTTCTCCAGAAATTATGTCTGAGGCAGCATTAATCTACCAAACACGCAGAGCAGTTTGCTAAAGATGAGGAGGAGAAGAGGACTCACTGGCCAAAGAGAGAACAACCTGGACCAGAGGCTGCAAGCATCTAACATACAGTATCTTTTTAGATACTAGCTTTTCTATTACAGGTACCACATTGCTGTTTGGAGTCTTGCTATTAAGTGGAAGAAGTTTGCTAATGAAAAATAATTCTAAATCAATATGTTGTCACTACAGCTCACAGTATATGTGCAATAAGCAGGATTATGTACAGTGAGCTGGTCATTATTTCAAATAAACCCTGACAGAGTGAATGGAGACCCCAGCAGGATTATCCCTGTATTATAAACATGTCGACAAACGTAGGGGCTTGTGCAGCTGCCAGTATGTATTTGCTAGTGATAGCAAATCGTATTCCTTGGGTGCCAGCTGTGCCAGTGCTGCTTTCCATCATGTTAGAAAGCAGACTGGAGTCTGACTTCGTGGTCTTACGAAGATCATTTGTCTCACATCAGGGATTGGCTCTGCAAAGTGCTGATGGTGCAACTAAGCACATATCACACTGTGATACAGTATGTCTGAGCTTTGTTTCAGGTTTTACCTTCATCTCATTTTACACCACTGATAACAAACCATTTCATTACAAGATACAGGGCTGTCATTGGTGTGTCATTATTTCAAAAGCTATTTCCAAGTTTGAAAAAAAAAAAAAACATCAGAGCTGCCAAAAGTCCTTTCTACAATAAGATCAGCTGTACCACTCAAAGCTACTCAGAAACTATTTTCCATCTTCAAAACATTACTGAATCTTCCACCAACAGACACAAACCTCTCAGCTGATATTTTTTTTGCCTCCTTTACTGAAAAGGTGGCAGCCATCAGTTGCCAGTTCTCTGAACCTCTCAGAGAAGACCAGTCTCCCCCCGTTAAGGGCACATCACTCTCCATGGTCAGCCCTCACTCTGAGGACCACAAGCTAATCATATAGCCATCCTTCTCTGCTCTGATGTCCGTATCTGCTTCTTCTGGTCAATAACTCACCTCCTCCCTCACTCAGCCCTATAGCTGAGAACAAGGCTCCAAAAAGTATCCATACCTGTCTCCCCAAGTCAAGGATGCATCACCTCTCTCATTCACCCCTCTGAGTGATGTGCCAGACCTTCTGACTCATCCTACTACATGCGCTGGACCAAATTTCCACAAACCAACTCCTCCAAGCCCAATCTCCCACCATTGTGCCAGTCATCACATGTGATAAATGCTTCACTGACATTGGGAAAATTTCTAACCATATTCAAACAAACTCTGGTGACTTTTCTGCTTAAAAAGCCATCACTTGACCCCGCACAAATGGAGAACTACTGATTGGTCTCATTACCTCCATTCTTATCTAAGTGTATCGAAAGGGTAGTTTTCAAGGTCCCAGAATTCCTCTCGCGAAATGACCTCCTTCATTCAAATCAGTCAGGCCTCGAGAGTAGCCACTCTACTAAAACAGCTCTGTTGTCTGTGACTGAAGCCCTGAGGGCAGCTAGAGCTGCAGCTCAGTCCTCGGTCTGAACATGCTGGACCTGTCATCAGCCTTTTACACAGTGAACCACCGCATCCTGCTATCATCCTGCAACATGAGCATCTTGGGCAAAATGCTTTAAATCCTATCTCACTTGGTTATTCCTTCAATGAGTTATGGCAAGGACAAACCTTCTTATCCCATTCCCTTCCCACAGGGGTGCCGCAAGGATCAGTGCTGGGGGCCCTTCTCTTTGCAATATTCAACACCTCTTTGGATCCAATTATTTGCTCACATGGTTTCTCATATCACTGCTATGCAGACAACACACAACTATACCTGTCATTCCTGCCAAATGACCCCTGGTGTTTGTGTGGATCTCAGCTTGTCTCTCTATCAACATGGATGAAGGAACAACACCCTCAACTAAACCTCTCTAAGACTGAACTCTCAGTCATCCCAGCCAATCAGTCTCTCCATCATGATATCAATATCAAAATCACCTCTTCATCTCTTACTCCATTCAGGAGTATCCATCATGTTTGATGACCAGCCCTCCTTCTCTGACCATGTTGCATCGGTTTGTCGGTCGTGGCGCTTTGCTGTACACAGCATAAGGAATATCAGGCCTTACCAGAGTCAGTACGCCACCCAGCTCTTGATCCAGGCCGTGGTTATCTCTCGCCTCGACTACTGCAATGCCTTTGGTCGGCCCCCCTTCACGCCCAGTGAAACCCTTACAGATGGACCAGAATGCAGCTGCTTGTCTGGTCTTTGATCAGCCTAAAAAGGCACAGGACCTACACTGGCTACCCATGAATCTGCACCATCTACTTGAACTCAATCATACAGGCTTATGCTCCTTCTTAGCCACTGTGTTCCTCAGAGGAATGTCGTCTGGCAGTCGTCCCTGCACACAAGACAATCACATTCCAGACTGTTCTCATCTGTGGTTCCCCAATGGTGGAACAAGCTGCCGAATGCTATCAGAGCAAGGGAATCAAGAATCTCTTGAAGACTCATCTATTCTGAGAGCACCTCCTCTCCTAACACCCCAACATGCCTCACTAGCACTTACTATTCCCTTTCGATACACTTTACCTGATGTCCTTGCACTTATTGAAGAGATTTACTGCTTAGTACTTACACAAGGTCTCCTTGTCCCTAACTTGTCAGACGCTTTGGATGAAAGCATCTGACAAATGAGCAAATGTAATGTAAATGCAAGAAGAAGAAGAAGAGTAGTTAATTTAATTATGTTTTAGCATTAAGGTGGTTGTGGTGTTGTGCAGGACTGCATTATTTTCAGGCGTTTCTAATTTTCGCCCCTTTCTTGTAAGTGGGAGGATAAAAAATTATGAAAAACTTCAATATAATATAGTCTAGTACAACAAATATAATTATTTAACTATAATTCCAGTAATAAACATATCTGAATTCAACAAAAACTTTGTAAAAGGTAGAATTTATGGTAGAGTTGTTGTATTGAATTGCAATAGAAGTAAGGATACAGGTTTTCATTCTAATTCTAACTAATTATGCACAAATGTACTAAATTTATTTTGTTCTAGCACGACTTGAAATCCACTGGCCAAGGTCATGGTGACCTCACGTTGTTGTAGGCTTTTGGAAGAGTTATTTAGTGTTAGACTATTTAGACTCTGCCAGATATGGGCAGTCCATCTCCTCAGTCCACAAGCCCTGCCTCCTCCACAGCAGACATGTTGGTTCTAGTGTGAGGTAAGCAGTTCTTCTCCTCTGTGATCAAACTGGCCATGACATATGGGTGGAATAGTAGAGATGAAAGTGTTTTTAATGATGGGGTATGCAAAAATAAAACAATAAAAGATGCTGGGTTTCATAAAGGAGGCTCCAGTAGATCCGTGGTCACTGTGATACTGTTTGTGACCTCACAAAAAATGTTTTTGGCCATAACTCAAAAATTCATAAGTTAATTATGATACAATTTAACGCAGATGCCTAACAGGATAAAATGATGACATTTTATGTCCAAATGGTCAAAGGTCAACTTCACTGTGACATCATAATGTTCTGCAGAAACACTTCTGGACATTATTCAGCACTGTAACTCAGGAAGGACAGATTGTGACCATTTTTCCTGCAACTTAACTGCTTGGCGGAGGCACACAACCTCGAGGCAGTAATTCTAGTTTAGGTTAGTGATGCTATGATGATCAGCATTGTGAACGGCCTGCTGCTTCTCCAACTTGTTTTTATGTGTGATATTACTGCTGGAGCTTTTTATATTTGTTCATTTATGATACAGGCTGACAGTCCTTGGTGCTTCATTGACTATGTTTTATTTAATTTTTGCTTTGAATCAATCTCTTGGTCAACCATTGAAAACATTTTTAAACAACCGTTTAAAGATCTATTTATTCCACGGTCATGATATAATAGTCTACTTCTCCCCCACTCTAACTTGGATTTGTGTGCGCAGGCTGGCAGTAAGCAAACAATGCCACTCAAGCAGCAGGCGTTTTCAGCTTTGACTGAGATGAGTCCCAGTGGAATCAGATGGTAAGTGAACAGACGTGTAACCATTTCCAAGTGCTTGCGCCATTTCATTTTCAGTCCTTGTAGAAAAAAACACTCCTCTGCAGTTTATGAACAGTCCAGGAAAGTCAAGCAAACCTCATTTTCATAAGTACAACCGCTTTCGAGAAAGACACAGAGCCAACGGAGAAATACAGTCATGAAGATAAGGTCAAACTAGAATAGAACCTTTTATTTTACTTTTTACAAATACTGTTATTCTCCACAACATGTAAATGCATCAGACCAAACCCCCTTCTCACACAATCGCACCTCAAATATACATATCTGGAATTCCATGAGAAAAAACAAAAAAAAAACAATCTATTACCCACATGAACACAGTGCCAAAAGACTTTCATACCATCAGTGTAATTTGAAATCACTCATGCAATACAGTGGGGATGGGAAGTATGCCACTATATCTATAAATGAAATTTGAAATGTTAAACACTAACAGATGCCACAGAAGTTATCACAGATATGGCCTTAATGCAAATGAGAAGCTATTTTCAAGGAAGAAAGTAATGAGTAAAATGTTTCAATAGGAACCGGGAAAGACCGCACTTTTAACACGCACGCTAACACACACGCACGCACACACTCTAACATATATTTCAGACAACCATGGGCTCTGACCGCCACTGCTTTTCAATCACAGGGGGCCTGACCAGACAGATCAATGAGAGAAGTCCATTGGAGATTCCTCAGCAACTGTTGTGGCCTGCACACCCTAATTGGATGGTGCATGAGTGTTTTTCTGAATAGTGGGGCCTGTTTTGCACAATCGATGGCTTGTTCTCTGCCGAGTTGTCCAGACGGCTATAATCAAATAGCAAAATCTGTACTAGAAACTTCTGGATGATTGTACGTTTCCTGTCTCAAGCTGCTTTTGTCTGTCTGATACCAAACCTGGGAACACACTGCAGGACTTTTAAATTCCTAACAAAAGTGGTGTTTGTAGACTACACAATTCAAACTACATAATTAACTTCAGATTTTACCACATTCAGGCTGTATAAAGCAAAAATGTGATGTAATGGTTAGGGCTCGATGAGTCTGATTTTCAGTCAGAAGGACAAAGATTTTAAATACTCAACCCAACACAGACTAGTCATGTAATCAGGCTTACAAACGTCAACTGTGTTCCCAACTGAAAAATTATCAAAGTAACCTTCAACGTGTTATTTACAGACTGCGGCAACAATGTCATCAGTCTGACAAAGAAGGCTGTAGTCACAGCTAACAGGGGCTAACAGGTAGGATTTTTGCAACCCATATCACAATATAACCATCATTTATCTGTGTAGGGTTAATGGACAGTCTGTGGCAGATACTGACGTAAACGTAGGAGGACACCACTCCTGTTGATGTGGTTCTTTTCTGATGGAGGTCTAGCTTCAATTAAATCTTGTTTAATTCACACTGATTCATAAACTGAAAATCCAGTTTTGACTAATTTTCCATTAATTATCTCAAAGCCATATGATGACCCTGTAAAAATCAATCATGTCTCTTCTTTCAAAGTGCTCTTAATTAATACACACATGCATGTGCACATACGCACACAGTCACAAACACATGGACACTTTTGGTTAGAGAGGCTACATTACCACCTAAATGATGTGATAAAATCTCTACTCGATGCAATCAAAATTAGCTTTGGGTATAGAAATAGTTTTTCATGTGTGCACATCTATACCATTTGCTTGATCATCTTCTGATTTAACATGTTGATGTTTGTCAGTGCAATCAGATTAAAAGTAGTGCAGCGTCTTATGTCTTATTAAGACTTTCCCTCCTCATCCTGCCAAGACAAATTCTAACAAGAATTGAACATTAATTTTTTTAAAGTGCTTCTCGTTGCCTCCTACATTTCTCCCAGAACTAATATAGTAGTTTAAAGTTTAACTATTAATAAGTGGTTTTATCATTATAATTCACACCACCTCTGAAGAGTATAGAGGACTGTACAGAGGAAAATTAATAATCAAGCCAAAAAAGAATGAGGAGTTAAAACTAAAACAAAACAGAAAGTCAAAATGTCTCAAATTTTCCCCACTCCCATTTCCTACAATCCTCAGCTGTTTTCATTAACCAGGCGTGACCCATTGATGCCGCGGTAGGTGACACGGCTGGGACGGACCAGCACACCGTAGCTGGGTCGACAGGTGAAGTAGCGGCGGCCACCAACAGAGCCGTCGTTCTTGCCCTTGGGGCTTCGTAGCTCCAGGCCCAGCCAAAGGCCCGGCGCAAAGTCCGCTGTGCCCAGGTAACGGATGAACGCCATCTCATTGGCACTGTTCAGTAGGACCTGCGTGCCCACGTGAAGGCGGACCTGTCCATCAGAGCTGGCCGAGGGGCTGGACCCTGCCACGTTTCCAGGAGCACCGCTGCTACCACCACTGAGGGTACTCCAGCGCCGGCGGTGAGGGTTCGAACGACTCCTTTTTTTTTTTGTTTGTTTGTTTGTTTTTTAGATGAATCACGGAAGCACAGGGAAAATACAGCCAGAAAGATTTATGAGAAAAGGTATGCAGTGTGAGAGAATATATCAAAAGTAAGTGGGAGATTCATGGGAGCTCTGTGTTTGAGGGATTGATCTTCAATTCCCTGTTCTCTCTCATTATAACCACAATCATGCATTGGCTATTTAAAAAAGGAGCCTTTTGCTGACTAATACCACTACCTCTTATCAGTATTGATTCTGCCACTGCTGCAGGGGATTAGGATAAAGCTGAAAAGCTCAGGGAGGGAGAAAAGTGAGGCCTGTGTAGAAAAGAGACACACCTGGTAACAGGACTTCTTCTGCTCGTCTCCTTTGGGGTGGCGATGGCCGATGATGTGCTGAAACTGCGACGGATTGTCCCTACACAGCAATCACAAGAGTCAAGTATTCTCATACAGATTTTTGCATAAAAATGACTTCACAGGCACTCACAAAATAATAAATGCAAATACAAACACTTGCAATGAAGGCAGAACTCTCACCACTGAAAGGATGACTGAGGCGTGAGGAAGAGAGCTCTGAAAGGCAATCGACCGATCCATGGATCCTGTGAGCAACGAGAAGAAAAACATCTATGTATAACCCTATAAACATTTGGAAACACTTAAATATCGTCATTCAGTTTTCAACAACAGACAACCCACTGTGTAAAACCTCCAGTGACAGTGACCCCAGACCACTTACAGTTTATCTTAGTCATATAATCCACAGGGAATTTATGTGGAGCAAAATATATTAGAATATATTGACAATTTATTAAATACCACATGTCTGTAACATCTAGAGTTCAGATGAGAGTTGACTGGGCTTCATCTGATGATGGCCGTGTCTCTAAAAACGGCAGCAAGCAAAAAAGATACTGTCTTGTGTTTGCAAAACATCTGTCCTGCTTATCGATGTCCGTAAGCCACTAAGTGACTATAACAACGTCATAGCTCTGAAAGCCTTTAAGAGGGAGAGTGCCAATGTTGAGAAATGAGCAGTAGAGGAAAAAAGTGTTGCCTCGTTTTCTAAGGGATGTCAGTGGAGGAGTAGAGAAACTAAAAAGTCTCTCTTTATGTGTGTTTGTGTGAGTATGTTTGTATGTGTGTATATGTGGATGTGGGTGCGGTGGAGGGCTGTTTGTTTTCCTAATGGGTTGTGATAGCTGCTGACAGGAGAAGAAAAGAGAAAGAGAAACAAGTTGCTGTGCTGGATGGAAAGAATGTGAGATTCTCCATTAGAGAGGAAATTCATGTGAGCACACAGGGTTAATCATGACAAAAAGAAAAGAGGAAAAGAATGTGAATGAGGGATGGGGGGAAAAAAAACAGGTGATTACTTTGCAAAATGCAGCTTTTATCTCATGGAGGATGTAAACAGTTGGTTAATAACAGCAACAGCAGGAAAATAGTGAAAGCGATGAAGAGATGGGAAGAGAAAACTTCCCCGAGTGGTGGCTCTAAGTTGAGATGAAGCACAAGTGGTAAAGGAAGGAGAGGAGACTAATTATACCTCAGTACAAACAGTGGAATGTGTTAATTTAACCAGCAATCCCTCAAATGTGGACAACCTCATTCTCATTTACAATGAAAGCATTATGATGACAACTGCTTTTTAAACTGTAATGACTTTCATTCAGTTATTACATCTTTCTCAAGGCATTGTGGTATTAATGAATAATCCAATAAAAAATGTCAACAGTTTTTATCCATTTGCAGAAAGTTTGAAGTAAAAACAAAACAATGTCTCACGGTGAATAACTTAGTGGCTTGTCAATATGTATGTCAGGCAAAGTTTCCAGATGCCCGGGGTCTCCATAAGTAACCAGCTTGGCACATGATGCATCTGTCGAGCCAACACTTTGTGCAGTGTGTAAGCGCAATGTGACGTGCTGACATAATAAGGCTTCAACAGGCTAATATGAGAGGGAATGGTTCCTATAGGGCAAAAAGACATAAAACAGAACTCATTCAATCATTCCACCAATTTATCCCTTTAGGGTCGCAGGGGCTGGAGTCAATCCCAGCTGACATTGGTCGAGAGTGGGGTACACCTTGGTCAGGTCGCCAGTCTATCACAGGGCTGACACAGAGAGATAACCACTCACGCTCACATTTACACCTATGAGCCATTTAGAGTCACCAGTTAACCTAACGTGCCTGTTTTAGGATTGTGGGTGGAAGCTGTAAAACTGCACCCGGAGAAAACCTGGGTACAGAAAGACCCCACCCGGCCGGCAGGTTTGAAGCCAGACCTTGCTGTCAGGTGACAGTGCTAACCTCTGTACCACCACCACCACCAAAAATAAACAGAGGAGTGCAGTGGAAAAGATAGTTTAACTCTTCAGTAACAGCTAAAGTTATGTTGAGTACACAGTTTCATGGTACCATGAAACCATGAATCATCATTTCATCTGAATCTAGAATTAAACATAAAATGCATATTTGGTACCAAAAGAACAATTCATGCTTATAAGAGAATGTGAAAAGATGGCCCCATGTTGCTATTCTACTAATTCAACAGTAATAGTTTTGTCTCAAGACTGCTAAAGGCATTTTGTGAAATTGCCACACAATAGTTAGGACACTGCTGGTTGATGTGTATGTGAAATGTATGATGTTGTTTCTATAATGAATCACTGTGAGGCATGTATTAGATAAATAGAGACTGTTTTATAACAGTTAACAAGTCTGTAGATGTCAACTCTATGAGTACATTGATTTTACAGTTTACTATTAGTGTTGAGGAGCATCTAACTATGAAGCGACAGCTCGAGTTGGTCTTCCTCATGAACAATCTAAAAAAAAGTGGAGCAGTGAAACAGGGGTCACTGGTTGGTTTGATGACTATGAAAATGAATCATATCCAATTGAGTCTCCAGATCTCAATCCAGTTGAACACTGATGGGAAATTTTGGATTTCTACTGCAATCATCAAAACACTGCCATAGAAGAATGGTCTTCATCGCTCCTGTGGAGTTGGTGTTGCTGTTTACTTACACAGTTATTGTTAGTTTTTCCTTCAAAATTTCACCCATCTGTATTTCACATACAACCAGTCTTGATGACAACAGCTAATGGTGGGCCAAATCTTTAGAAGTGTGATTAATAGAAGGGAAGGATTAAAAAGGAAAGTTGGCAAACTACCAACTGAAATTTCATTGGCTGTTTCACATTTCTATAATAATAGGACTCCAATATTGCCCACTGCAGAACAGTTTTTGTATGAATCAACAATACGATGTGCACACACACTGAAGCAGGAATCAATTCAGAAACACAAACAAATGACAGGTTTGTGAATATAGAAACATCGACACACAGTTTTCCCACTTATACTACTTTCCTGTTTTGTGTTTCAACAGTACTCAAACAAATAAATGAAAAAATATTTTCACATCACTGTGAAATATCACTTTTATCAAACTAACAGTATCATTACAAGAAATCATGGCTGCTTTTAAAAACCCACCCTAGCAAAATGTGTATACTTCAAGTTTTTTCCGCTTTTTACCTCCATGTTCTAATATGTTTACTGTAATTATATGTCTAGTTAGGAAACAGTAGCTTGAATACATGACCAGACCAGATTACACACATCTGAGAGCTTTCTGAGAGCCTGATTAGATATCTCAAGAGACAAGTGTACTTTGGTGGGTGCTCCATTTTAAAGATGCTCTCAGCCAGTCTAAAATGGATCAGTCTCCATGTGAGGCATTCAACATATTGCAAACACAAAAAACTGCTGCAGTATCACGTTCTCATTGGCTCCAATTAGCCCACTTCTACTTACATTCATACTGGAAAAATAAAATCTATCTATCAAAAATGAAACATCGTTAAAAATGGGTTCGTATTGTAACTAAAGTTACCAATAAACCTGCATACTAATTTTATTCAAGTGTTAATAATGATTACATTAAAGTACAGAAGATACTTCATCTTGGAGATTCTTCTGAACTATTTGTTGCAAGTTTACCAAATCAATCTTTTACCTTCTACTTGTGCTACTACTTTGCTCCATACTTTAAAACCCGCACAGTGATATATTATCAAACTAATCTGATCCAAAAGCTATTAAAATAATAAGAACACAAACTGTCACTAAACCACTGACTTTAAAGTGAAGATCAAATCTATATCAAATTGCTGACCAATGCCATATTACTTTGTCTACAACTGGAAATGTGATGTAGGAAGAGAATTAAAAAATCCACTTCAACTTCATCATCATTAGTCTGTAAAGACATTTTTCTGGTAGCAGCAACAACGATATGGACAAAATACTGACAATATTTTGACCATATGAAACATTATGACTAAATTTACAACAGATCTGTGGTCTGATACTTTGAATGATGCCACTGTGGTTTGACACCAATTTAGACGCGTCTACACTGACAGCATAATGAAAGCAGCAGGTTAGCAGGGCAGCAGCTTCAGTTCTCCGAGTTTGTCTACACAGGACGTGTTCAGGTGCAGGTCACCTGCACTTTGCCAGTGCTCAGAGCCCAACACAGTCTGTTCTGTCAGACACACTTGAGACAGACAACTAAGAAAAACATCTGAAACACCTTCTGTGTAGACAAGCCTTTAGCTGCCTATTCTTTTATGGATATATCTGAATCCATTGAACATTTTCACCACAACTTTTCTAGTTGACAGTAAGAACACAAGGAAACCTCAGTTAAATATTACCTAACACAGAGAAAAGTAAATCACAGTATTAGAAATTCTTGGAAATGTGACCAATAGGCACTCATGAACTGCACGTTATATCCTGTCTTCCTTGGATACATTACAGTATAATATGAAGTTAACCACATGCATATCACACAGTGGGACACATCAGTATATCTGTATCAAAAAAAACACGACAATGCACTTAAATGGCAAATGCATGCAGCAGTCTAAGGTATTCACTCATATTCCAGGCCCTGCTGTGAGAGTATAACCTCTCATCTCCAACCTAAACAAATGACATGCATATTCATTATCCATAATCCATACTTAAAAGCAGGGATGATGGTGCCTGGATCATTACTAGGTGCCACATTAAACTGAGAAGTCACGGGGTCGATGGCCCCGGGCTTCACGTTGGACAACTGTGACTGTTGTTAATCACCAGTACAGAGGAGAGCTGTTTAATGCACAGAGGGCAAAATCAAATGTGTCAACACTCACACAAATGACACTGTCAAAGGAGCTAATTAGCACCATCACATGTATTGATTAGGGCAATGAAATACAACCTCAGGGTTTTTAGGGCATTTGGCAAATTCTTCAAAAATCTGCCCTAAACTTTACTCTAAAGAATTTGTTAGACAAATATGTTTTTGCTTCTGTGATGACCACCAGCAAAAATCAAACAGGACCATTAATCATTAGTGGAAAATATAAGCTACCTTAAAGGGCCTGTACTCACCTCTGAACACGAGACGGAGGAGCAAAGACGCCGTGTTTCGGTGGGCAGTTGAAGTACCTCACTCCTCCCACTGATCCATCATTCTTACCACTTGGCTTGTCCAGTTCAATGCCCAACCACAGCCCTGCACACACAAGAAGGCAGCCATTTAATGCCATCAGTTGTAAAAATCACATGTCTGCTGGATACACTAGTCAAACTGTACACAGAAGAACAATCAGCTGTTTGCAGAAAATATGGCTGCCAAAACTTATGTTACTTGCAGCCTCTCTACATGGAAAGTTATCAGTCTTGTAAATGGTGGTGATAACATTAAAACCCTGATTTTAATTCCTTTCTTTAGTCTCAGCTCAAGAATTAAATCCATTAAAATGAACATATTGTCCAGACTGTTATATTTATTCCAAACTCTGCCAATAGACATCAACCAAAAGCAATTTAATGATTGGGGTCAAATCTTGTAAACGTATATACAGCAAGATAAAAGCATGGAAAATTGTAATAGAAATATAATTATTATAAAAGAATATAAAGTTGAACACTAGATTTCAGGACTGGACAGCTAAAGGAATAACTGTTCTGTGTAGTGTAATAAAATTGAAATGCTTAAAAGACAAATACCTATTATATACCCCAGAATCATTTCATGCAAACATAAGGGTCTGTCAAATCTTGAAACTCATTTGACCTTATACACTGAAACAAAATGGGAGAGGGATGTGGGAATAATTATATCTGATGAAAAATGTACAATAATATGTAAGTACCAATGAAAGTGTATCAGCTCACAGAAATGGTTGGAAGAACCTGATGAGGTTTTTTATTCCACCCTCTCAGATATCCCACTATGATAAAAAAAAACCTTCCTGTTTGCTGAAGAAACTAAATGCAACCCACTACCATATTTTCCAGGTACTGCCCTGTCATCAGACACTGAGAAGGGTATGCAATGCCCTATGAGCCATATATAAATGTGAAATCCCTCCAGAAATAAAGATTATATATTCTGGATATATACCACAAGAATGGTTGACAAGAAATAAATATTTAATGAATACACTGCTGGTGGCTGGTAAAAATAGAATATCACCAGCAAATAGTTATCAGTGGAGAGCCCAACTTTAAATACATGGATGGAAATTACAATGGACATTTATAAAATGGAGAAGATAACAGCATTTGTCATAAATTGGAATAATTTACAGCATACTGGGAAAGAATCGATTAACTACATAATGCCCTATAGGCCTGATTTTAGAGTGGCCCTGAGAGCTCAATGCACGGCAACTTGAGAAAACACAGGCAAATTCAGAAAACATCAATTTGACAACACATTACAACACATACACAACCAAATACACGAACGCTGCAAGGTTCATCACTTTTTTGTGTTTCCTGGAAACACTTGCGTTTTGTTGTGAGTATTTGCAGCACGTGATGTCACTGACGGAGATGTTTTCTGAATTTGTTTGTGTTTTGTCTATTTGCATGTGTTTTCTTAAGTTGCAGTGCATTGAGCTCTCGGGGCCACTGTATGATTTTATTTTTACAAATCAATCATCTTGTTGGAGAGAAACGATAACTATCTATTCATAGTTCTTTTTCTTTTTTTTTCAAGTATATTTTTTTGGGCTTTTTATGCCTTTATTGATAGCGCAGTAGAGAGAGACAGGAAATGGGGAGGCAGAGAGGGGGAATGACATGCAGCAAAGGCCGTCCGATGCAGGACTCGAACCGGGGCCAACTGCAGCGAGGACTGTAGCCTCTACCCATGGGGCGCCTGCTTAGACCACTACGCTTCACGATGCCCCTATTCATAGTTCTTTTTCATTGGTTTGTCTTTTCTATATGTGTATACTTGGAATGCTAAGAAGTATTTTGAGATTTGTGACAAACATGAATGAATGGCATATATATACATTCAGTTTGAAATCTGAAGTATATTCCATGGACATATTATCCATATTATTATTATTATATTTGATTAATGCTGAAAAAAAAAAAAAAAAAATCTGATTTCAAGTGTTTCAGGACAGCTTTCAATGTCAGTTGGTCTTTGGTCTATAAAACGGCAAGAGCAACATTTTGCCGTACACCACTGCCACTCCTAAATAAATAACAGTTTAGCTCTTTATTTTTCAGCCGCTGCCCTGTAAAATGAAGTAACTATTATATATAAAGCAGCTCAGACAAAATGTTAAAAAGAAGTCATTTACTGTGTGGTGCTCAGCAAGAAGTGCTTTTTGTTATAGAGACGCAGTCCTCAATGCACTGAGGCTGAGATAACAAAGCACTGCTAGCACTGATTTAAGAGTATCAAAGGAAACTTAAGACTGAAATCCCTTTAAACATGATCCTCAGTGGTGTGAGATATGTTGGTTCTTATTCACACATGACTGATGCCTGGGCAGAACTACTGCCTAACTATTAATAAATACCGTGAGCTGTTTTCTGTTTGGATTCCAACGGCTTTTGCTCAGCAAGAATTTCTCGTATCTTATTTTTCCCAAGTATCTTTCTGTCCAACTCGAGGTTTGCCACTGCTCTAACTTATGACCAAGTATGTAATGCAAGTTGAAAGAGCAGAGCTTAATAGAACTTCTTTAACTTTCACCAGATGTGGCATTGTACAATAATGATAGTGCACAGAAATATTAAGATTTATGCAAAAGAATCTGACATTTCTTGCAGCAAAAAGAACAGAGGGAGCATGAACTCAAGTTTTCGTGGTGTACCAACTACAGGCAACCAGAGGCAAGTTCTGCATTTAGAGACAGAACTGCCATCATTCATCCATGTCATTTCTCAGGATTGAACTTTTTCAGCACCTATAAAAATGAAAAGCTCAACCTTGAATTTTAACAATATGTCCACAGAAGTCTTTTTTCTTGGGCTATTAAGTTGATAGTCGACCATGTTGACTTTCTTAATGTTACTGGACAGATTTGACTCTGAGTCATTTTATTTTTATGTATTAAAAGAATCAGACACCTTTTTAACCTTGTAATCACAACAAAGTTACCTAAGCTGTGCAATCACCACTTTATACATTTATTGGGCTTAAAAGCACCAGCTCAACAGTTTGCAACCCAATTAGAAATACCAGGATACATTTGAGGACACATTAAAGAAAACTGCAACAATTATAATTCTTTATGTGTGTCCTGAACAAAGCAAAGTAATGACAGATATGATTTATTAAAGAGATATTAAAGAATATTTTAGATAAGCTAGAAAATGTGTTTCCAAAGTTTTCTTTTTCTAAACTCTAAGGTCTGAACCTTTTCCAAAGAGCACAGCTTGATCATCCTGAGCTTCACATGTTCTTAACCGAACCCCAACAGTCTAACATCAAAAACATTTACTGTATTAAGCTGGTAAACAGAGGTCAAATTAATCATATAGTCAACTATAAAAACCATTCAGTGGGTGGTCTACTGAATCAGTGTCAGTGCTTGTTAAAGACAAAGAAGGAATTTTATGTTTTTACTGTGGGTATTTTAGTCTTAGCAATAGCTATAATGAGACACAGTGACACCGACATCAATTTAATTGCCTGTAATTTTTAGGAAATTCATTGCTAATTAGACTTTTAAGAGCATTTCCATGCACGTATCCATTCATTTGTTTTAGAGAAACAAAGTTGAAGTGCATGAAATTATTCAGGCGTGTGATTGAAATGCCATTCAAACTAAACAGATTAAATGCAACACGTGTGTGATTTCAACTGTCAAATCTTCACAGATTTTAAAAACTGACCTGGAGCAAAGGTGGTCTTTCCATAAAATTGGACAACACCAGTTCTCTGGCCGACCACCAGCACTCTTTCCCCCAGGCGCACCTCAGGGCTGTCACACACAGAGCTACTAGCTGAGGGGGTTCGGCTTCGAAGACCTGGGAGAGATAGACAAAGTGTTTCACTACTGTGATAACTAATGCCCTCAATTTGATTCTATTAGAATAATAATAATCCTGAAATGATAGCAATCTTCATTATGTCAGTGTTAAGATAAAACAGACCTGCAGTTAGCACAGTGGTACCAGAATAAGAATGGAGGGCTGGTGAGGGTGTGGTCCTGGGGCTCAGAGAAGCTCGCTCCCTTCTCTGCCTGGCAGGAAGGCGTTGCCTTGGTAGCGGACGAGGTCGGGCACCTGGCCCGTGTCGAGAGTCCAATGAAGAGGAAGAAGAGGAGAGGGAGCGGGAGAGAACACCTGTAGTGAGAATAACAGAGGAATGAGTGAAACACAGGAGCGTGGAGGAAACCTTTCAGAACAAGTGAGTGAAACAGCATACAGCCACTTTGCCAGCTACATACTAGATGATTCAACAAGGTGCATAAACTGTTGCATCTAGGCTCCAATAAGACAGGGGTTGTGAATGTTGTTCATTCTGCTGTCTAATGTCACACGGCACAAACTGTGTGCCTCCTCTCTTAATACTGAACCCACCATCCATCCATTCAGGCTTACATCTGCGACTTTTACAATTCCACTGAAATAATGAAGCTCAGCCAATTACTCATTTTTCCATTTCATTCTTCTGAATGTGACAGTGCCTATAGCACTCAGATCCAGACAATCCACTGTATTTCTGCAGAAATCCAAACAGCTGTGTCACATCATTCTACGACAAGGTAAATCATGTGAGCTCAATCTTTTGCAGTTGCTTGTCCCATTACTGAGGTCCAACTGAGGGCCAACATGCTAATCCCCTCCCACTATGAGGGATGAGATAAAGGGGGGGGGGCAGTTTCATTCTTTAAAAGCCATTTGGACACAGGACCTCATTAAGCTTTTAACTTTCACAGACCTTCACAGGCCATGAGTTCATTAAGTGCCCAACTCTTAGAGGCTAAGTGATTAAATCTGTGCCAAAGTGGTTTAAGAAGAGAAGATTCAGCTACAGTCAAATTGGAACCCAGACAGCGATGGGCTGAAGACTTCTCAACATTTTCCGGAAATTGTTTTCAGTAGTAAGTCTTAGCTAATGGGCTCATGAGAGTAGATGGCAATGCACAGGAATAATAGCTAATAGCTGCTGATTCTATCATTTCTGTTTGAGCTGATCAATCCTTTGTTGCCTTAATTGATCACTGGACTGGTGTGGTTTTGGCTTCATGCACAATTAACATAATTTTAAGCATATAGTATTTTCAGGGAAATATCTGGAATTCAGATTGTGCTCAATATTCACTTGCTTCTGAAACATATCTGTTATATATCTAGATATAGATGGAAACTCTAATTTACCATCTAAATTATGCTTGAATTTCAAATGCATTTCTAAATCAGGATACACAGTGGTATATCAGAATATGATATAGAGTGAAATGGAGCACATTTTTGTGAGAAAAGACATTGATGTTCCTGTTGAACTACCCACAGATGGATTATGATGTTGGGTTCAAGTATTAAGGTGCACTAATTATCAGAGACGGGTGGTGATTAGGAGTGCGTGGATCTAGGATTTGACAATTACAGGAGATTATATTAAATAGTGCAAACTCATTCCACACAACACTCTCCGATACTCAGTGCATCGAAGCACACTCAGCTATAACTACAGTACCTGTCAATGTCAGTGAGGCATCTCCCTTTGTGCCCTGATTGGGACCAGGTGGACTTTTTTGATTATCAATGGGTTTTTTGACAGATGGAGATAAACCTTTACTCCCACACCCACATACACACACACACACACACACACACACACACACACAGATAGACACACAGACAAAAGAGACACAGTGACTTCTTTTTAAAACACACAGATCACTAATCATCTTAGTCAGATTAGAAGATTGCATAAATGATGCATGATCACAGTTCTGTAATGTTTGCATAATTTGAAAGTCACTTTGGAAACTGTATTAAGACTGTAGCTTGATAAGTGAAATTAGTTTAACCGGGAAACATATAAATCTGTCTAATTTATGTAGTTGTCATGCTGTATCTGTTGAAGGACTGCTTGAGCATTCTGATGATCAAAAGAGCATTTAGACTGGACATGTAATCTAAGTAGAAACATGATCATGTAAAGTAGCCATCCAACGCAACAAAACTTAGAACGTGAACCCAATATGTGGGAATACAGTTTAAATAGTTCATTAAGTGTGGAGAAATCAAATAGAATTACAAACGAGAGAAACCAAGAAGACACAGTTCAGTGGCAGAATTAAAAGCAGAGTCAGAGTCATGAAAAGCGACACTGAAAAGATAAAAAGAGAAGAGCAGGAGAGTGAAAAATGCAAAGAAAGGACAGCATTACAATGTTGAGCAGCAATGAAACAAGAATTATTGAAAGGCATTTTTTCTTGATTGAATTAAGACCGTATTTCACTCCAACAAACAATAAAAACACTTTAATATGCTGAGACAAGCAGTTAAACCCACACAAAAGCCCCGATTGCACTAAATTCAAAAGCCAAAAAACTTCAAAAGAAATCTTGGCACACAATGAGAAATGACATTTCTTGCAGAAGTAAACATAATGTTTTTTAACTAGTTTATGGCACCAAAGTTCAAGCTTCATATATTGTTTCTGGACTTAAATTAAACCTACAATGAAATTGACAAAAGCCTTTTAGAGTCAGCTCTTTAATTGGCAATAAATCAATATCCGTGTATCTAAACAGATTTAAGGAAAAGTAATCGGCTCTAAAGAGGATTCAATTCATACACACATCTGCCACATAAACTGTCTCTCACATTATGTCCAACTCATAATTATGTCACCTTGGTTTAAACTTTATATTGCGCTTTGAAAATGCAGTAGAAAAATCTCAAATCAGCTTGGTATTTATTGATTGCCATTTCAGTTCACATTTAGAGGCAGCTGGGAAATGTTCCCCTCAGAGGCAGAGTTGTGTCTCTCCTTTGAACTCCAAACAGGAGACTACATTCCAACTCAGCATACCAAACATTTCTTGTCACTTGACCTTTAGCTTGCAGGGACCTCCTGGCTCTATCTATCCCTTCCACATACTGACGCTCACCTCAAGTGACGGACTGCAGCACAGACTGAGGCTTTATGAATCAAGCAGTGGTGTTTTGTGAGCGTTGTGTATGTTCCCACCGCCCTTTGAGGCCTGAGATAGGGTCCAGCCTTGCATTCTGCTGTGTCTGTCTCTCCTGGTTAGCCAGACAGTCCCACAATGACCCATCCAATCTATAGATACACACAAGCGAGCTGTCTGCACTGCCGTTCCGAGGGGACGCCAACACGCAGGTGGCTCTAAGATTTTGGGCAGTAAATGGCTGACAAAGGCCATGAAAAGTGTTTAGTCATAAATTAGTTTGGTTCTTGGTTGTATGGAGGTGCCAACACACACGCCCTCACATGCATTGCATGCTACACATACACACACCTTGTGATGAATGACTGCCAGGCTATTCAGCCTGTCTATGCCCTAGTTATTAAACCTTACTTAATTGGACTATCAATCACCGGATTCCATAGGCTACTATGAGGTCCGCTATTCCAGTCACGTCCAGATCAATTGGCCTTCAATACCTTTGAATATTACATCACCACAATACAGCTATAACCCCTAGAGGATGGAAGAACTACAAAAACCTACCAAGGCAAGGTTTCTACAATGTTCTGAGGTGACTGGACTGTATTATGAGACGACATTAGTCGGGGGTTGAGGATGTGGGTATCCAAGGACTGTCAGAGCAAGGTCTTGTCAGCAGTCTAATTTATGCATTGTGTTCTGGCACTGATTCAGAATCCACTTTTCAAAGCATTCGAAGAAGATTAATATGAAAGCCCAGATGCAATAAATCCTGCCATGGCTCATGCAGGCTAGGAAAGTTGAGAAAGCTTCTTTTTGGCACAAAAGAGGCCATCAGCTGGAACTGTGACTCAGCTGATAACCTCATCTGGACACTGGACGGACTCACTCCCTCCACAGTTGGCTAAAAGCCCACTGTGTCATCATGAAAACTGTCTGCATGGGCATCCATTTTGGTATCTAGAATGAGGGTGGTCCAACAGCAACCGCTACTAATACAGCATCTTTTTTTTTTTTTTACAGATTTGTTTTTATCAAGTCAAACACACATCAACAGATGTAAAAGATTTGATACTTGTGATACTATTTTACTGTTACATAGTAGTATCACAGTCGATGCACTGCCAGATCAATAGTATTAGAGACAACAACTATAGAAAAGCACTTTTAAGATTTTGTTGCAGACAGACTCCACATGAAAGAGCAGCCTTAAAACTTTGTTTTGTTTTTTTAAAATCAAGCTTATAGGTAGGGCTGGCGCAGACTTACCTGAACCATTCCCTAGGTTGCTATAGACCGAGATTGCTGTGGGATTTCCCATGATGCACCAAGCTCCTCTCTCCTTCTCTCCCTATCCATCTGTATGCATTCCTATCCCATTAATACACAATACTAACTTAGACTCTTCTGTCTCCTGTAGTTTACTGTAGTCCTGTAGTAGTTGCTTGCTCGTCCCCCCCCGTCACATTCTGCAGGTATGTCTGTAGAGTCTGGATCTGTGACTGCAAACCATCTACTGCCCCCACGATCCTGCTGAAAACACCCACTGATTGGTCCAATTATTAGTTTTATTATTAGTGTTATTATTTCTATTGTTAGTCTTATTATTAGTCTTATTACCTGTTCTATAATTGTCATTTCATTATTATTATTATTATTATATATTCGTCTCTCTGCTATATATGAAAAGTGCCCTAAGATAACTTCTGTTATGATTCAGCGCTACATAAATAAAACTAATTTTTATTTAAATCACCCCAAAGAGATGAACACTGGACATGCTGTTTAATTTAACTGAATAATTCGAAGATACAGAGCACTGCCTCGATTTCCACGCATATTACTGAATATCACTGTTATCACTACACACCCACTCATCTAAATTATTAGTCAATATGTGTAAACTGTCTCTTAAAACAAAAGTCACCTCTTCAGCTTGGCGAAGTAATCCAGCAGCTGGTGGTATCAACCTGCACTCATCTGGTTTCACCAGCAGGGATCAAAAATTTAGTCTGAGCGATCACAATGTACAGAGTACAAATTACATTTGGAGGGAGATATTTAGAGGATGCGATTTCTGAGAGTGTTCCACAATTGTTTTCCTGCATTGCTTTCAGGTTTGTCTCCCCTTGAATCCCCCAAACTTCAAACTGTGAAGTACTTCAAATAAATGTTTACAATCAGTCCAAGGTACAATATATTCTGACAGTGCAAGGGGATAATGTAGTACCTCCACTTTGAAAAAATTTAACAGCCTTTTGCTCTTTTGCTAATAATATATTTTACTGTATAAGATGACGACATTATTATATAGTTAAGGGACAGGGGGAATCTGTGGTCACCAGAAAATCATACAGGACGTGGACATTGTTGTAATGCAGTTATTGGAGAACGGGGGGATACGTATTTCCACCAACACTTTCTCTCATTTTCAGCACATCATCCCCCAAGTAATGACAAGATGGACAAGCACAAGTCACTGTTTCTATTGATGCTGCTACTCTAAGCTTATGACCCAAAGCTCCTCGAAGTGAGTGCACTTGAATTATTTCTTTAACTAAGAGGCAATATTAGGAAGCAATTCATGGGAATAATGTTTCTCCAAAGTGTCTCGTTTGTTCAAGGTTGGTACATTCTTTTCCTTTTTATATGATGTGTGGTCTCCAATAATGTATCCATGTTCTCCTCCAGAGGACTGTGCATGAGATTAACTGTGACACTGACCCATGAGAAATCTTTTTCACGTGTGCTCACAAAAGTTCACACATTTCTTCGCCCTCAGGGCCCTACAGGCTGTTCAGTCTCACTGCCTCTGTACTTCCTGTTATGATTTGATCGTTTAAATCTTTTCTTATTTAAAGTCATTTGTGCCAGAACTCCTCAGGCAAACCCACTGTTCCTCATTCTTACAGATTCTTTGTGAGCTTCATGCTGACCTGAAATGTTTAGTGAACCTCGCAGGACCTGAACACAGCTTGAATCATGAGAATAGAGGTGAATGGAGCCGTGCTCAACCTGCAGTAGCTCTCTTTCTGTCAACAAACAGTTATTGCAATTCTTTTGTGATGTATCAGATGTACCCTTTTTTACATCTTGACAGAATAGCAAACAGATTAAGCAGTAACATTCAGAAGAGTTATGACCTGTTTGCCACTTGTTCTTTACCTGTGTTTATCTTGGAGGTGATGCGGGACAGGTCTATGCGACGAGGGGGGCGTATGGGTGTAGACGTTTTTGTGGAGCTCATTTTATGTCTTTCCAGAGGTTTGCTTATCTTGGAAAGAGGAGCAAATATTCCTATGAAAAAACAGAAAAAGAAAAGGATTGAATAATAAAAAAGTCAGGGGATTAAGTGTGATTCAATATATAGTGTGCAGAGATATAATAAAGACAAGGCAAATAGGTACAACAGCAAAAGACACATTACATATGCTAACAACTAGAAAAAGGACAAATCTAATTTTGTGGTGTAAGATAAGATACTATTGAATATCTGACTGGGGCCAATTAAATCATATAAAGTCAATAGTGTTAGAAGTAATTGAAGGAGTAGGTGGGTGAATCAGTGTGTTGTGGGTTGACCTACCATGTTTGATTCTGCAGGTGAAATATTGAACGCCTGCCACCGAGCCATCGTTCTTCCCCTCTGGTTTGTCCAGCTCCACTCCAGCCCAGAGGCCTCCCGAGAACTCAGTGCTGCCACAGAATCGTAGGGTTCCAACCTGTTTACACACAAATATGTACAAAGTCAAAACTAATATAAACAGTGTGCAAAAACAAATCAACACAAAAATCAGCACATGCAGCAAAACAACTGGCCACTGTACTGAGCAGTGTCGTATCTTCATTGGTAATGCTACATATGATATCAAGGGCAGAACCTCTATCAGAAACACAACAACATCTTGATGCGTCTATGTTCACTAAAGCTGCAGAAGAGACCAACAATTAAAAGAAAAATAGAGATGAAAGCATTACACTGTGCCAGAAAGTGCAGGGAAGATAAATAATAAGAGTTTTGATTAGCCAATCTCTACAACTTGGCACACTGCAATTCTGTTCTCTGTGCAGCACGAAAATCTATTAATGGCTCTTTCTTTCAGAGCAAATGTCCAGCTGTGGAGGATTAGTGTTTTCTTATCATCTATACGTGTCTCTATCTCTGCATCTACTGTACGTGTGTGCATTTTGGCTGGCCACACAGAGGGACACACTGCAGACTACAGCCACATGAAACAAAACAATTACCTGGGTGTATGAAGGTTTTAAGGGCCCTGATTACATGGCAAGAATAGGGACTACAGAAGGTGGCTACTGGTTTTCAGTTGAACAGCTGACCTTACTGTGTTATCCATGAAACAAACTCTGAACAAAAGCTGATGGTGTATACCTCATTATGGCAGAAAAGACATCTGGAACAAGTGTGCATTCTGGGTCTACGTTACTATTGCCAGATTGTTACAAAGTCCAGATGGATGTGTCATACACAACATTATCATGGACCAGAGACTCATAAATGTGTCTTTTTCGTGGCCAAGCTGGTCATGATAGAAAGTATAATGATCCACATAAGACGAGTGACAAAATAAAGGAAAAACCTGACAAACCCGGATAAAAACAGGATGACAATGCCCCTGTTCATGGCGAACGAGGGGTAATTGAATGGTTTGATGAGTATGAAAATGATGTGAGTCATATGCTATGGACTTCACAGCCACCAGATCTAATAGACAGCGCTCTCCGCCACGATCAGCAAAAGTGTGGGAATATCTTTTGGAAGAATAGTGTTCATCACTCCTGTAGAGATCAGAGACATGGAGAATCAATGCCAAGGAACACTAAAGCTGTTCTGTTCCCTTGTGGTGACCCGGCACCTTACTGAGACACTTAATGTTGGTCTTTCCTCTAATTTGTCTGTCATCTGTGTGTCAAACATGTATTTTATAGTGTGCTGCACTTCTTTAAAATTAGAGTTTAGAGCAATGTGAAAGGCAGATTAGGAAGATTCTTTTACTGTAGCTTTGATGCTTGGTGATCTCATTTTATCCTCGACAATTTCCACCAGGTCAAGTCAATTTTATGCATATAGCACCAAATCATAACAGAAGTTATCTCATGGCATTTCTTTCACGGTATTGTGTGTAGTGAACTGCTGTGCAAGTCTTAGCAGTTTGGCTGATGGAAAACTAATGACAAGCATTAGTCCTCCTCTACCACTGTGCACCAACAACAGCTGCATGATTTTTTTTTAAACAAACCTTCCTCTAACCTCACTGATGGCCATTGATTTGTCTGCAAGCTAGATGTTGAGCTCTTGCATGGTAAATCTGACAAGCTCACCTTGACGGACGTGGAGCAAATTCAGACAAGCATCCCTGAGCCGGGGAAGAATCCCTGGATCAGTTGTTGTCAAATTCACAACTCACACTTCCTTACAAGCATAAAAAGGTGGATAAAACCAAACATTTTACCATGTTAGCTTTTATGGCCTTAAATTAAATAAAATTCCAGTTAAATAAACTGTTTAGCCTAAGAGTAAAAAAAAAAGAAACTTCCTGATCTAATAAGAGTCATTTGTGAGTTCTTTTACAATGATTACAAATCTTTTTTGGTGAGCTTGTGGCAATGAGAGCACATTCATAAAATGACAGTTACTTTACCGAGATTTGAGTATTTGTGATGCTGAAGCACCAATGACTGCCAGAGACGAGTCTGGTAGTTTTGTACCAATGGCACAACAGTGGATGTCTCTTTCACCTGCTTTATTGGATCACTAGCTAGATTCAGGGTGGACTGGGCCCATGCTGTCAGACTGATGACTAAAGGCACACATCAATCATTAGAAAAAGGCTGCTGTTGCAAAATTTAAGCACAAACTACAGAGAAAGCAGAAATTTCTGTGGTTTTCATTTAATTTTGGAGCAGGGGCAGTGAGGCTGAACTATGCCATGGACATAGTCAGAAAATTATGAATTTTATTTGACCTATGGGGCCAAATCTCTACTGCTTTCAAAGCCTGCTTCATGTCAAAAGGATTACACAGGGCTTAGACCACTAAACTGAAGTTGGGTGGTTAGGTCGGGCAGCTATACTAAATACTAAAGTAAAATACTCAAGTTGTCTGCTTAAATGAATAAATGAGAGCATGTTTAATGTACTGAAAAGAAAGTTGCTCTGATGGGAAAAAAAACTTGCCAGAAAACATGCTGGCAGCTACAGTATTTCATGCAGCCATAACAGTACACTGCTTCAAAGTACATTTTAAATCATATGTGTGATTACATTGTGACAGGTCAAGAACTTTTGAATAAATGCTTATAATTACCGTGCTGTATATGACTACATACCAAGGAATCACTTTGTTTACACTTGATTTATCAATTTACAAACACTCAAGCTCATTACACATTTTCACTGCTACAAAGAATCAGCCAACACAGTTTAGTTCACACATTTCACACACACTGTGTGAGATTTGATGAATAAATAAGTCTAGGAGAAGAGGATGACCCAAAGGCAAAGAGGAAGCAAACAAGTATTTTAAACTTATAATATTTTTGGAGTTGGATGAACTTGAACATGTTTAGATAAATGCTCATGATATGCCACAATGAACTGATGGACATAGCCCTGAATCCTGGAAGGATGCCAAATTGTGTTGCCTAGCAACTGGGAACTATTTTTTCTTTGTTGAGGGCTGAAATAATTGTAAAAAAAAAAAAAAAAAATTACCAAAGCTTCTGTCTTTGTTGAGGATAAACCACTGTACAGCTGCATAACACTGATGTGATGTGGCTACAGGTATGAGGGCAATAGTGCAACACTTCCATATGTACATTGTGCTGTGCACTCTTATTTTATGTGTTGTGGTTAATGGGTGTATATAAAATACAACTCATCGATTCAATCAATAATCCCATGAAGAAATTTGACTGTATTGTCTTCTAATTCTGAAAAGGGACACAGAATCGAATTCTCCTCAAACCATTTAATGCACATAAGCAAAGAAAAAGCTCTTTTTGCTGTGTGTACTTCAGTGAGTCTGCCCTCCCTGTTTTAATGTCTTTGTAGAGATAAACAGAGAAAACATTAATCTGAACCTTTGGGCAACTCGGGTTCAGTCCCCAGCTTGGGTGTTTCCACCTTGGCCAGGTGCTCCATCAAACACAACTCCTGACTGTGTTTGTAGGATGGGAAACTGGTGAGGGATCATGTCCTTGTCACTGCACTAGTGAGTCATGCTAGCTAATCTGGCTCCTGTACAGAGAGGGGTGGACTGGAATAGCATAAAGCTCCCCACACTTTACATCCTCCTTGAGAGAATTTCAGGTGGCAAACGCACAAACAAACAAAAAGAAAACAAGGTAGGAGATTAACTCTGAATGGGTCAAATCTGGTGCTTTCTTCCTGATTTTTGTGGATGGGTAACAGGGGACAAACGTAACAACAGAAAATTAATTATTAACAGAAAGAGTTACACTAGAGAGGAAAAGAAAAAGCTGGAAAATATCCATAATGAAGTGAAAAAGTCTATTCCTGTTTATTAGACATATTTTTTCAGTGTTCCCGTCAAATACGTGTTACTATGAAATGGCTATTTTATTGTAGAGTTGCTACATTATTTGAACTTTAAGCAATATAGAACATATTTACTGACCAACCTTATTTTTCTCATGTAAGTATGCCCATTACACTGATCATATAATGCCTTAAATATGTTTGTTATCTTTGTCAATTTATCATAACACTTTGAAATTGAAATAAAAATGTTAATTTTAGGATTATTGTGATACTGGCCATTCATTTCAAGAAAATTACTTTTGAATGTAAATTTAAAAACCTGCCCAAATCATTGTGATAAAAAATTTCAAATTCTAACTTTTGTTGTCATTTCAAATTTAATGGGAATGAAGCAACTTCAGGGGTACAGAATAACCTAATTTTGAAAAGAAAGTCAGAGACAAACGCAAACTGATGTAAAATCTAAATTAAAAAAAACAACAATAAGAATTATGATGGAAGCATTCAGGCTATCCAAATGTATTCAATGGTTTGTCAGCTAATTGTTCATTAGTGACTTAGATAATTGGGCATGGAGTCATGTGTCGTTATAAGGCCTCGCACATTTGAGTTGGAAATGGGTTGAACACCTCTGACCCAAGGTTTCATATCCCTATTTTAGATCATGTAGGCATGTTAGTGACTACAGCTTTAGTTAAATATTAGTTAAATATTAAAATATTAGTTAAATACGGCTCTCACCCATTAGTGCACCCATTAGGAGAAATGAACTTTCTCTCTCTAAATGGAGTAGTACACACTCATTTGAATTCAGCTAATCATCAGGTCCTAATTATAGGGCTGGGAGACTTCCCTCTATTGTACCACTATACGACATACAGCTAATGAAAAAAGTGGATATTTCAGAAAAATCTGAAAAGACTGAAAATACTGCAATTGAATGATTAATGAAGACACTTTAAATTGCTCCTGCCCTTTGATAGTGACCTGCCACACACCTTCTGTCCAGCAATCACCACACGTTCACCTAGACGGATCCCCATGGTAGCGAGCTGTATCCTGGCCTTATCAGAGAGAGCAGGAGGTGACTGGGCTTGCACAGTGAGGGGCAGAGGGGAGCTGGGTCTTGGTAAAGCCCGTCTCAGCAACGTGCGGAGCTCTTTGGCCACAGCAGCTGCATCTGCCATGTCCAAGGGCATGTCAAGGGGGTCGGGCACCACATCTGCTGGGCACTGTCCTTTTTCATTCTGTGGGAGCAAACAAGGAAAAGGCACAGAAGAACGACGGTGAACTCATGAACGAGAGGTGAATTTCCTTCCACAGGATAATTAAATTTTCTAGCATGCTAAGTAAATGTAATATAAATTAGATAAATATCAAGTACAGTATCAATCTCACTGATGAGGGACATCACAAAGTAAAACTTGGATTTTTGCTTCCATTTCCAAAAAGTTCACTGTTATAATTTCTGTAACAAGGATTTTGGGTTTAACACAATCAATAATCTCATCCCTGCACTCAGAACAAAACCCCCCGATCGGTGCATTTCAAACCAATTGATCAGCAGGCACAAAACATGGACATTTAGTCAAGTGGCTCAAAGAAACTACAGTAAGTGAGAACTGAGACAGTCAGCAAGCTAGTGTCAACAAAGGTAGGATGAAAGAAGATGGGAGCTCATTCAGCATTATAGTGTTGGAGTAAATGGGGCGAACACAAGTGGTCTTTGATAGACATCAAAAAGAAGCTTACTTTTCATTGCCAAGACCTGTTGTTCACATGTTGTAATGCTGAGCTAATGTACATGCCACTTAATCTACAACAGTGGCTTGAAAGAATGTGTTTGTGCTCGTCTGCATTTCTGCCTTTGTGTGCACTCTTTGGAGACAGTGGACCCCATTTTTATGGCAACACAATATTTAGTGCAAGCAGCGCTCCAACAGTTTGGTAATTTCCTGACCTTCAAATTGGCTTTGGGAATCTGTGTTGTTGGTTTTGGTGTGAGTGCACAGTGCAGAGTAGGGAGGAGAGGTGCAAACAGGTGAGACGTTCATTCAAATGAGGCAGCACAGAGGTGAGTTCTTGGCGTTTTGTTGGAAAATGTGTCTTAGACCTTGTGCTGAGAAGAGACGTCTCAAAACAATACCTGTTTCTGGCACTTGCTGCCACTTTGGAGATTTCATCAACAAGAGCAAACTAAATACACAAAGCAAATGCACTGTAATGATGAAATAATGCTTAATGTAAATAAACAATTTGAACTAAAATCACTCCCCAGCCAGAGGCATTTAAATCGGATTAAGAAATTCAAAAAGTTAAAGTAGGAACATCTATAAATTGTCTGTGTATCAGTCTGCATTTATCTCTAAATGAGTATGAGTGACTCTAAGAGTTTCTTTTGTCCACAGCTTCTTTATACTATATGAAAAGCTTCTCCTTCAGTTCATTAAATCCCCACAGCCTCATGAAGGCAGCAGGACACATATGTTGTAATTCTGCAGTGCCATTACACATGGCTATGAGCTGTGTTTACCTTTATTAAAACCCATACAAATGAAACCAGGCTGCTAGAAAGAAAGCCCATTCATTACACACATCAGACTGGTCCATTATCACTCTGTATTCTGTTGTTTATGTGGGAGATGTCGGATTACAGCAGCTCATCAATCCTGCGTCCTTCCCAGCTTTCTTTTTTTAGCAAAGGTAGCATTTCATGTTTTATTCTTGAAATGCATTATGGTGTGAATGCTGTTGTTACATTTTACAGTATGAGAATTTATGACATGAGATAGAGTAGAAATAAAAGTGAAATAACACTGGATTTATGTGGTTGTATAAATGGCTTCATCAATGTTTTTTATTATTTATTTTTGCCATCACTGCACAAGTAAAATAAAAACCCAGAGCACCTGCCTCTGGCTGCGGATTTGAAGCGCTGTGTTCAGGTCATGCAGCTCTGTACCACCCAGATAACAATGAGTGGCTCCACTGTTTCACAGCAATGAGACCAGTAATGTGACTGAACAAGAGTGAATTTATTAAAATCACCACACCCTCCGATTTATATTCCACCTCAGCCAACACTTTTGCACTTTGCGCTGATGCACTTACATGAACCAAAATAACAGGCATACTTGGATATGCTCACACAGTCCATGTGCCCAACACCTACGACTTTGCGCTTGTCGTTGCTATTCACAGTTGAAATAAGGCCCAGTTCTCAACAGGACTGGTTGGAGGAAAGAAATTTTCACTTCAGTGTCCAGTGTATTGAAATTATGCAACTTTGTGTGCTTTTTTAATATTCAACCTACTCATCTTTCCATTTGTGCTTTAGATAGATAGGTTATTCAACAGAACAATAGTCACTTCTAGACACTTTCACCCCACTTACATCTGGTATTAAAACTGCGCACAAGTAATGTGAGGTGGCCTCAAATCAGCTGTAGATGTCAAGATTGCGATTCCACATACCTAAGATCCAAACACAATGGGATCGAGACCACTTCCGGAAGTGGTCGGGCAGATCCGATCACATTATGATCACAACGCATTTACATTAACAAGCGTTTTTCCGTATCCGGAGAAGGTGGTCCAGACACAGATCACATTTCAATACCAGGTGTAAACTGGGTCTTTCAGTGAGTTTCATTTAAGTATCTTGATGGAGCATGATGCCAAACTCTCGCACTGAAGCATTCTTTAAATACTGTGTCTACAACAGCAGTTTATGAGGATTACGCTTTTTTTTTTTAACTCTCTCCTAATAAAAATAAGGCTAATGGCATTGAAGCATTAATAGAGCTGACATAGCCATTAGTTATATAATTTGAACTTTTATGAATTCAATATCTATCAAAATCTACATGAATGATTTAAGTTGCACTTTAATACGGGGAAAATTATATTGCAGTTGCTGCTACTTTTGCATTTGCCATTTTCACTAAACCAGTTTTTAATCAGTAGTAAAAACATATCCTGAAATGTGATTTCATGGATTTCATCGACCATTAATGTTCTTGCATATTCCCGGGTTAAGGAGATTCCTAAAGTGTGCAATGTCAATAGGTAGGTGACTCAGTTAATACCATTCCACAACCAACAACCTTATCATGCCCATAATTTACGAATAAAGCTGTGTACCTGACATAATTTATATTTAACTTTCATTGAAATGTAAAATTATCATCAGGTACACAATAACATTAACTTAACTTCACGAATGAAGATTCTATGCAAAACTGATCTACATCCCTGTGTGAGTGGTGGAGGCACCACAGCCATGGGCCAAAATTCTGCCAATTATAAAACGACCTACTGGTGCCAATTAACCAGCCAAACTGATTAGTTGGCCAAACCCATTAATTGGTTGACCACTAAAGATAAACTTTGAATAAAACTTCCAAACTTATCCTGCATCAACACATAGGAATGACTCCCAAGACATATAGCTACAGTCTAGTTACTAGCTTATAGGAACAGGAACAACACAACAGTCTTGCAATAAATCGTAACTTCTAACTTAAAAATCATAATGTTAAGTTTTTTTGTTGTTGTTTTTTAACACTGTGGCAAAGAGGTGTATTTTAAACTCTTGGTCTACATTGAAAGCTAAATGTTTAAAAGTGATGTCAGTAGGATATAAAGTCAAACTGCCTTTTCTATTCTCTGCAGTTTCTGCAACTAAAGCTCCCAGGAGTTGTATGCTGATAGGAGCTCAGTTGGCAGTTTCTTAAGTACATATCTCAGCAACAGTTTGGGAACCCATGTCAAAGAAGCCCAAAATCACTGGTGTGAATTGGCCTCTAGGGGGTGTTGCAATAAGAAAGAAAAACATTTTGGCTAATAACCATTGCCGTTTTTGCCTTAAAAACACAATTCTTCTTTCTGGTAATACCATCTTTAGACCAAGAATCATAAAATTTAACTCATTGATTTTTGAATTGCGAAAGCATTCCAACATAACAGCCGAACAAGAAATCAAGTCATATCTCTTTAATCAATTGGCATGAAACTTGCTGTGAGTGCTTATAACCATGACAAAATGTTTCCACGGCAACTCTGGCCTGCTTGGCCCCCACATTGCTGCTTTAAGCTGTATTATTATATTATTATTGCATTATTTCTGTTATTTAGCCTACCATCATTGATTTGAACAGGGTGGACAAAATAATAGAAATATCTGTCTGTGTTACACAATACAATTCAACTGCACTTCAAACTGCAGCCTCCTAACCATAATTAATTAATTTATTCAAGACCACTCAAAAACAGTTCCAACATAAACTCAACATTATAACCTTAATGACGATAGAATTTATTGCACGACTGCTGTATTAGAATCCATTAGTTTTCACTCAGCGTACCTAATAAACTGTTTATCTACCAGTGAAATGTCCTGGGAATGGTTTCACTCTACCCACCAAAAATCCTACACATATCAAACAGACTTGTAGCTCACTTCAAAGCTCTAACTGGATCAACCAAGTAAACAATCGACAATAGCAACTTGCTACTCATAGAAAGTATGATCGAGTTGTCATAGCCATTAATGAGTAAGATATGTGGTAAGGGGAGCGTAAAAGGTCAGCAACAGTTTTATTTTTCCATCCTTATAAAAGTCACAGCTTATATCCATGGTTTGTTCAGATTTTAAAGTGGATTTCTTGGCTCTGCCTTATACCCCACTGCCAGGCACCGCCGCCTTCTTCTACAGGCTGGTTATTAAGTATGACCGATATTACTGATATGGTTTTGAAAGTCTTTAGATGCATACATGCCACAGCCATCATTAGTTATAATTATCAGTTGTAGGCACAGACTCTAAAATTTATTTTATTTTATTAATTTCATAGTTCTATCATTAATATTGATATTATTATTATCACCATACAACTTCTTTTACCTCTCCCATTCATCCTTTTAAAAATGTAACATAGTAACGTTTACTTAGAACATATTTTAACCGACTTACTTTATATTTTTATCTGAGTACATTTTTAGACAAGTAATTTCACTTACACTTCAGTAAGATTTCGTTTAAGTAACAGTACTTTTACTTAAGTACAATTCTCCAGTACTTACTTACTTTCCACACCTGCAAGTGAACGTACAGAAATGGTGTTGCCAAACTGCTGTCGTCTAACTACATTGTCTACTAATTTTCAGAAAGACTGTGGTTTTCCTGGCTTTTACTCTATATGTACTGTCCATTTTGAATCATACCCTTGAGCAGTAATGAAATGAGTGTACTCAATGTTATGACTTTGTATACCTCACCTGAAATGGGTTGGGTCAGAGAAAGAGGAGTACTAGGAGGAAAAATGAGCAGCAATATCACAACTTGTAGAAACAGATGCAACACATCTCTGGAGTTAGTGCTCAGAACATATCTAAATAAAGGGTTTTAAAAAAGCCAAGCTGGTTCATATCAACCAACATTTAAATGCTCTTTCAGCTTTGCATTCACACACTAAAAAATAAAGAGCCTCTGCAGTTTCAGCAAGGGAACTATTTGATTATGGGGCATAGTGCTTTGGTGACCTCCAGTGGAAAAATTAGTACATACAAAGAACAAGCACCATTTCTGTTCACAAAAATCCTTAACGAATCTGAAAAATAAATAAATAAATAAACTTTTAATGTAAAGAATGATAACGGCTCATTGAGACATGCAACTTCAAGTATGGATAAAAACTTTCCACAGAGAGTGTGGTGTACTCATCAAACCCCACAACCAAGGCTTCAAGACTACAATTGAGAGGCACAAAACAGACAGACTGAGCACTGAGAAATGTTCAAGAGGAAAATATATTCAAAACATGTCTGGGAAATCTGTATTCAAACAACTGCCTTTTTAGGTGTTATCTGCCAGCTGAGTCAGAAAATGCCAAAGGGCGAATGTGCACAAAAAAAAAAAAACACAGAATATCTGAAATCGAATAAATGTGAGGCCTGAGAGAGCAACTAAGACTGCAATCTTATATATCAATCTTAATGTTAAATATCTATATTGAAACTAAGCATAAGGACTTCTTTTCTTGCAAAAGCCTCCATCAAACCACTGCATTTCTGTACTTCAGTAAATAATACAACTAGGATTACATGACATAAGAAAGGCTTTGTAAATCTGATGGTGGGAAAACTGTGGGAGTGAATTTTCTGTTTTCAATGAAGTTCTGACTGATGACATCTATGAGCAAATACAGGGGGTGGAAGCAGCATCAACAACACCTACAATGTAATGAAATCCGATACGATAGCTGGGAAACAAACAACCTTTGTAAAGTTTATAATGTTTAGTTTTTGTTGAGACTGTCAGAGAGATGTAGGTTCAATAACATGGTAGCATTTCATTTTTGTAAGACTGCAGTTTGAGTTGGTCTTGTATTTGCATGCATTATATAATTTGATTTAGCAGTGCTGAAATAATTACTTTATTAAGCAAATTATTGAAAACTATTTTGACAAAGACATTCATTGGTTTCAGCTTCTCAAATGTGAGGATTTGCTGCTTTTTGCAATTCATACCATTATAAATTGAATCTTTGGGTTTCTGGACAGTTGGTCATACAAAATAACTGAAGCTTTTGGCATAAGACCACCATCACCACAACCCACTCCAGGCAAGAAAACAAGTTCAGTGACAGAAAAACAACTTACAAATAATCCCTTTAGACTCAAAATTTTCGATGGTTTCATGACAGAACTCAATTTGTTAAACTCACATGACAACTACAATGACTGCTGGTGTGCGAGTATATGTAGAAGAATGATGTCACTTACTCTGAAAGCAGGGTTGGCTCCCAGCTCCAAGAGACATTTGACAGCTGATGTGCACAGGTTGGACGCAGCAATGTGCAGAGCGGTGCCAAAATCAAAGTCACTGCAGGTGGCATCTACCTCTACAAAAAAGACAATAATATTGTACAGTTAGTGATGTTGTCTTGTATCATTTTCTAACAGCTGCCTCAAGTTAAAACACTGAGATTAACCATTGACTATCATTTACACTTAGTCACCAGAAAAACTGAAACCCTGCTCCTGCAGAGGTAGGATCTGCCTCCTTGTTTAAGTACCTGACCAGCTGCATGCAACACCAGCTTCACTGCACTTCATGTTTGAACAGATTGCTGAGAACAGACTTAGACCATAATTTCATGATGATCATGGTATAGAGACCAAAACAAAAGAGACATCATAGTTTCAGCAGAGCAGCAGTTTTCTTCAGTCTAATGCATTAACAATACCATACTATAACCAACAACCTTATCATAATTTATGAATAAAGCTGTTTTATGTAAAGTTAATTTAAATTTAAATATAAATCTCAAGTATACAATGATATTAACTTGAGTTTGTATATGTACAGTTATATCACAGTCAAACCAAACAGGACACAAGAGACTCTGGTAAATTAACATGAAAGACATTTAGATAATAAAGGGGGCTTGTTAAAGAGCCAGTTTTACTGAGTATATAGAGTTACCTTAAATTTGCTGAGTAAAACCTGGAGCCCCCTCAAAACTGCAACATGGACTGATATAAAAAGACATCAGCTAACCAGCATCTGGGAACAGGCCCCAGGTCCATTACTGAGTCACTGACACAGCATCTGGCAGCTGTTATCAGGGGCAAAGGTGGTCCATAACAGTAGTGAACGGGGACTCTATTTCTCTACTATCTGTACATGCCATGCTGTGACCACTCAGGGTCTGTGATGTTACAGTATCTCATCAGTTCACTACAACACTTTTTCACAGCTTAACCAGCTCCTGTTGTTCAGCTGCTAGACCCATTTTCTGTATGTATGGGACAGACCTAGTAAAACCTGAAGTGTGCACTCACTGTATGTGTATACTAAGATTTCATTTTTCACAGTCAATAGTCATATATATATATATATATATATATACACATACATATTTAACTTGAATGAAAACAAAGGATCAAATAATAAATTGCTGCCTGTATAGAGCGATTCCACTGCATTATTGCTTCTTCATAAAAGTATTCATATCAGCACATATCAGAGAATATATGCACCGATACTGATATAGCTGTGATAGGCCAATGTTGGCCGATTTTATCGGCTGATCGATAAACCGGTCAGGCTCTACTAAGAGCAACTGTAATATTGTTATAAAAGGCAGGATTCTGATATACAATGCAAAACTGTGGTAAAATAAATGTTTCTGAAATCTTGAATTATGACATTATACACAGATACTGTAAATGGGCCTGTCACTCATTAATGTACATATGTCTATTTAAATAAAATTGGCTGAACACAAACTTGGTGCATCACAACATCCAAAACCTGATCTATTACAAAATGTACCTGAGCAACCCCCCAAAATATAATAAAAATATGGGAAACTGGGGATGTCACATGAAAAAAAATTTTGGTACCAAGTCAATGCCAAAATTCTGAAATGTGATGGTACTTGTTCTTCTACAGTGCCATAGGTAACAAATGTACCATAGATGTCGTAGGTAGCTGTACTGGTATTCTTCTGTGAATATGAATTCAGGGTGAGTGAGTTTCAGCTGTTAACTATATATTAACAATATATCGTCAAATTGTTCATGTCCTGAAATTTTACCATTAATGTTTGTATATTGCAACAGCTGACATCTGTTGTAGCAACACAGCATTCACAAAGGCTAACGGTAGCTTGTTTAGGCTACCGCAGCATCAGCTTGTAATGTGACGTGTGTGTGTGTGTGTGTTATTTTTTGCTGTGGTGACAAATTTGTTATTGAGAATCAAGGAATTTCAGTGGTATTGGCACTACCAAATTTCTGGTATCTTGACATCCCTCCTGGAACTAAAGGATAACACTATACAACAAATCTCTAAACATCAGGCCTGTGCTTCAACAAATCCACCTATAAAGCTTTGTATACTGTGCAGGAATTTGTCCATACATGTGTAATGATAGGAAAAGCATCCACACACATCCACACTATCTGTGCAGTATTTATTTACTGAGGCAATCAGTCAGAGTCCATTCTGAAGACAGAAAGCTGTGTACAAAGCTTTCCCCATCATTCTTCATTCCAACCTAGCTCCAGCACCATCAACAAGACTTCATCTGCTGACTAGTGATTTTTATAAACAAGACTTCATATTGGTATGAAATGAGTGATTATCAAAAGAAATGTTATCAATCTGCAACTCCTGCTGCAACTGTCTAAGTACATCCACACTGCAGACAATGAGTTGCCAGTAAGTACACCTAACGATATCTAGAGACTCCCACTGACATAAAAAGGGGGTGGGCAATTTAGAAAAACATTACCATCTGATGCAAAAGCACTACAAACTACAGCCATTTCTCTGACTTCATCTACAACAAAAACTGTATAAAGTAAGCAACATAAAGTCAAGTCGAATTGCAGTTGTGTTGTTTTGTATTGTGTTGAATGTAGCCATTAAATGTAGCTTCTGTAAGTGCATCTAATAAAGTGGCAACTCAGTATGTTCACTGCAGGAAAAGATTAATTACTAAGGTCTTAATCCTCACAGCAGTTGGTTTTGAAAACAGAAATGTCTGCCCTATACTGACTGCTGGGGTGCCCCCCCCCCCCCCGTGCCCTCTGGCTGCATCTCTGCTCTCACCTCCAGGCTGGGAGGCTTGCAACACCACCTGGATAAGCTGCGGCACGTCGAAGTAGGCAGCATAGTGCAGGGCCCTCATGTTAGTCCAGCGTGAGCGAAGGTTAGGATCAGCACCCAGGCCAAGGAGCTGGCGAGCAAAGCTGGCTGCTGTGTCTGCATCACCTGGGGAGGAGGGATACGATTACGTGTTTGGAGAAGGGGGAAGGGGGGGTGGGGGTAACAGACATTATAGCCGTCTTCACATATGAACTCTGGACAATGTCCAGAGAATCACTTGTCCTTTCACACATGCAGCACACAACAAGAGATTGCCCATGTGAGACGTATTCACACCTACTGGAAATACTCCCGTTTGGTTTAGACGAGGGCCGGTGCATGGGTAGAGCTGTCACTGTCTCTGGACAATGACGGGTCTATTCACACATCCCCTCAATCGGACATTACAGAGACTTTGTACTAGGGTGCTGGAGGGGTAAAGTCTGTTTAATGTCCCATTCAACTGATTTGGACATTTCACACATACAGCTCCTCCAGATAATGTCTACAAAAGTTCAGGGTTACAGTGCATGTGTGAAAGCAGCTTATGTCAGCTCTAGAGTGTGTTTAACAATACTGATGAATAACAGTGCTTACCAAGTCATAAAGGGTTATGTTCAGTTGTGAAAGTAGAAACATAAACTGACACTGAGACAAGACAGTAGATGTGTGTACACTTTACAGTCCACCTGAGAGAGTTTATTCAACACCACTGTCAATACTAACCAATGCCTGGGGCCCCAGCCTTGCAGCAATAGTGCAGGAGGCTCATATCTGTCAGTCCATCTCGATCATTCACACCGCAGCCTCTCTTTAGGATCTGTGCAAAGACAAGATATGTAGTGCATCACTAAGGATCTGGTGTCACTGTGCAGAAATATTACATAATGAGCTATAAAGTGAAGCTCTGGGACACAGATCTGATGAATGACAAGCAAGCTGGGACTCTCATAACACTACTCCTCTTTAAAATTGGACCAAACCCATATGAACAAACTGAAATTAAAACAAGTCATTTATTTATCAAGGGTAGCATTTATTAAGTGAGAGAAAATAATAGGCTGCTTTTACCCTTGAGACAAGTGCTTCCCTGCACAATTTACTGCATTGCAGCTACTTTGTGTAACTCTGGGTGGAGGTGTTTTGGGGTGGGTTGGCATGACCTCCACCAACCAACCAAAAAATAGAGTTTCATTTTATTCTAAAGTATTCTGGTGTTTTCATTTATCATATTAAGGCTGCAATGACGACGTCAATGTTCATTTGACTTGTCAACGATTGAATTAATTGTTTGTGGATTATAACAAATAAATGCATGCAAGTACAAACAGAGGAGGGTTTTCACTAAGGCAAGGTAATTAAACAGTATCAAAGCATATGCACAGTAAAACAATCCAGGATGGCCTCACCTCATTGCCGATAAGGTCAATGTTCTTCTGAACCTGGGGCACCCACTGCCTGAGGACAGCAAACAGCTCCGGTATTGTGGTGGTGGGATCCAGAAGAACCTCCCTGCACTGCAGCTCACTGGGGTCAAAGAAGGAGAACTCTGGAGGTGGAAGGAGGGACAAAAACCGCAGACATACATGTCTACTGTAATGTAATTCACCTTGATTAGTGAAAATAGGAATCCAAAGCTTTATGTTCCTTTTCCTCCTGCATTCCTGCATATGAGGAGAGCATGCAGTGACTCCTCTACCATTGATACTTTTATTTATGTTATTTAGCGAATTTATGTGCACTTGTTTCATTTCAGCTCAGTGTGACAGTCTCTCCTGCGTTTTGCTATCATTTATGGTCACGTTTCCTCTCCTCAGTGGAGCAGAGGAGAGACAGCCTGACAGCTCATTACATTAAGTGCAACCCCCCCAAAAACATCATCATCATCCTTGGGGAAATACTGGCATGTGTGAAACCCTTAATTAACTTTCTGCAAATTTGATGTGACAGTGGATGGCATGCCGTGAGTTAGGGCTGCCCATGACCAAAGATTTTCCTTGTTGACTGGCAGTCAATCCATTAGTTGACTAGTCTTTTCTAGACTTTTCATGATACTTATTTAATTAGTTAGATATATATTTTTGGGGTGCAAATGGTTTGAGTCCAGGGCTGATAAAGAGCGTTATAAATAACATTGTTAACACTGTGCTACATTACAAAAAATTCAAAACCATAATAATGAGCCTTTGAAATATAAATTTAGAAGATAATGAAAGCTGGCTATTTTAATTACACTGTACATGTTAAGCCCATCTAAGGACAAGAGTTGAAAATTAGCAAGAGCTAGCCCTACCATGCACCATAAGAAGCATTAGCAAACCTGACTAAGTCAGAAAACAAAAAGGTTCGGCCTACTACCAACTAGGCTGGGTTCAAGACTTCAGATTTTTTGTCCCATCATGATCATCATTGTTTCAGACATGATTATTACTGCTTGTCTCTTGATTCATCTCACCCAGTGCTGCACTGATCAACAATCAAAATTTGCCATCAGCTAATCATTATTTCAACTACATGATCAAAAATGCAGCGGAAATGTTTTTAAAGTTTCAGTCATAAAGCATGTGATATTGAACCTCTTCAAAGTCTATTCAGTTACATAGTGAGTGAGTTAATTAGCCTGAAATGTGACACACCTCCCTGGGTGTATGTACTCACCATAGTCACTGGGCATGGGTGCAGAGGCCACCTGGTGGATAACCGGCCGCTGATGGGAAGAGAGTGCAGTGTGGCAGCCCAGGACGGTGTCCCCCTCGACAGGCTCTGAAACATCCTCCTTTGTCATCTCCCCCTCAGGGCCTGTGGCAGGAGCAATATTAGAAGTCCTATTCTGAGAATACAAGTAGGTCTAATCTCAAAGTAATGAGAACTTCACTTCTTTTATGAGACATGACTACACTGAAGTGATGCTGGTGATCTGGTTTTTGGATGTGCTTGCTTTAAACCCTGTTTGTCTCTGGCACTATCCCACTAAATCAGTAAGCTTCTCAGTATTTCTACTAACTGTTTGCTACTCAGAAAACTGCATCTGATTTAACCTCATAGTGGAATTTATTGGATAAGAAATAATTATGCAGTATAACATCACAAGACCTATAGCATTAATATTGTTCACATTAGAGTAATATTATTATTCACTTTCAAATCACAATTTCACAAGTTGTTATTACAGCTTCTGATTCTGCACTATCAGTGCAATACTAAAGATTGCAATTGTTATATAAAATTACAAATTACAATACAATTTCTAATTACAGGGCACCATAGATACTGAGATATAATGAGGCCATGTGCAGTACAGTAGAGAACTAAATACTTATGGGTAAAGACACATCTAAAATGTCAAACCATCAAGATAATCTGATATATGGGTTTAAGGATTACAGATTTAGAAAATCCGAATTAGACTTGAAATAAAATTCAACTGCCATAAAACAAAGCTTGAGTGATGGTTTTAGCTTTCCTACAGAAGATCTTAAAGATAGGTCTATTGTGAACATATGCTTAAAGAAAAACAGGAAGCTAGGGAAATGGACGGAAATTTTAAGACATTGAACACACACAGAAACGGGCGCACACACACACAGGCCTAAGCCTGGAAAGACAACACTGATCCTGAAATCTGCTGGAGCAACCAACACTCACTGTCGTCTTCTCCTTTATCCTCTTTCTCGTTGATGTCCATGAGAGCCTCCCAGTCCAGCTAAGTTCAAATCAAGAGATACAGACTGGGTCCAGCAGAAAACCTAGCCAAGCTGCTCCCCAAAATAACCAAGTATATTGAATGTCCCCTCCTCAATCTCCAATAACACCCCCCACCCCCCTCTGATTATACCTCGTTGATGCCCTGACTGCCATGTCCAGTTACTATTTACAGCCTGCACACTTTCAAGGGATAGTGTTCTCAGTTCTGACTCTAACCAGCTGGAATGTCACTCTCACTTTCCACTCATGTGCACTGCTGACCCTACTGCCACCTCATCTGACTAGTCAACCATTAAGACCCACAATGCAGAGAATGTGGATGGAGGGTGACAGTGAAAACAAAACAAGACTAAAAGGGCAGCAAAGTGGTGGTTGTGACTTGGACAAGTGCTCTTCACAGTAAAGGCCAATGTCCAATAGCCCTTGAGAGCAAGCATCCACCCTACCAACTCCATAAAGAGAGGGGTTCAATTGAAGTGTCCCAGTAAGCCATGACAATGTGACAGTGAACCAGCATGAACAATACCAGGACCCTGACATTGAAGCAGCTAAATGGAAATCAGCCACGATTCATTTTATTATTTACATGTCTGCTTTTCCTGCGGTGACATGTCAAAATGTCTCCTGTGAAAAAGGTCTATTGTACTTCTCATTTTATATCTGACTATCTGGCTGCATGCTTGGGTAAAACGGTGTTATTTTGCTAAACTGTTTTTATTCTGAGTTCAGATTGATGGGGATCAGGATGCAAGTAAGGCTATAAAATCAATTTTCAAGTAAAAGTGCTACATGGCAGCTAGCTTTACTGGCATAAGATGCAGATATTAACAATAGAACTTCTCATAAATCCCAAATAAACCAATACAAACAATGCCACTGAGACAATTTCAAATCCAGGGCCAGCTCAGGTTTTGCACATGACAGCACCACATACAGCAGCACATGCACTGGCTAAGTGTTTTCTAGTACTGCTACATAAGTCTGCAGGAGGATATTAAAGAAAACTACACACATCACAAACCAAGTTCAGACAGCACTGAGTTGGTAACCTTAATCATTTTTAATACCTGGACTGATCTGTTAAACATAAATTGTCATTTGAGTCAGTCCTTCAGCACCAACCTTCATGCTGTTAACCCATCTGAGAGGAGTGAGATGAGAGGTTCCCTGTGCCTCTCTGAGGCCACTGACTGGCTGTCTAGAGATTAAAAGCTTGCAGTGTGACTTGGGACAATGGCCTACTTTTGCAATAAGCTTCTCCTCGTTTGTGTGACCTCTGATGTCATCCTGCTCCAATCCTCACAGCTGATACAGAGACAATGTTGTGTCATATTTAGGACTGATTTCTTAAAACATTTAGGCAACCATTGCTTGCTATCTAGCTGTTTTGACTACCCATAGTGTATGTTAATATGTTAATCTATTAAATGCCATGTTCAACACAGCATCATTACAAGACAAAGTTTGTTGTAAGATTGTGGCAATGCACACAACCATAGATCATTATATGGATAAAATATAGAATTAAAAAAATAAATCAAGCTCATTTGAATGATTAAAATACGATACAGCATATGTTGTACTGCAAATTCTTGGTTTTGTTTCAGCATTTTGGAGCTGTTCAGGTTCTTAACCTTGAAGCCCCTACACATAAAACGCCCAACCACAGGTGTTTTCAATTGGCCTTATTAGACACCCCTATTATCATTTTATTTGTATATGTAGTTTGGTGATATCCTGTAACTCCCAGCACCTCCTCCTGAGGAGAAGTCTAATCAGCCTGTATTATTTAAAACACCTGTGTGCATCCCACTAATTTGCAGGCAAACATTCTATAAAGTTTTTCACAAAAAGCTATTGTTGTACAGAAAAATAACTATAAACAACACAGTAACAGACACTGGGCTGATTAACTGATGATAATCTTGGTCTTATTTTATTCTATTGTACACTTTATCACAATTTAACTTCACTATTTGCTATATCAAGCTAGCTTTAGCTAACGTTAACTAAACAATCACAGTCAAAGAGGTGAGTGACCACTCCCTCATCTCTCACACGTTCGTAGCACTGAAGACAGTTGCAGCTATGTTAGCTCATCAGATGTCTTAACACTCAGATATTATTGATTTCCCCATTAACTTCTGCTGTTAATACAACTGTTATTTAGCCCAGGTAGCTCACAGGAAACTGTTAGCGGGCTAGCATGTTTAAAAGCCGGTTCGGCTCAGAGACAGATAACTGACGACACATGCATTTTAGTTGATGCCTAGCATTAATGAACACATAGCAGCCACTGATTTTATGCTCATGTATTGTGGAAAAAGTTGCCAAGAGAGATGAAACACCTTCTCATGCTAGCCCTTACGTTAATGATATCTAGCACAAATATTAGCCCAAGCCTTCTAGCTGCTTAAAATTCACTTAGCGACTAGAAACAAAAATAAATATAATTTTAGGCAACTAACAGCACATAAGAAATATTAACGTTACCTTAGCCTTGCTGCTCGTTTCAATTCGCTCATTGGGAAAATGACTAGAAAGCCAGAGGCTGATTTAATTTCCGTCAATTGTTCTGCTGTGCCACATAGCTAAAGTTCATCCTGTTTCAGCATTCAGGCTTCAGAATAAAGGCGTCCATGATACACTTCCGTTCTTCAAAATAAACTACAATGCACAACCATGTCAGATAAAATAAGGGCGACCGTTTGAATAGCGTGGTATGGTTCTGATTCAAATGCAATTTACAGATTGAATGTTATTTTGAATATTTTAAACATTTTCAAATACTTCAAAAATAATTTCCAAACCTTCAAATGTGCATGATCAAGTATAACAGATTTTTTTAAATTTTGGAATTCACAATTACTTAGCAAATACACTGCTCTATGAGATATGACTGGGACACCCACTTTGCTGATACTACAGTATATGCACACAAATACCATGCCATGTTTGCAAGTATAGTAAAGTGGGACAATTTTGCCCCCCTTAACATTTACCGCCACAGTCCGGGATGCTATGTTCATACCCATCTTTCCATCCAACAGAGACAATTTCCCAGGGGTAGCATGAGAATGTGTGGGCTGAACACTTCCCATGAATTCAGAAAGGCTACATTTAGGGCAGCTTCTCCTGTGGATGCCAGTTTACATTGAACCTGAAGACCCCACAGCACCTGTGGTTGCCTCTCTCTCAGACTTTGCTCTTTGCTGGTTGACACCAGTCTCACTGGTTCAAGTGTAGGTCTGCTCCAAGCAGTCAGAGCTATGACCAAGAACTCTACACATCAGGGCTAAAGATAATTGCAAGTAAGCACAATATCTTACCGACAGTTAGGCCTAAATAATAGCACCAGGCTATTATTTGATTATTTGATTATATGATTCAGTGTAAGATGCATTGTAAGAAACATTAGATAGATAGATAGATAGATAGATAGATAGATAGATAGATAGATAGATAGATAGATAGATAGATAGATAGATAGATAGATAGATAGATAGATAGATAGATAGATACTTTATTCATCCCCTAGGGAAAATTTATGAGTCCAGTAGCTCATTGGTTATAATAATAATAACAGTTAATAATAAATAAACAATAATAATGAAATGAGTCCACTGCCTTTGGCTGAGTTGTTGTATAGCCTGATGGCAGTGGGGACCAAGGATCTCCTGAATCTCTCTGTTCTGCAGTGCAGTGAGATGAGACGTTTGCTTCTGTAGCTGCTTCTCTGTCCTGCCAGAATGTTGTGGAGGGGATGGTTGGTATTGTACAAGATGTCCTCCATCTTACATTGTATGTGTCTCTCCACAGCAGTCCTGAGTGAGTCCAGACTCCTGCCAAGCACAGACCCAGCCTCTTTGACCAGTTTGCAGCACAAAAGAGTCCACTGGCCACCACTGACTGATAAAACATGTGCAGCATTTCACTGCAGACGTCAAAGGACCTGAGCCTCCTGAGGAAAAAAAGCCGACTCTGCCCTAACTGGTAGATGGCATCCGTGTTCAGGGACCAGTCCAGTTTACTGTCCAGGTGCACACCTACGTATTTATAAGTGGTCACCACCTAAAGGTCCTTCCCTCTAATGGTGACTGGCTGAAGGGTGGGCTCAGACCTCTGACGGTCGCTGACCATCTCCTTGGTCTTGGAGGTGTTCAGAAGGAGGCAGTTGATTTGCTTCAATTTTTTTTTTTAATTGTCTAGATTTTGAGTTCATCTGGGAAAAAGACCAGTCCTGCCAGAAATCAGTTTGTGTTAATTCCGTCGCTACACAATATATAGTCAAAGTACTGTAACTTGCCCTCAGCTGGTGAAGACAGTGGAAGCTACAATTGCCTGAACACCGTTTCCATGGAAACGTAAACAAAACGGCTAGCAGTGATTGCTTTACACACACTCCGCATGAACCACGGTTTGCTTAACTTTTTGTGGTTTTACTAAGTGAACAGCTGCATTTACTTTTTTCTCCAACCAACCGAATGGACTTGAGCAACGTTAGGCGTGTATCCTCTGCAGGCTACCGGTTGCCGGAACGATCCAATGGAACCAGGCCGATAGCGACCCAGCCACCTGCGGACAGGACGCGCTACGCCAAAGGAGACGCGGTGTCCTTACAGCAGAATCCAGATAAGAGTGATTCCGTTAAACAGGACCGAGTGTGGAAAGAGCTGGTGTGGACTGAGAGGAAAGGAATCCAGGAATGGTGAGTATGACCTAAACAGATAATGTTCAGTGAGGAAAACCAGAGAGTGGCACATGCCACTAAACCGTCGAAATAAGATCCAAGACTTCATTTCTAACACATTTAGTGGCTGGTTACAAACTAGAATCATCATTTTTAAGTTTTTAGTTTATAATTCACTGAAGTTTAGCCTAACTAATACATTATGGTCCACAGGGAGAAGAAGTGGAACTTTCTCAAGAACTATGATCAGATGGTAAGAAAAATGCAAACTATGTACTTGCTCAAAAGTTGGTTACTTTTGAAATAAGGTTACTTTCAAAATAGTATATTATTATATTATAGTATTATACCTGATTTCGAGAGCTAAAATTCTGAATACCTTCAAATAAATATGCTTCCATTACTTTCAAGATATTTCACCATCAGCCTGGCACTGAAAACAAGAGAAATATTTGACAAATTTGGTCATTATTTGTAATGACAAGAATGAGATGCAACACTGAGCACTGAAATTTAAAAACTGACCATTGATGTAAACATTTTTAACATCTGCAACAAGTGTGATGCTGCAGCAGTTATCTAAAATATTATTATTCCCTCTAAGTTCTTTATAATGGTACATAAACCTGTCTAACTACTCAGTGGATTATTATTGTTTATGACAATTTTGTAAAAAAGCATCCTATGTGGTAATCTATCACAGAATAACTGCCTCTTTTGTCAGGTAAATACAATGTCAGCTTTATCTGCAGGTCATTCTACAGCTAAATGTTGCCAGGAAACCTCTGACCGTTGTTTTACCCCTTTGTGTTTGTAGGGACAGCCAAAGTCAGAGGAACCTTTACCCAGTTACGTGTCGCTCTTCTCTGATCGAGTCCCCAACACCACCAACCAGATGTTAGGCAGCAGACTGTCCACTCCACTGGGGAGTGAACTGGTAAAACTGGACAGGCTATTACTCTTGTCTGGAAGCCATCACAGGCGCAAGCAGGATCCAGAGATGCTCCCCTTCTAGACCGCTCTGAGAATGAGTCACTTCATATCCGGACCTCTGCACATAAGGGTTTTTTAGTCTGAACTCTGCAAAGCTTTGACTGTGCTGTCCTCGTTGGGAGCTCAAGTTTTGGAAGTGGTGGCGCTCAACATGGCTTCGCCTATGTGAGTTTAGATTAGATTTAATGTTGTGATTTTGTGTGTTTTTATTTGTTTGTTTGTTTGTTTTAAGTAAAATGCTGACATCTATTCAGAAGCCATATCAGGGGAGCAGTCAGGAGTAATAAGAAAATGATAGCTTGCTGTCCTATATGTTTTAATTTACCAGATTAGTTGTAATTCATGTATCACCAAATAAAGACAGGTGAGAAGGGAAGACATCAGTAGATGAGATCAGGTCATCTGAGCTCCATCAGGTATTTAATCAGATACTTGATAATCCAACAAGATACCTGATCAAATTTGGATGAGTTAAAGGTTGTATCACCACTACATTTCTCCCTCCCAGAAACCCGAGGGCTCAAATAGTGTTGGGACTCAAAGATAAAATAAAATAACAGAAAAACAGAAAACATAAAGCTTAAAAGCATCTAGGTGGATGTAGATCCCTAAACAAACAAAAACAAGAAACAAATAAAAAACATAGCATATAGTCTGACAGCAACTATATGAGAAGAATTTTACCATATGAGAATCTTACTCACTGATATACTGATATATATTTTATTTTGGTATGAAACTGGTTTTATTTTTTTATTTAAAGACCTAAAAGGGCTGTTGCACACTGTAAGATGTTGTCCAGGACCTAAGCCATTGTTCCATGGTGGAGCCGTGGAACTACACTGATTTCATTTTTGTGATTTTCATGATAATGTAGCTCATGTAGCTGCACTTCATGGGATTGGCAGCGTATCTCAGGTTTTTATTGTAGTTGCCTTAAAAAACTATTCTGTATAATGTTATGTTGTTATTCTGTACAATGTTATGTTGTTATAAACGACATGTTGTTATAAACAACATAACTGCCCCTCTTGTCCAAATTTGAATTAAAATATTGGTCTCCAATGAAGTTATGTTCAGATGATTGTATGCTCTGAGTTTTTCTACATTATAATCAAAGTCAACACCTCATTGGAATAAAGATTTTCCATTTCAAAGTCTCTGTGTACTGGGTGGATTTTTGTTTCATTAAAAGTAGGAGATAATAACAAATGGTCAATCAGTCCATCAGATTAAGACAATATTATGCAATTTAAATGCCAAACTTGGAATAATTCCAGGTTAAGAGTTTACTTAACCTTAGTATGCTTAAGTAATCTACGCCTCATAATGTAGTTTCACGCATGTTGAAGTGCATTTATTCAAATGAGACGGCAGGAAGAGAGGAACATTACAAGTTTCAAATTTGCACAACTGTTGTGCACAACAAGCCAATCAGCTTCCAGTGGATGTATGCGGAAGTAAAAGAGGATGCCGGTTGACAGGAACCTGCGTCAAGGTAACAGAATCATAAAGGAAATTAGAGACGTCCACCTTCAAAATAAAAATCTATCTCTATATTAACTGTTATTATTAGTATAACCAATGAGCTACTGGACACATGCATTTTCCCTAGGGGATGAATAAAGTATCTATCTATCTATCTATCTATCTATCTATCTATCTATCTATCTATCTATCTATCGATAAACATTTGTTTTATTTTTGTACCATACTGTGGCGCCATTTGGTTTTACTTAGTTTTATTTTAAAAATGTCAAACGGAAGTCACTTCTAAAGTATGCCACCTTTACAGTAGTGAAATCGTAGCAGCAGCAGCAGCAGCCGCATCATCTGGCTGCTAGTTGTGTGAGAAATCCTGTGAGATCCAGTGATCTAAAGTCCAGGTTTTTATCCAGAGGATGCAGTCAGACACGTTACTGCACGTGGCTAACTTCAGCACACTGTTTGTGTGCATGGTGCTGAAGTTCCCGCAGATCTTTGTGCTAATGCGAGCGAAGTCATCGACAGGAGTCAGCCTCAACAGTCTTCTGCTCGAGTTGATCGGGTATGGGATTTTTTAGTAAAAGCTGTTTGAGTTGTGCGGGCATGAATGGAGGCCTTTTTGTTGTGTGAAGTGTGCTAAAGTTGGTGATTAGAAGGGAGAATTAAGTTGGATCGATGCAGTAAATTACTTCTACTTTACTTCGTATTCAGTGTAATATTAATGTGATCTCTTCCTGTTCAGCACCGGCTGCATCCTTGGTGTAGACAACCACACCGCCAAACTCCATTTAAAATATGTCTAATTTATTGTGGCCTTGGTTACAGGTGAAGGCGTACATATTTACATATTTACATATTCTTAAACGTGATATAAAACAGCTATTGAATCCCTAATAGATAATGGTAAATTCTACATAAATCTGAACCACCCCTTATTTAATAATACCTCCCTCCTTACTACCTTGGCGGCGTAAAAGGAAGGCAATGTGTGTGCACGTCGCATCAGCATATCCATTATTTTCTAGACTAAGTGCTAAATAGGACATACAGAGATTGTCTCCAGGGGGCTCACTGGCTGAGTTTTGACGCACAAAATAATCCCACTGAGGCTTAACACTAAACAATTGTGTTTTGTTTACAAAGCTGTAGATTTTGGTTGGATTACTGAGCACAGGGAAAAACTGGCCTCAGTTAGGTCTTTTTGTCCCAACATCTGTGTTAATCAGCTGTGCTGTCTGATGCTAAATCAGTGCAGTAGACTCAATCTTCAACTAGTTCTCATGCATTGAACAGGAAGTGTGGATTGAATCTGTGTTAAAAGTTGAATGTATATAGATTCACTATTGTTTGTGTTTACTAGCCTGTAAGGCTGTATAATTTCTCAGTGTTCTGGCCCTCTTCGGTGCCTGGCAGTAGCTGCACTGTCCTAAACGTCTCCACTATGTTGGTGAGCGATAGCCTGCTGTCATTGTGCATGCTAGAGTGAAATAGCCAAGCCTTAAAGCTGCACTGGGTAAGATGTTTATGCAGTGATAAATTTGTTTTATCGTCTTAAATTACAAAGCATGGCTTCAATCCAGAGAAGTATCTTCCCTAGTTAAATTGGAGCACATTCACTCCTGTCATCCCTAATGGCTCTCTGGTCTTTGGCATTGTCATTGGTGGGAAGAATCTCAACGTGACCACATCTTAAAGGGGCAGTAAGTAATGATTTATTACCCCATACAGCATAAAAGCCCACATTAAATCAGCAGGAAGTCCAGTTTTATTCATCAGTACCTCTGATGGTAAAACTATTCAGCCCGCCTGTCCATGAGCAAAAACTGTTCAAACATGGTCAAATCTGAATCTGAATATTGCCAAATCTATCCGTCATTTATGTCGATTACAAACCACCTCTGGTAATGTGGCAAGTCCTGGTTCAGAAAGACCTTGATGAAATTGATAGCTTACTTAATGATCCCTATGTCTGTAAAAGTCAAATAAGCAAATAAAGCAGTGGTTCCCAAATTTTTTCACATCATGACCTCTAAGCTGACACAAATAAGACCATGGACCCCCATTTGAGAGGATTTCAGAAGGTTTCTGAAACCCATGACCAAAGTATTCATACATCCTGTCATCGTGTTACTTATGGATTAAATTATAGTGAAAATAAATCATTCCCCTTTTGCTTGGGACCCCCAGGAGCCCCCTCAAGAACCCGTGGGGGTCCCAGGAACCCACTTTGAGAACCACTGGTACTGGTACTCAGGCTGTTGAACGTGAACACGCTATATGCAGTTCACTTGCCACTTCCTTCCAGGATTTGGGGATAAATCAGGAGTTTGACACTGCTAATATGTGAAATTATCTTGTGCAGCTTTATCTTGGATTTCGTTCAGATTGTTTATCATCATTTATCATCAACTTCACCCTGTATAAGTTTCTCCGCATCTTTGGCTGTTCATAGAAACACACATCAACAGTCCGTGAGCACGAGCATCCAGCTGCATGTTAGCTTGGTAAACAGGATCTTCAGCTGTGGAGTCTCAGAAATTCTTTTGCTGGAGACTGCTGAAGTTCTAGCTTCTTCAGTTTGTTCATCACGTTCGAACATGTTTATCCAAGCCACTTCCATTAAGGAGTGAATTGAACATTGATTGCTACCGTTTGGTTCTCAAACAGTGAATGAGTCGGTCATACTGTAAATGCTTCAGCATTGTATGGATGACAAATGACAATCCTCCTCACTTCATCGCATTATGAGTGTTTTTGTTACATATGCTGTTGAGCAATGTTTCATCTGAATCAGTGCTGAACATTTTAATACAACGTCATGAACTGACACCATCTGCTCTACAGGTTCATTGTGTTTGTAACGTACCAGATGTACTATGACTACCCACCTCCAACATACCTGGAATATCCAATCCTCATTGCTCAAGGTGAGTTGTCAAAAGGTGCCAGTTATAATTTTGTAAGACAATATGTCATCTGTAGTAACCCGCTTCTTGATTAGTTTATTTTTCAAACATAGTTCTAAATACCTCACGCTTCTCTGCACAGTCTCTGTCTATTGAAATAAAACAGGGTGATTTGTCTTGTTAGAGCAAAGCAGAGCATTAAATTGGCCGATGGTTTATTATTATACATAGGGATTTGACAGTAAATCAATAGATCATGTGTATGGTTGATGTGCTCAGTAACCGATGTCATGTGAGAATGTCATAGTATGATCTCCGTTTGTAACCCGTGAGAGCTACAATGACAGATTACATCCGAACTACAGAGGAGTCGGATTTCTTATGTCTTTGAAAGTTTTGTAAATGAGAAATATTAGCTTCTGAACAAGTTAATGAGACAGTGAAAACTTATATCAGTGCCCCATGAAATAAAAATGAAACCCAGCCGTGTGAAACATGCAGCCCATTGATCATTTGGCCTAAACTCTTGTGTTATTATAACCTGCCCTGTGTCTTCAGATGTCATTCTCCTGCTCCTGATTCTTCACTACAGCGGCAGCCTGCGGCAGAGCCTCATCTACGCCTTGGTGTATCCTTCCACTGCACACTGTCACTCTCTAATGCCACTGGATGTGAAATTGAAGAAAATTAATGACCCATTGGCCTTTGTTGATACCTTTTTTATGTCACGTGTTATTGCCTTAATATAATGTGTTCAGGTTTGTCGGAGGCTGGAGGCTCCTCACTGTGGAGAAGTGGATCATAGATTTGGCTATGGTAATAAATCAGTGTAACATCACTCATAAGTCACAAAATGTCAGAGAGTAATGGAAGGAATGACATGTCATCCGTCAGGAGTAATGAGGTGGAGGTTTGAAAAGAAACTTATCCAGACCTCATTGCACCTGGTGTATCTCAGGAAGACACCCACACCTTGCTGGTTAATGAGCAAAATGACATTTTTGCATTTAAGTAAGTGAGAACTGTAATGCTGCAGCTGTTTGTCCTCTTAAAGTTTTTAGCTACAAAAAGTGTTTGAAACCTTTTTTGAAATGAAGCTCAACTAAACTGTTCATGAGATCATGTGAACAACAATGTACGGACTTAATCTACGCCTGAGGATCTCTCCTGACTTGTATCCTGCCTGACCTCCACTCTCTTCTCAGAGCCTGTGCACGTTCATCAGTGCAGCCAGTAAATTCGCCCAGCTGCAGTGCCTGTGGAAATCTAAGGACGCCGGACAGGTTAGCGCCCTCTCCTGGGGTATGGCTACCTACACGTGTATGGGTGAGTGCACTGGACATGAGAACCCAGTTTCTTCTCTTCCTCTCCCTGTCCAGTCTCTGAAGCGAGTTTTTGTCATTTGAAAGATGCATGTCTGTTCATTGGATTTCCTGTGTTATATTTGTCATACCTTTTCCTTTGGAAGCCCATTACTGACACATTAGAACAAGAATAATTGTCATTTATGTGCAAATATTAAAAAAAAAAAACAATCTGTAAACACTATATTATACTTAGCTCTGGTTTGCAGCTTACATCCATGTCTGTCCAGAGTCATATAATGTACAGTATTTAGTGCACAGAGGGTCTATACAATCACCACAGGTTGAAGGTGGGAATCCAAGATTAGTGTCACCAGTTCAGTATCCAACCAAATGTGAAATATTCTTCTGTTCTTGAGTTACAGCATTGAATAATGGCCAGGAGTGTCTTTGCAAAACATAATGATCTTACAATGAAGTTGACCTTTGACCTTCTTGATATTAAATGTCATCACTTCATCACTTTATCCTATTAGACATTTGTGGGAAATTTTGTCAGCGAATACATTTTTGAGTTATGGTCAAATTCATGTTTTGCTGTGGTCACAGTGACGTTGAACTTTGACCTTTGACGACCAAAATCTAATCAGTTCATTCTTGAGTCCAAGTCAATGTTTGTGCCAAATTTGAAGAAATTCCCTCAAGGCGTTCCTGAGATATCGTGTTCATGAGAATGGGACAGACAGGCAACCTGAAAACACGCCGTCACAGAGGCAGAGAAAGTCATGAAATACTTTACCAATTTATGAGACATTCTTCTCCCTAAAGTACTATTACTGTAATGTTTCAGTTCATGAATATGTATCACACTATTTACTTAGCTCTTAATTTAATAAATCAGCAATTCTACGTTTCATTAATTAAATATTACACTCTCTCGGATAATGAGGATGTCACTGACTCGGCTTCCTCTTTGTTTCAGCGCGGATCTACACCACCACAGTGACAACTGGGGACATGCAGGGTAAGTCAGACTGAATTACAAATGACTGTGGGATCTGTAGTATCCCAGAAAAGAATTTTTAATGATCTCTTCAACATTACAGAAGGAAGATTTGTTCTCTAAACAACAATCGTCATGATTTTACAGAAGTTAATTTTTTTTTGTGTGGTTCTGGTGTTCTGCAGAGGAAACCAGGTGTGCACTGAGAGGGACAGGAGTGAGAGTCCATAAAAAGGCAGCCTCTGGTTGCTCAGTCATTGGCCTTTAGCATGTAAATAGTCAAAGCTGATGCCCATGCTCTCCTGAGGTTCATTTTGTTTTGGACAATAGGCTTTTAAAACCTTCTCTGGGATGTGGTTTGTAGCTTTTACATATTTTCAGAGGAACAAATACAGTAAACTTGCAGTGTGAAATCTCAAACAGGACTTACCTTAGCTGTTTCTTTGTTTAACAAGAGAGTTTCCATTCTAATGAAAAGGCCAAATATTTCTATAAGTACTGAACATCTTGTCAGAATTGCAGGTGAAAGTGAACCAGGTTGCTCAAAGAGAATCTGGTTATTGATAAAGGCCAAATGAATGCACAGTACAGTGCACTACACTACTTCCTGTGCATTCACACAGGAAGTAGTGTAGCGTACTAGACATACAAGGAATAAAATGTGTGTACAGGTCAAAACAGCCACTTCTCAGTCTAACATGTCACAAATTTGGCTTTTTTCAATCTGAAGCTACATTTTCTGCAGAGGCGAATGTCTCGTAATTTTATATAGAGAATGATTATTGATAAAACCTTAAATGAAACCTGGTGACTATTTCAAGCTCTTTATAATTCACTTGAGCAGCTTCGAACTTGCAGATCCTTCAATAATCAGTGTAGAGACAGTTCAGCTTTATTCTAATGATACTCTCCCTCTGTCACAGTCATGGTGCGGTTCATCGTCATGACCTTGCTGAACCTGTGGGTGCTGCTCACCGTGCTCTACTACCAGAAACACAGCAGCAGCACCAAGAAAGAAGACTAAGCTTTAAAAGATGGACCCCGGGGCTGACTGCGACATCACCACGCTGATCCTCACCAGAGTTTACACAGTTACTTTGGACACAGCCAGTACTGAAAAACAAAACTGACGCAACGGTTATGTCAGGCGCTTTGTGATACTTACCCATAAAATGTGCTTTTTATATTGTTTTTACCTCAGTTTTATACCCACTCATTTCTTTTTATAACATTCCAGAGACTAGATATCTTCTTCATACTGTATGCGAAGAAAATGTAGTATAATTTGAAAGGACAGCACCAGCCAAGTTTATCTGAGATCTTCCTCCTCAGGATAAAAAGATACAGTATTTTGAATAGCTTTTAGAAATATACAGTTCTTTTTCTGAACTATTTAATAAATCAAACCTTTCAGCTTCTCACATTGTGGTCATTCCAGTGTCATACATGAAAATCCTCTGTAGAGTAAAAGGCTCAGATATTTTAAGACAGAAATAATCCAAAAGCAAAAGGCACATCCACGTCTTTATTGTTGAAGTGGTTATTATTATAGAGCTGTTTGGTAGCAAACATGCAATCTGGATGTAGAGCCCTTAAATACAAAGTGGACAAGGCTGTATAAATAATATAATGTGCACTGTATGGCATGTAAAATATATACTGTGTATATTTATATGTATAAAACATGCTTCTTGGTTAAAGGAGAGCACTCAGTACACACATACACACACACTCACATAGTTTAGTCTCTACGTTCTATATAAGCCACATACACACAACAATGTGCCCAAACTCAGAGTTTGGTTACTTTTAATACAAAAATATCAGGACAAACACTTTTAAAAAAAAAACTTTCAATGGAAATAGTGCTGCTCAGTATTTTGACTCATGGGATATGATTGCATACCTTCATTGTTTCTGCTTCTCATGGGTTAATTCCCCTCATGTTCATGTTCAGGAACGATTTAAAAACTACATTTGTTAGCAAGTGGAGGCCTGTGGGTGACAGCACTCAAGTGTGAGGCCTGAAAAGGCAAACACATGCAAGTTCACTCAGAGTAGTTGGTGATGACAGGGGGCTTCAGTCAAGTATATTTGGATAGAATACAATGCCTGTGTGTCGTCTCTGGTAAAGCCCAGATGTACATTCAAACAAAGGAGCCGAGCTCGGATCAGAAAAGCATTAACGGTGCACCCCTTGAATTCAGTAAACATTAACCCTCAGAACTGACAGTGCAGGATTGAAAGATGATTGAGGATCTCATGTCTGGCCCTTCGTCTAATGCCATTCAGAGCAGGATGGTGTTTACTTCTAACCGTTACCGTGATCATACAACGACAAACCAGTGATTCAGAGTGCGGCTGAGTCAGAAATCTGAATAAGAGGCACTCAAGGAATTATTTGCTCAAATCTGGGAGGAATCTCACACTCCTTCCTCCACCTTACTGACTTTCCCAGAAGTCACAGCTCATTTGCTCAAGTACCTTATTCAAGTTTCTGTGACCCGTGTGGACACGCACCTGAAAGCAGGGTGGTGAGAAGCAGGAAGCTACAATCAATGTGAGAAGAAGCCAAAGTACAGATACTGTATCTGGGATCAAGTTCAACTGGAAGTCAACTCAACAAATTACATAATTTACCATCTTCTGAGTGTAGTGTTCCCCATTAAACCCTTAATATTGTTCACAATCATTAAACACAAAAATGTCCTCTTTTATTTGGCCACAAGAATTCTTAAAGGCGGAGTCGAGAGTTTTCCTGTTGGGTCCTTCAATCAGACAGTGTGTCCTGGTGAGAAGTGTTGAGGTAAGTGTATCCCCGTCTTAAGAGCTCTCTTATGTTCTGTCGGAGCCGAACAAGATACTCCAGCCCCCCCCTCCCCCCCCAGAGACACTGAATTGCTCGAGTCAAGGGCCCGAGAGAAGACTTCAGCTAACATACTCACAAGCCATCCAGCTTGCTGGAAAGATCGAACCGCTAAAGTTCAACAAAAGGGAAAACAAGACTTTGTAACTCTCACAGGCTGAAGCAGGACAGGGTGGGCTGTGGAGAAGTGGTGTAGAGTTCAGTGTGCTGATCTGCAGATGGAGCTTTGTATCGAGTCTTTGATTTAGGAGGAAACGCATCTCACCACCTTCAAGATGCACCGCAGTCCAGAGCAAGGTTAACTGGAAGAAGAGAGACCAACAAAGGTGGGGTTAGTCCCAGAAAATCCTAAATGATACGTCAAGAAGATTAAAGATTTAAACAACAAGAACTAAAGAATCCTGCATCACGTGTTCTCACTTATGTAACGTTTCAGTCTTCACCGATACAAGTTGATGAATTTGTAGTTCTACAATTTCTGGTTACTGATGAGCCAACACACTGTATACACTGATACAAACACTTGTAACAAGCCAGTCACAGATATATCAGGCTCTGGTGTTAAAGGGAAAGTTGTATAACATTTTATTACCTCTCAGTGTTTGCAATTAATTTTATTGCAAACAGTGATAAAGTAAGGGAATTTTAAAAACACAAAAGATATTCTCATTTGCACAAGAGTGCATATGCAAAAAATTGATATAATTCGTCATGTTCTGCCCCTAAATAAATTATTAAAAAAGTATAAAAGTGAATAAGTCTTATTTTAACCCTGAAGACAAAGATCAATAGTTCTGCTTCTCTTTCAAACACCCAGTGGTGAAGTGATCCCAGTCATCAGGTGAGCAGCCGTTTCCTTCACAAGGAATACAGAATATCACAGGCTCCAATGTGTGTGCACACAGCCCACCACCACCACCACCACCACAAACTGAAGACCAGGACTGTGTCCCCACATTCAGTGCAAATAAACAAACATACACACATTCAGGAATTTAGTGGTTTACAGGGAAACATCTGGCTGAAAGAAGCAAAAGATTGGGGCAGTCATCATTTATACCAGTGTCCACTGTTGGATTCTTCTCTTTTCATTTTGAAGCCATTTGACCTGCGGGGGCTGAGGTCAGAGAACACAGGGTCATGTTGGCTGAGACATTTCTGACAGGATAATGTGACCAGAGAGCAGCACGTCTATCCTGAGCAGCTTTACAGATATAAAAGTTAATGCTCATGTAGTTGAGATGGTCAGCTACCACCCTGAAGACAACATTATATTTATGGGTCTCATGCTTTTCAAACTGGCAGCAAATAGGCAGAAGAGGGTCCTTAAACACTGAGTTTACTTTCATCGATGTTCAGGTTTTATCTCAAGGGTCGAAAAGAAAAAAAAAAAGAAAAAAGAAAAAAAAAAAAGAAAAAAATCACTGCAGTTTGGATGGCTGCTATGAATCAGGGCCGCATGGAAAATCACTGCACAGCACAGCACACACTGCACACAGTGTTACCATCATCAGAAATGAATAGAGGAACAGTCATCGTCAATATCATCCAATGCCCAGTGCCAGTCCTGAAGACCAAAGTCCTGCAACCTGAAAGGGGAGATCAGTTCTGATGGCTTGTCATGTGTCGGACTGGCAGCTGTTCTCATATCATGTTATATTATCATATAAGAGAGAGGTTATGTAAAGGGAGGACCTGAGAGACACAACAACATTGACCATATCTTACATACTGTATGTACAGAAACATGAAGACTACCTTTGCCCTTCTTAGTATCTGGATGCACTGTAGATGGGCTTTTATTAGGGGTTGACCAATAAGGCATTTTTGGAATGAAACATCCAAAGGCCAACAGAGGACCAATTTCAGCATATTCAAACAGGACTATTAACGTAACGAATGATCCAGAAAAGACAAGTATAATACTGACTTGTCATGGTGGAATAGTCTTTGAAACAACCAGATATAACTCTCGATTGAAATTCAGAACAACACATGGAGTAGAAATAAGTACAGCCTTGTAGTAAAAGTGAATTTAAGTATCTCATCGCGATCATAATTGTATATAACATCATTACATCAACTGCTTGGCCTCTCAGAGCCAGCAAATGTAATACTGATCACTTACACAATATATACGTAATGTGTTCAGTTTAACTAAAAAGCAAATGAACGTGGGTTCTGTGGTGTAATCCAACACAAATACAAACAAGAACAAAACCAATACTGAAAAAAAAGCCTTGCCTGTTTTTTACAGCCTGTCTAAAAAGCAAAACCTGTTCAGACAGGCTCCACTGTCGGTGATTCTACCTGCTCTTGCTGGTGGGGAGCTGTCGACTGGGCCTCCTCATGGACTGGCTGGGTTGAACCTTCATGGAGGCGCGTGGCGAGGAGCGTGCAAAGTGCTCTGGTGGTGGAGGCTTCTTGGGAATCTTCTTGACCAGCCGGCTCACCCACTTCTGCTGCTCCTCCTGAGACACGGCCAGCAGCAGCAGGTTCTTGGCTGTAGATACGTCGTAGTTCACTGGTGGTAAGAGAGAGGAAGAATTTTCAGTTAGTATCAACATGTTAAGTTAGTATGTTAAACCTTAAAACTACACTAATGCTGCACCAATCTGTGTTTTGGTAAAAACCATGTACTGAAGCATCCTACCTTTGCAGGGAGCAATGATCTCCTCCTTCTTATCCATGTGGTCTTTGTGGCACTTGATGTGGCAGCGCCGGCACTCCAGAGCAGGTGGCGGCTTGAACATGTTCCACAGCGGCTTGGTGCAGGCCTCACAGTTGGTGGGGAAGTGGTAGAGCGTGGGGATGAACTCGTGGCCCTTGTGGCAGATGTAGCTGGACTTCTCTCCAATGGCCAGCGGCTCCACAGGAAATTCTGGCTCCTTTTTGCTCTCGCCCTCATTGGCATAAAGAATCTGGAGAGAGGATCGAGGATGAGGATGGAGGACTTTTGTTGATTATCAAAAGCACAAATTTAGACAATGGATCAAACACCATACATTAGTCTATTAAAAAAAACCATTAAAGCAGGTCTGGGACAGACCTGAAATATCCTGGGAATCTCTTTGGCATCAGCACGGTACACATCTGTTTGAGTGACAGGCCTCACGTGGAAGAGTTTGCTGTGTGATGGAAATTAGTCTCGTTATATCCCCTTATCAAAACATATCACTTGCATTAATGTGAACTGCTGCATCTTAATACACAAGCCAACACCACCGTAGGAAATAATGGTCACACAAACTAAAGCTGGGGATTGAGGTGTTATACTCACTCTATATCGAGCACCATGTAGGGAATGGACTGCTCTCTGTCTTGCTCGCTGTTGTAAAAGAGAATCTTCTTGCTGCTCACCACAACATACTGCAGCAACAGAACAGATATGGTGAGAAAACATGTATATCAAGGAAAAGCACTCTTTTTCTGCACCACCAAAGCCGCGTCATTCCCCCTTTATTCATACCTTTCTCTCCCATCCAAACTTTTTGGTGTTGTTTCTGACAGGGAGAGAGAGCCACCCCTCAAGCCTCGTTTCTGAGAGAGGATGAGACATGAAAGATTATATATGAGCACAATCTGCCAGTTTCTATTTAGATGAATGCTGTTTGCCTAAATGAACGGCTGCTTGACTTTCACATCACATGAGTGAACTGGATATTTATTCATGTGCACCAACGCTGGGCACCTTTACAAACTGGTTTAGAGCTGCTATCAGTTAGTCTTAAACAGTTATGTCTACATATTGAAAGAGGATTTAGTTATGCAAGAGGGTGAATTACTTCCTGCAACATTTGCACATACTCACTGCAAATGTGGCACAACTATTGCAAGCACATAAACTTATCTTTTTAAAAAGTCAGAAATACCTTCAAAAGTTAAGCCTTGTCCAACCGACAAATTAAAAAAAACCAAAAAAAAAACCATTTCTGTCAAAGTTTTATGTCACCCTAAAGGACACCAAATCTATTCTGTATATATGAAGTTTATAGATTGACATGTTTGGGAAGGCGTCACACAGTGGTCAAGCTCTTACCTGCGAACGCATCATCAGCATCAAACTCCGGCCCGCTGCTGACACTGGCAGAGTCCATCGATTGAACACTAAGCGACTGCAGGAGGTTCCTGAGCTGCTCGATATCGCTGTCCTTACTGTCCAGAGCCATCTGCAGCTCAATACGCATCTGGCTCTCATCCGCCAATTGCTACAATTTAAAAAAAAAAACAACACAAGAAACAAGGTTCAGTCAAAGATACTGGAGAGGATGGGGAATGATTATACTTGACATCAGAGACAAGAGAAATCAAAATTCTGGTGTCAACTTTGTGTGACCTACCGCTTGCATTTCGTTGATCTCTCTCTGGTATTTGATGATGGTGCTGTTGAGTTTTTCCTTCTCTGACCTCAGCTCCAGCTGCAGCTTCCTGTTCTCCTTCTCCTTTCGCCGCATGTCTGTGTCATTGCCGCGGCGACTGCCTCCGCCACGGACCTCCTTCCTGTTCATGATCTCCGCCAGCTTATTGACGGCCTGCAGACGCACATGAGTTTCAGAGTTGTCTGGTTGTAAGAGAGCTTCAGGATCTGATTGGGTCACTTCCCAGAAAATAACCCAGATCCAAAAGGGTAGGTCTTCTCTAAAATGAGCTCTTTTAATTTTAAAACAAAACCTCTCAAATTGCTCTCTTAGTGTATGTAACAGTGAAGCACATACATACTATGATTAGCAGTCACTTTGCTGGAGTTTAACAGACTCACCTGAGTTTTCAGTGTCCTCTCAGACTGCAGCTGCTTGTCAAACATCTGTTTCATCTGGTTGATCTGCTGCTCCCAGTCCTTTGATTTATCTGACTCTGAAAATATACCGAAACAAAAATGTGAAATGTGAACCCAAAAACCAGAATCTGCTTGTGATAAAATTTTGATTTCAACGTTTGAAGTTTAAATACCTTCTATTGCCTCCCTCAGTTTGTTGTTCAGCTCCTCCTTCTCATTGGCGAGGTTGGCAACGTCACTGGTCAGGGTGCGGTTGGCCTCCTCCAGCTGCACACAACAGGATATTCATTATGAGCACTGTCTACACTGTCTGCCACTGCCACCTGTTGTCCAACCTGAACACTAAAGTTTATTTCTGTTTCCACTGTGTCTTTAAAATGCTTGAGCATGCACTGCTGTGTGATGGTTCCTGTGACAGCACGAGTCAGAGGATAATGCAACGCACCGAACTGATGGTGATGTCCTTCTCAGAGAGCTCTTGGCGATGGCGGGCCATCATCTCCTTCAGTTCCAGCTCCTTCATTATCTTCTCCTTCTCCAGGTCTGAGTACTGCTCCTCAGCGATGGAGCGTGCCAGCTGCTCTGAGTCAGCCTTTGTCAGAGTGATCTCAAGCTGAGCCGCCAACGAGTCCCTGAAGGAAGTTAAAGAACAAAATCAAAGACTGAACAATAACTTATCACTAACACAGAATATAAACGTCTCGTTCATAAGTGTAAATGAACTGCCTGCTACTTCCTTATATTGTCTTGGCGTTGGTCACGTTTCACAAAGCACTTTTGGATTTAGTCACCGGTGTTTGAAGCGGATTTAAAAAGGAAACAATAATTTTTTCAAACAGCAGAATCACCTCTCCTCCTGCAGCTCCTGCAGAGACTGCTGCACATCTTTAGTGATTTTGTTCCTCTCCTCACACTCCTCCTTCAGCTCACGAACCTGGGTCTTATACAACGTCTGGAAAACACAGGACACAGGTCAAACACAACTCACACTCACTCATTAACAAGAGAAGCAAGACAGTTTCATAACAATAATGGATATATACAGTGTGTGCAGATGAGTCAATAAAATAAAACTATGATAAAAGGAAACATATCATTCAAGTGCCATTAAGCAGCGGTTCACTGCACACAACAACGTGCATTAGCCACTGAAATAAGAGGAATGTTGTTCTGATGGCACATTACAGCCCACACACTCAGTAAGATACAGAATGTTAATGTGTTGCACTATGTCTTTTTACATCCACATTTATAATAACAAAGAAGAATTACAGACTCACAGAGAAATACTGCTCAGCCTCTAACTGGTCCTGTAATTCCTTCATTTGCCCGTCTGTGTCTTGTCTTTCTCTGTGGACAAAAACAAAAAACCTGTATTACTCATCATGCTCGTTTTGGCTCAACTTGACAGTAGGAGTGCAAAGAGTAAAATGCAAAGAGTAAAATGAAATGTGCACTGACTTGCGCAGCTCTTGGTTCTGTTTCTCCAAGCTGCGTTTAATGTCCAGCAGGTGATTGGTTTCCTGTTTGAGCTGCTTCTCTGAGGTTCGCAGAGTGCTGAGTTGCTGGTTCTGGGCCTTCAGGTCATTCTGAGTCAGGGTGCGTTTCTGGGTCTCCTGCTCGATCTTCAATGTCAAGTTCTTCACCTGAAAGAAGGGACAAAATAAAGAAGGAGAGAGAAATGAGGACTGGCTGTTTATACTGTTTATAATGTTGAATTTGCCTTTCTTATTCTTCTGTCTGCACTTCCTGTCTCTGTAAACTGAATGACTGTTATTCCTCTCCACCTCAGAATGGACACAATGTTACATAAGCTGCAGGATTTGTTTCTCTAGATTTCATTTAATATCTAAACACTTCACCGGTCTCCTGCACAGAGTATAAACACTTGCCTCCTCAGTGAGGCGGTCCTTATGCCTGCGGAGCTCGTCTAGTTTCTGTAATGCCTGTTTGTAGTCGCAGTCCATCATGCTGCTGTGTTTCTCCAGCTCCAGTATCCTGTTCTCCAGACGCAGTTTGGCCACTCGCTCCTCCGCCAGCTTCTGCTCCATCTCTGCATGAGTGTGAAGACAAGATAAGGTGGTGAGGCGGTGAAGAAAACCACTGTGATTTATTTTAGGTTTTTACTCTTAGATTGACAGAACAGCTGGAACGCAGACATACTGGAAAATTGTGATTTGTTTGTACAAAATTAAGTATTTTTAAATTCTAATACAGTTCATCTGTGTTTGTTAAAGCTTATATAACAAATTAAAATGCAAATGAAACACCATCAAGTTTTCACTTTGATGATAAAGCAACACACTATTTGTGAGTTTCTGGCGGGGTTGACAATATTGCATTTCTCTGATACAACATTTAATCCTAACCAGGTTCGGCTCATTTGAACTCAGAGGAAAAAGATAATTGGAATTGTAACATGGACGTGAGCTGATCTGGGCATTCACTATTCATTCATTGTTCATTCACTGCTCATTCGAGGCAGAATTACAAAAAAAAAACTGTATCACTTTACTGTAATGCAGCCTTTAAGACCAGCAAGAGATAACGTATAAATTAATATTCAATATATCTTAATTTCACAATATTTTAATAGCCACAATCCCAGTGGATTTCTAGCCTCACCAATACTGAAATTACATCAATATACAGAATTTAGACCATGCACTTATGTAACTTCCCTTTTGAAGCAATTGTTGCACAAATAAAAAAGTTGCACTAGAGTGAAGTCAGTGAAGTCATCACTTCAGAAAGTTTCAGTCTTACATTAAATCTTTTTCCTTCACAGGATATAATGTCTAATGTGGTCCAAGCTGGGATAAACAGGTTGTTGAAGTAAACAAGCAGGTGAGAGAACAACATCCTCGAAACAAAAGGTTGATGCCCTCACCCTTCATGGACTCTGACTTGGCTCCCTCTATAGTTACTTTGATCTTGCTCTTGTCTGCCAGCAGTGCCCTGGTGGCCTTATGAGAGCTCTCCTCCTGCTCCAGCTCCTGCTGCAGCACCTTCAGCTTGTAGGTCAAATCAATCTCTTTGTTGCTCTTCTCCTATACAGACAGAAAACAAGGGTGGAGGTGTTGTGAGAAACCTGGCCATCACAATAACAACAAACATCCTGGCAGAAACACAGCACCCTGTCAATCATGCAAAAATACTAACTGCTATAGCAAATGCATTAAAGCTCTGAATGATTTTAGTAAATGCCTGCTCTATTTCTTCATTTATATTGTCAGGGAACAATGCTGTCCCTGAACTAAAGGCAGTTTGAATTGTTCAATGGAAGAAATCATCACCATTGATTACTGCAGTGCTTCCACAGTTACAATTCAGTTGGATTTTCTTGATGTACCTTCTCTAGGTCAGTGTGTTTCTCCTGAAGCTGTCTCTTCTCAGCCTCAGCTTTGGACAGAGCCTGTCTCTGCTGACGTGCCTCCTCCTCCAGACCAGAGATCCGTCCTGCAAGATGAATACAAGACAGTCTTCAGAGAAGCATGTTTCAATAAAAAAAAAAAAAACATCCTCATCGTACACTATATGCACTATATGCTCACACATAATCCCACCAATCAAAGCCACAGCGGGCAGTTCAGGGATTTTTCTTTTCCTTGTCTTATTGTCAGTAATTCCATGCGCTCCAATGAGTTTATTTACATACGCACAATATCCTGATTGCTCAGAGTAATCAGCTTTAGATAATATTTAGATTCTGAATATTTACATGGTTCAAGTGAATGATTTTTCTCCATTATCCTGGTTGGTTGGAGAAAGCGGTTCACTGCAGATTTAATTACAATAGCAATTGGACAAAAGCTGATGAAACAAAGCTGACTGCAACATTTTCACATTCAAACAAATGCAGAGACCGAGCTGCGTTTGCTTCCAGTATGACCTCACCACAATTCACACAATCAGATAAAAGTCTTTATAAGACAGTTTAAATAGCCTGAGTGCTGCTTTAATCAGATTATGGTTGAATTATTAGCCTTGATGTAAACATACTCCATTGAATAGTTAAATAAATGCATCCTGGGAGCTGCTACTGTTGCACACTGACCAGCTGCTATGGAGCCTGTTTGTCAGCCATTGTTTTATTCAAGGGCTTTTGAGTGTCTCATACTCACTCTCTGTGCTAAGATTTGTTAAACCAGCGTGACAAAGGGGGCTTAAGCCTTGTCTCTGTAAATATCATTTACATATATATTATCATTTGTTTTTTTTATATCTGGACTCGTGGCCTTTGTGGCTCCGTACAGCTGCTCCAGACAAACCTGTTTTAATAAAAACTCTTACAGATAAATTCAAATTAACCTCTCTCACACACAGAACACAGACAGTGAATGTGTTGTTTGCTGAATGGATTCAGGCGACAGTGCAAACTCTTGAGGCCCGGAAAGCCTCTTTGGTGCCCTCAGTGTTTGTGTGGTACATTGCTTTTGGCCACCTCACTGCCCTCTTATAAATCTGCCATGTAAGCTGCAAGGCAGGCAGAAGGAGAACGACTTGAAGTGGCAGAGAAACCTCATTTTTAAACAATGCGTGTAATAGAATTTCCACCTCATGAAAATGCAGGTAACCATATCAGCAATTCCTAAAATAGCATTTCACACACTGAAGTGCACAACTGCAGCCATGTACCTGTTCCAACTATTCATGACCAGATTTTTTTTCCTGATCACACAAATTCCCATACTCATATGTAGGTGTTGCCTGTTGTCTCCTGTGTTTAGTTTATTGTTCACAGGGGTTTGGTAGGAGCGTATGTGAAAAGACCCTGGCTGGAAAAAGTCACCTTAAGAATTAAACAAATAAAAATACATATATTTAGAGTCTTTCCAGGCCTGTGTTTGTTTCACCTACCCATCAGGTCGCTGATGGTCTCTGAGCCCTGGCTGTGCTCCCTCCTCTCCGTCTCCAGAGCCGCCTGCAGGCTGATGCATTCCTTCTCCAGACTGAGCTTGCTGCGCTCCAGCAGGCAGCACTTGTCCTGCAGCTCGCGTACGTTGGCCTCTAGCTGCTGCAGCTGCTTGCTGCTCTCCGTCTGGGTTTTACGGAGCCTCGTCGCTGCCTCAGACTCGGCCCGCAGCAGAGTGTTGGCTTCTTCCAACTGAGGGCGACAATGATTGAAAAAAGTTTTTGAAGATCAGTCAGGAGTTTGATTTGGTTACTCATCACTTTATTTTAATATCATTGTTGACAGTTACAGTATGCTGTGAGTCTTGCGCATACTTACTTTCAGATTAAGTATATTACATACACAAAAAATGGCTCAATGAAATACATGACACACAATTAATTGTCACCTGTTTAGAGGGATTTTATATATTATTGATGTCTGTTTATATCAAGGCTTTATTCCATAATATCTCAAATCAATGATGTAGTGAGACAAAACATTGTTTGCAATCCTATAACTCAAAAATAAATACATACAAAGACATAAATCTTAATACTAGTTAAGGAAAAGCTTCTCTAATTCAGATCCCACTGACAAAACTAAACACTAAGTAACACTGACCTGTTTCTGTAGGTGAATGTTCTTCTCATTGGAAATGTGTGAATTCTGGTTTCTTCTCTTCATGTCGTCCAGCTGGTCTCGTAGGCTGTTGACTGTATGACACAGAAGAACACAGACTGATGAACTCTGTTTTAATTAAGTTAAGTTAAAGCATGCACCAAGTATCTGATATAAGCTGTTATTACATCTCCAGCAATCTCCAGCAGTGGAAAAGAGCAGAATGTAAACAAAGTCAACACTGTTTTCTAACACAAAACTCAGGTATTCATCCTTTATTAGGAACAGGACAATGGTGAAATAAAAATGTGTCGTGTTATTTTAGAATATCAAAATAGCAAAGGCAAAGAAACTATATTATAGCATAGCCCTTTCATACTGTTTTCCTCTGCTTCACACGTCTATTTGACCAGGTGATGGCAGTATTATCCACATTATCTCTTTCTGTAAACTTGCATCAAAATTATTTTGTCACCAAAAGCCAAAGCAAACCAAAATGTTGTTAAATTCACACAAGAAGCTGTCAAGAGGTGATTTTTTTTTTTTTTACAGTGTCCCCTATTAACTGTATTTACAAATCACCATGATCCTTTGGCACTAAGGGCTTCTGAAAAAACTCTAATTCCAACAACACATAAACTGTGGGACGCATCAAATCTGCTTCCACTTGAAAAACAGTATATTTTAATGTCTCACTCTGTAAGTAAAAAAAAACATTTTATCATGCAATAGGATAATGAATCCATTGTGTCACATTAGTACATGACATCTTGTCTTAATCTAATCTACTATAGTAATGATACTAATATGATTATTGCCCTTAAACGTCTTATGCAACAGAGTAAATGTAAGTTCTTATATTAGGAACTAATGATGTGTAACTGAATTAAAAGCCTTTAAATTACCTTCGTTCTCCAGGCAGCGCTTCCTGTCGGCCTCGCTCTCAGCCTTGCGGTGGCTCTCCAGGCTCTTGTGCTGCAGCAGGGCCTTCTCCCTCTCCAGCTGCCTCACACTCGACTCCAGGTTCTTTCTTCCGCTCACCTAAAATCAGCCATTAAACACTTTGTTCAGCCTGTCCTACATGGCTGGTTTTAACGCTGCTGTAATTCCATAACTTTATCTCGGGGTTTAACACAAATCTCAATCCCAACAGACGCCGTAATGTGGCTATTAGAATTCTGCCGGCCCTCCATCTGAACCTCACTGGATATGACACATTGGTATTCAACTGAAATGTGGTCAAGTGTGGATAATAAGAAATCATTATTCTGACTTAAACACAGCTTTTGGGAAAAGCCATAAAAATGGATGAAGAAGATTAACATGATCCCGGAGGAGAAACTCAGTTGTTTCACAGCCAAATATTAAAAGTGAGACAAAGCCAAAAATATTCAAGTGATCTTCAGCAGCAGGTGTCTGCACTATAGATTTTGAAATGATCAGCCTACCTCTTCCTCAAGCTCCTTCGAGATTTTGTCCAGACGACTCATGGCAGCTCTGTAGAAAAGGAAACAGGACATTTATAAGACTTTTGACAATTAGAGCCACTGTGCTCGAGTGTGTTATTAGAGCAACAGCTACTGTACCTGTATTTGTGCTCGAGATCATCTTTAACCTGCTTGTCATTATTTATCTGCACCTCTAGGTGGCGAAGTTTCTTCTGCAATGCTGCTGACTGTAAAAAAAAAAAAAAAAAAAAAAAAAAAAAAAAATCAACCAATCACACGTGAGAACTCATCAGATGCTCCAGTTAAAAACTTGTTAGCAACCTTTGCTGCATGTCATTCATCTTTCCTGTGATTCAAATGTGTCTTATGTAATGAAGCATTTTACATAACTGGCACTCGTCAGGAGCATTTTTTGAATTGTACATTGATGAAGTGATCATTAAATCTGCATTAACTGATTTTTGAATACTTGGAGGCAGCTGAACAAGCTGACATATTATCACCTTTTAAATTGTGTAAATAGTTGTCTACTTGCACATCTAGCAGACACAGAGCATCATTATAATTCATTTGGAGTTTTGTTTCTGGCGACCTGATCGATGCAAGTCAAATATTCACTCTCTTGAACTATTGTTTGGTCTCCACCAACTCCTGGGGGCAGTTTCTCTTTTCCCTGTCTCTTCAGCTGCTAAATGCTGTTCACCAGCTCGTCATTAACTCTGCCAGTCAGTTGGCAGGCTGAACCAAAACATAAAGCTGCAGACTGTAGAACCAAGACGATGAGCTAAAAGACACTAAAAAGCTTTGTGGGACTGAGGATTCAGTCGTGAAATCAGGTGATAATATTCTGTGGGTTTCTCGTTACTAACAACGGCTCTCACATTACACACAGTCATTTAATTCATTGATGTTAATAAAAAAAAAAACATTGATTATTGCAGCTTTAACGTTTTGACTTGGACTTGAAGGATAAGCTCATTACATAAGAAAACAATTAACCCTCAAAATAAATGTAATACCCCTATGGCTCACACACATATTGTCATTTCTTGCGGAGCTAAAACTTTTAGAAGACATATTGCAGTGACAGTGTTTGAGGAGGGATTGTTAAACTGAAATAAAAAAACGGGGCCTTTGCTTGTGATAGGGGGGGAGTCTTCCCCAGATTAGCTTTTAGCTCAGCCACTTACCCTGAAACAGCTAAAGTCTTTCTCTGCGGCTAAGAACACAGAAATTCTAACAAAGTACTAATAAATCATGGGATCAGGAGAAGAAATCCTCTTCTGAGTCATTTCCATCGTAATCCTTAATGCCTTTCAGTGCGACCATGTAAACTGATGCCTGCCTTATTCCCTAAGAAGCTAAGAAGGGGGCGGCATGTGCTACTGCAGCTCATCATGGTGCACTGGGCAGTTACTGTGTGTGGAAGAGACAGCACCCACCTCTCCTTTCGAATTCTCATGGGCCACTGAGGAATTGTTGGAAGCATTTAGCAACCTGAAGAAGGAGCAAATCAACACAAAGTCAAGACCACAGCTGAGAACAAATCTATAGGCTGTTATTTTTTTTATGTATGTCGAAATGTTGATGGACTGGAGACGGCTAGAAAAAGCGAAGACTTACTGGTCTTCTTTGAAGTAAGTGAAGCCAACAAAAGGTAACTGATTTCCAACAAAGGCCTTAGGTTTGGGGAAGGTTTCTACATCGCCTTTGTCATCTTCAATCTCATCAAAGTTACTGGTGTCTATGTCACTGCTCAGCTCCGGGACCACAGGGGCGACCGCTGAGGAGAGACAGAGACGGAGACAGAAACTAAGAAAAAAGGCAAGTGTGAAATACTGGAAGAAGTATTTGAGTCACATAAAATGCTCATTTCATGGGCTCAGGTGAAGCCCGTGTTGAATACTAACTGTCTCTGATGGTGTTAAAGGTCCATTGGTCATTCTTGAAGAAAGGGTGTCGCTTGATTTCCTCCACGCCGTTCCTGCCCAATCGCACCTCCCTCAAAACAAAGAGAGTGAATGAGTTGTGGACCGGTGACTAAAGCTGCCCTTTGTCCTCGGTTCAACAGTATCAGTGGCGTCAGGAAAACATCACCTATTCATACATATTGTATTCTGAAAGTGATTACATTTAAATGCAAGCAAGACTCTGATTTCCTCTGGCCTAAAGCATCACAAACCAAACCAGTGGTAAACATAAGTGTCCTATTTACAGCTCTATAGCATCAGCATGTTATATAACGTCTGCAGTACAAAACACCCTTCATAAAAAGCCGCTATGTGCTCCTTGCTGGCGTCACCGCATCGACATTTAAAAACTGAAACATTCTGACTCTTCATACCTGTCAGTCAGGAAGGCACAGATGATATTCTTGGCATCTTTAGAGATCTCCACATCATCGGGGAAGTTCAGAGAGTTCTTATGGTCCATTATCTTACTGTACGTTCCCACCAGGGAGTCGGCGTAGAACGGCGTATCACCTAACAGCAATTACAGGAAGTTAGCAAAGGAAATTACATTAAAAACTATTTATGCCACTCTCGTTTTGTACCGTCACTTTGACTTCATGAGATGTTTACTGACCAACAAGCATCTCGAAGATGAAGACCCCTACAGACCACCAGTCGCATTCTCTCCCATAATAACCATCTCCTCCCTGGGACTTCAGCACCTCCGGAGAGATGTAGTCTGGAGTCCCGACGGCTGTATCACAGTGCACCATGCCGGTCTGCAAAACAAGATCCAGAAATTACACATCAGGCTTTTAGTCTTAAAACAATTTACAGTCATTAATCCAAACATAAGTTTATAAGAAACAAATCTCTCTCTCTCGCTCTCCCTCTCTGAGTGATTAACCTTCCAGTCAGAAATCTTAAAGAACTGACTGCAAACATGGCAGATGTTGAAGCACCAAAACAGTTTTGCTCTTGAAATAAATTACGGTTCCTACTAGTACAAACCAAAGAACTGTTACCTTTCTGCTTTTTAATGAACATTGTTGTTATTAATAAGTTCCAACAGGCCTGGATCTGAAGAGTCACACACACATTACAGTATGCTTCACCACCTGAGCTTCATCATCTCATACAGAAGTCAAGCAGCTCAATGCAAACACACAGATATGTTTACTGGAACTTTTGGGATGACCTAACTGAACCCGACCCAGCTGGTCACAGCTCAGCAGCACTGTCTTTGCCTAGCAGTGCATCATGCTGTGCACCTTGTTTCCATAGAAACATAGTTAGCATCGAACATACTTAAAGGTGCATATCTGGTTTGAGTTTTCTTGTTTTTTTTACCTGGTTGCCAACTTTCAGCTGGATTGCAATTTATTAATTCAAAAGGTCAACATAAATGGGAAGAATCGTGGGGTCCCTTTTTGAAATATCTGGACTCAACCTGATCATATCTGTATATTGTTTTTGTTTTTTTGTTTCTCTATATGATATGAACCATTGTTTTTGTGTATGTCTCTTATTTACTTAAATCTCACTTATATTTCTCTTCCCTTGAGTGTATGTGTGAGTGCATGTGTGTGTATGTCTAGTTGGGTTTTGGGGTATTGATTTTTGTGTGATTTATAGGTTGATATTGAAGTGTGTCGATAAAAATAATACAAAAAAAAAAAAAAAATTGGTTGCCAACTGCTTTGACTTTGATGTTAAAAACTGGTAGCAGTAGGAATGAGCTAATTCACAGAAGCATAACGTGTTGCTGCACTGAGGCTTCTGTGACGGGCTTTAACTCACAGAGTCCATCTTCATGCACGTGCCAAAGTCGGCCAGCTTGAGGTGTCCAAGTCTGTCCAGCAGCATGTTGTCCGGCTTGACGTCACGGTGGATGAAGCCCATGGAGTGAATGGCGTCCAGGGCCATCACGACCTCTGCTGTGTAGAACTTGGCCCATTTCTCTGGCACGTCGTAGGTGCTGGTGAGGTTGACCAAGTCACCTCCTGGCATGTACTCCATCACCATGTAGAGGTAGTGCTCATCTTGGAAGGCACAGCACAACTGAACAAGGCACGCACAAGCTCTCATTACAAGAGACAGATCATTTTTGGCACAGGTTAACTAGGCAATGACTATTAGTGCCAATATACATTCAAAATGTAACAGTCTGCACAAAATCAATATTTTATACATTTCTAGAAAAATCTAAAAAGTCCTTGAAATCATTATTTAATCCAAATATGAAAAAATGTTCGAAACCAGAGATGAACAGTGTCTAAAATGTCATACCTGCACAACCCAGGGACTGTTAGCGAAGGCCATGATGTCCCTCTCCTCCCAGAAAAAGGCCGAGTCTGAGCGCTTGATCATCTCAAACTTGCTCAGCAGCTTCATGGCGTAAACCTTCTGAGAGGCTTTGTGTCTGACCTGCATGGTGGTGGTACACGTTTATACAGAGACAGAAGAGCAATGATGGAGAATTTGGGGTTCAAAAAAGTCAGTGGCTGTCAGTAGATGTCAGGTGATTCCATCATGACAGATGACTGCATTGACTCCATTATCACTATTATTACATTCTACAAAATGGGCAAAGGCAGAGAAAATATCACACCACAGTACCTTTACCTTGTGGTGACAGCTAAGAGTGAAAACCAAAATAATGATGTCTAGTTCACAGATGATCAATACTCACCAGTTGGACTTCACCAAACGCCCCTCGGCCGATGACTTTAACTCTGTCAAAGTCTTCAGACTTCATCTGGAGGTCACGAATTTGTCCTATGACTTTTTCATCTGAATATAACAGTATAAAGACAATAAACAATCTATTAATTAAGTTGTCAATTGACCTGAATAATAAATGAGAAAGAATTTAATTGTCCTCTATCTCCCTCTTTCTCATTCTCAATACCACACGGGAACTACTCACATCTGTTTAAGAAGGTTTCGATGTTTTTGTTCTTGCGTAGTGCGGGGTAGTCCAAGTCTAAGACCAGGGCGTTCATGGAGTCCTACATGGAGAGAATGAAAAATCCATCATCAGTCTGGACCAGCAAAAATATGAGAAAACCCAGGAACATCCTTTTTATAGCCAACTAGCTCAGCAGCATCTTTCTGTTTCTCATTACAACCATGAATGATAGCGACCATTTCCACGATGATACTGCAATGTTAAATATTCAAACATCAACAAACAAATACACATTGTAAAGGAAGAAATGTGTTCTGAAGTAGTTACAACCGGCCACATCACTATCAGGAGGATTAACAATGTGGACCAGGATCCAGGAGTGTGTCATCTCTATATCGTCCTCCTCTGGACAGACATTAGATGCAGCATAAAACTATGTAGCGCTGCACAACAAGCATAAAACTAGTGCAGGGTGATTCAGTCACACAGCATTTTAAAGAAGACACTGACACATCAGTGGCTCTTATTGCTTCATTCAAGTACACAGCAGTGTTAGTAACTGGGCTGTTACAAAACAGACAAGTTATAACAGATTCTTTACTTTAAAAGGCTACATCATACTGCAAGTCACTGTGTCGCAACTAAAACACACCAACCAAGTGTGTTCTCCTTTCATCTGCATTCATTTGCACACTAGAAGAATATGTGAAAAGCTGAGGTTTACATGTGAATTTCTTTTTTTACATAAATTGTTATTCACTTAATTTAGCCTGATACTGACATAACAACTGATTTTACATAGTGTGAAAATCTGATGCTGCCCAGTTGCAGAGGAAATGTGTCATCTCTGACTGACAACTACACTGTGGCAGCAATGCTGTGAAAACAAATGAAATGGTCCAGACTACAATTTACAAAACATTGAGCAAAACCAACTGGCAAACACTTCTTAAACCCTGCCCAATAAAGGAAGCGGAGAGCAGCATGAGGGCTGAATACCACTGACTGCATTTCTGAGAAGTTTATTTTCTGTATATTTTCTCACCACTGCACAGAACAAAAACCGTTCCACATCATTGCACGCTGCAACTCTCAAATTAAAACAAACACTTTCGCTGCGGCATTTCATTCAGCGTTCAATTTGACTGATTACACAAACAACTACATGCAAAGAAAAAGGTTTGGACTGACAGCTTTGTTCCTCGAGAGAGAAAGGGAGACAGAGGGAGAGACAGAGGGAGAGACAGAGGGAGGGAGGAGGCCCGATGACTAATTTTCCCATCAGCAGCTGCCTTCTGGATTCTGTCGATGATATTCATCTGCTGACAAAAAGATGAACACACTGTTTCTGTGACCATTATGAAGCAGTGGGTGTAAAAGAGACAGTCACCTCCACACATTATGTTAATTCATATTATGAGCTGCATTTACCACACTCATGGCATGTGGCACCTTCTACATATACAAGAAATTGCTTCTTATGGGTTACGACCAATTTAGAGGAAATTACATGACAGTTGATGCTGTTACACAAAACATACAATTCTAAAATAATTCATATCTCTGAGGACGCATTTGTAATTTTAGTGACTGTCATGCATGACTGTATGTGTGTAAATGCAGCCCGTAATAAAGGGGTTCGATTTTGAGAAATAGGAAAATACATATTGATACAGCGCTAAAGTGTCTATCGATCTATCTAGCTCTATTTTCCTCTGCCTTCATCTAAATTTGAATCTTGTACATTGATGAGATATGCACTTGAAAGATGTTATTATGTTATGGTGTCTGTCAGCTTTCATGTAGCTTTAGCTTGCTAACTTTAGCGTTAGCTTGCCAGCTAAAATGCACTGTTACATGAGTTTGTACAGTCATGCTGCCGCAAGATACAGCACAGTAAATGGATGGTTAACATTATGTTGCACTGGCTAGTGCAGTTTCATGATGAAAGATAGGTTCAGCTAGGTAGCTAGCTGAAAAAAGGCAGGTGCTCAGTGTGTGTGTTTAGCCACCAGTGTTTTCAGTTAAACACACACAACCACACACGCGTGCGCGCACACACACCACTGACTGGACATACATGGAAATACATGATGAAACTGGTGGGGAGACAGAAATGCTGTATTGGGAAACAAATAATCAAATATGTGCCAAGAAAAAAAGAATCTTAAAAAAGTTTCAACTGATTAATGGTAAAAGGAATAAAATAAAAGTCTTTTTTACCAACTGACTGGAGATTAAAGGAATAGCATGAAGCTTTAATTTTTTTCTTAAAGTCCATCCTAATTATCTAAATGTTGTTATATGTGGTGTTACACTCCACAGACTGAGCTTGTGTGGCAGCAGCCCAAACAGGAAAAGAGACTGCGAGCAGGTCTGCAGCAGCATGTTGGGTTAACTGAACACGAGCTGATTATTTGTAGCATGCAGCCATGTTATAATAGACATAGTTTGACCTGGGGCACTGTAGGGAAGCCATTAAATAGGCAGACAGACAGATGTAACCCCCTAATTGTTACAGTGTGTGACAGTGAGGAAGTCATCTATCAACATCTGTCAGCTGTGCATTCCTGAACAGTCAATGAGGAACTTTCTGAACATCAGACCAAGCCAAATGTTACAACAGAGGACACAAGAACCCAGTTCTGTAAAGTGGGTTTGTTTCAGACTTTTCTCTTCTCGTTCTCTTGTCGTTACAGTGCGTGGCACAATCTGCTTCATGTTTCAATCACTCCCTTTCTACTTCTTTGTCTCTTTTGCCCTTTTCTGCTGCTCTCCCTCCGTCTTATCTGCCTCTCCTCCTGCTCTCTCCATCATTCTCCGCTCGGCTGCAGCCAGTCTGCAGCGAACTGCACACTCTGTTTCATCATCTCAACTTCACTTCCCCATTAAAGGACTGACCTCACACAAAACTACTATTTAAGGGAAAAAAACACACACGCCAGGGGGTGGAGAGGGGTTGCCGAGTGCGTGTGCACATACACAAACACGCACGAGGATCTCCCTTCGTGCACAGCAATACAGGAAATGATCCACCCCACCCCAGGGCTGGCAGATAATTTCAGTGTGTCATGAAGCCAGTCCCTGTGTGCAAGTCATTTCCTCTGAGGCAGCACTCTCTGCCACTGCTACTGCTCAACATTTGTCTGTAGCCAAAAAAACTGCGCAGAGACTGCAGCTACAGGTATGACTATGTATGCAATGCATCCGTTACATGCAGGTTGTGTGCACTTAGAAACAAGATTTATTCGACACAACATCTTCAAACAGTAAGTAACAGTAAGTACACAGCCAAAGCTGAAATCAATGCCCAGTCATTTCTCAGCAGTAACTGATTCATGCATATACACTCTGCAGCTCTGTGATGACTGGGTGAGTTTAAGAGGTGGTGCTGCTGTGGCAGCTACAGAAGAGAAAACAGGATAGACAACTGCATGAACAACAGATGATATACATGATATACACATCGTTTCCATCTGTAATGTTTTATTATAATAGTAACATATACAACGTTTGCTTTAATGTGAGAAATTAGTTGTTTACAAGAACATCATTATGTCCTGTTATCATGCAGTTTTACTCAATCATGGAGTAAGAGGGAGTCTGTTTTACATGTTCCTAGATATTACATTTGAATGGTTAATATGTAGTACCTATAACTGTGTGCCTCTATCTACCTAATCTTTTTACAGCATCTTTGGACGTTCCCACTTCTTTGCTAATATCTTTTTAACAGCAGCTGATGTCATTTCCATTTGGTCACAGTGTGTGATTCCAGCAGTAACCAGCCACTGTGCATCAAGCAGCAATTCTATAGCTCAGATATCATGACGCTAAAGGCCTAAAATAAATCATACACTTAGTTTCCAACTTGTTAAATCTCAACTGAAAACATAATTTTCATGTAGGTCTATGTTTTTATGAGAAATGAAAGCTGGTGGATTTCTTGAGTAATTTATTTGTTGTTGTCATCATTTAAATAAATGGTTTCTTAGCAATTTGTGCTCCAAACCTCAGCAGCCCAAGGGTGCAGGCTAAAATGAGATGAATCCACTTTTCTGTCCAATGCAATAGATGGAAAACATGAGCGACGCACTTTCATAGCAAACAGAGATCAAGTGTCACTAAACAGTTCAGAAGTGTTAAGTGTTCTGTGAGGAAACAGTCACTGTACATCACACAGAACAATTAATAAAGTAATCATGAGCATGTTCTCACACTCTAAGGTTGTAGGTGCCACAATCCCAACAATAATGCAGAGTGGCAGATAGAGGAAATTGTACCAAAATGTTCAGACTATACAAACCCACAACTGAGGGTATTCAGTTTCACATATTTCCAACTTTGGACATGAAAAAAACAACAAAGGCAGTTTGTTGACAGTTGCCACGAGAAATACAAAGCAAACACTGTGTTGCAACACTTGGATTTGGTACAGGCATGTAGCAAACAATCCCTATCTACAAACTGGACGTCATCATGACATATTATCTCCTTCTTTCACATTTCAACATCTGGCCATTAAAGAAGATGAATGAAGTGTGGAGGAAGAATAAAAAAAATAAATAAATACATGTTGCGCTGGTGGCTCTCTACGTCTCTGCAGAGAAGAAGGGGAAACATGCTGGTGGATGTTTGTGGCACTCTGCTTTAAAACTGTTTGGCTTAGATGGATCGAGACAGAAAAATCGTAGTATCTATGGGGTGTAAATACTAAAACCTTTAGCCTGTGCTGACAGTAGTCCTAAAAGTGCAGAGGACATTTTGCTGGTGGAAACAGCGGCATTCTCCTTTGCTTTAGTATTTATTAAAAGTATTTTATCCAACTACATTTGCAGACATTTTAACGCAGTCAGGTTCCCGCAGGTCATACATAATCAGCTGTTCTGTGCATTGCAGTTACACAAGAGGAATGGCTGCACACAGCTCTTCCAATTTGCTTCCATTAGCGTTACTGCAGCAAGACTCTGGAGGACATTTCTCAGCCACTCAGTCGAAGCAGCTATTTATAAATATTAAATAACTGACAAGTGTCTGGGGAAGTGTAAAGCTGGATCGACAATTTAAACTTTAATGCATCCGACATTCCTGGACCGGCTC